TTATGTTCTTCTTTAACGTTAAATAGAGTGGTGAGTTATAGATAAAGTGCAACGAGTTATTTAAGGAGGTTCTCCTGAGTCGTGGGAGGAGAGTCCAGGCTAGTATTGTCATCTGTTGTAATTTAGCCTATATTTATCAATATCTCACTCTATCAAAGTTTTTTATTATATTATTATTCTCTTATATTCAAAATTAATTATTTTCCTTATCATCAAATATCAATTTTTAATTCATAATAGTTTTTCTGTTGATTGAAATAAAATTTTATCTTTCCCCTGAATTTGGCTCTATAATCATAATTCCCAAAAATATATAATTTATAATCATAAAAGAAATGATATCAATTAACTTTGATAGATTATAAATAAATGTAATAAATTAATAATAAGTATTAAGTTAATCAAATGAAAGACTTTTAGTTCATTATCGATCTTTTAGCTTCATGAAATTTAGAATAAAAGTCCCTGTTATCATTTGTTTTTAATGATTTTTTCTAACTAGATCGTTCTATAAAGCTTATAGAGTTGTTATTCTCCTTTTCTTCTCTTAATACCTAATTATTTCCAATCATCGAATCTCTAGTTTTATCTTCAACCGCCTTCTAATAGATGTATTGTTCCCTTTAGGTAGGATTAATAGATTCAATTCCCCTCAAAGAAACCAATTACAGTTTGACTCCTCTCATATCGTTGATCATTTATTATATTGAGCCAGAATCCAAACAAAATTTCCCCTAAATAGTGGGACTTATTTTCTCCTGCCTAACTTGTTCAATTAAGTACTGGATCTTCTTTTTCTCTTTTACAACATAATTGCAGGCCTCAACACATAATGTAACATTAGGGTTGCTAGATCCAAAAAATGAAACTAGCTATTCATTATATTGATTAACGCGATCTGTTTATAGTTTAATTTTAGCCATTAAGCCTTCAATTTCAATTAGTTTATCAGCTACTAACTCATCTGCAGCCTATAACATCTCTTGTTCTTTGAGTTTTAATGTTTTGTAAATATCTTCAAAATTAGAAGTGATCTACATCTTTGCTTATCCTACTAAGTCTACTAAGTCTTATTTTTTGTTCACAATTTTGCATTGTTCATGTAACAAATATTCACAACAACTTTACAAGGATACCTAGAGTTAATTTCCATTTTCTCTTATAAGATCGAAAGATTTCGATATATTTCTAACCTCATGATTCTTATGCAATCCTTATAAATAACATTCCATACAGAAACATTATGCTTCACAAGTAAAACAATACAAAACACAACTTTCAGTAAGATGTTACTAGCAAGTGATGTTTGTAAGTTATTATTATTATGATTAATTATGATAATCAGTCTGCTAGATTTGTTGGGATTATTTAGTTTCTAATATTTCACTTCTTTATTCGTAGTCATCAGAACAACAAGAGGATTATGGATTCATCTCCAATAACACTTATACAGCAGACGGATCCAATTAAGTTTTGGATGAACATATTTAACATATCAATGGAGGGTACATAGTATATTAGTTCCACTTTGATACAGCCTTTGCTGCACAATTCAAACACAAATTGTGATCACATTAAAGTGATAGAATTTATTCGACTTATGCTCCGCATTTACAACATTCCAATAATTCACTTTCAGTATCAGACATTTAGCAGTTAATATAAATTGCAGTTAATTTTATTAATTAAGGAATTTATGTCTAAATAAGCTTTTAGAATCAATTAATGAAGTTTATGAAGTTACCTATTAAAAATGATTGAAATACTTTATAGAGGAGGAATGATTAGACCACATATCAGAAGACCTTTAATTTCATCTTTAGAACTATAACCCATTGATGATCTCTCATTAAAATAACCCTTAACATTACATTCTTGTTCATCGACTCCTGTGATTACCAAAATTGAATTTCTTAATAGAAGAGCCGAATCTGAAAAAGAATTTAAAAAAGTGCATAATACCAAAGTATGATTTTATATTAGTCAAGTTTAGGTGATACCAATAACAAAGTGGAATACTACTCCAAAGATAATAATATTAGAAATCAATTACAACCGATTACAGAAGAATATTAAGTATGTAATAATCTAGAACATTTAGAATCTGAAGTATTCAATTATAATCAAAACCATGTTAATCATTTAATTTGGAATTAATAAAGATATTAAAATTCTTAAGAATAAATATCACAAGATTAATTTTATTCAATTCTAGATAATCCAAATAAAATTACCTAATCCGAATAATTTTATAGCCTTATAGATAAAAGTTCTTTTTGACATACTTTCAATAAGAATTAAGCAAGAAAATGAAGTTATTTTATCATTAACTAATTTATTTATTCCTAATTTTGGGTTGATTTGATATGATTTGATCTCAAATTCTATTTATAGAGTTTATAAATCACTTAAGCTGTCAAATCTTGATTCCTATAAATTATAAGAAGTATTCAATTCATGATTCCAGATTCAGATAATTAAGTAAATGAATAATTTCTTTTGATATTTAATATTTAGTTAAATTCAGTTTAAGATTCCAAATCAACTTAAATTCAATTTTTAATTATTTATCTACATTTGCTCTCAAGTCCTTTGAATCCAAAACTTACAAAATTCCAAATAAAGTTAAGAATAGGAGAATTTATAAAAAACTTCACTCCCACATGGATATAACTTTATATGAGAGTTGCTACTCACTTAGCTTGAGGATTTCGATAGATTATGCAACAATGATTTAAATTAATGAAATATTATTTGAACGTATTACCAAATTATAGAATATATTAATTATAGTGGAAATATAATATTAAATTAAAAGTGCATATATATGGATAAGTCGGAATAATTATATTCTCAGCTAACTGATTAAGGAGAAGAATCCAACATTCTGATATGTACTCAAGACCCAATAACTTTGTATAATAAAGTAAATGTGTAGAGAATAACATAGTTTATTAAAGTGTATAATTTAGATGATAACAAAGTTGATGGAATAACTTTATAATATATGAAATAAAGTAAAGTTGTTCAATTCGTTCATAATTATGTAAGAAATAATTTGGGAAGAGTAGTCTTTTTTTTAATTCTGATTTTACTTCCTATCATCAATCTATTTTATTATCTCTTCCTTTTAGCTGCCTGGTTTAGATTAATCTAAAATTATTCGATATTCTAATAAAATATAGGTAAGCATTTAATAATACATCGATTAGGTTAGGTTTTGGATCCATTTGCAAATATGGTTGAAAATTCAGACCTTTGCGAAATGATGAAAAAAAATTATGTCCTCTTTGATATGGAGATTAAAGAAAATGAAGGCTTACACTTTTCCACTAAAGTTAAAGAAATGATTAAAAATAGATCTAATGGAAACAATAAAATTAAATATACAATCTATAATTAAATATTAAAGGAATAATTTTATGGATATCCTAATTCAAGAATCACATATTTAAAATGGATTATAGTCTCCACTCTAATCATAGCAGTTCAATTAACATTAATAATAATATACTTTTCTAAGATTTGAAAACTTATATGTTTAAAGATGAATACATTAGTAAATAAATAAATTATGTTAATTATTATCAGTCCTTCAAATAAAATTATAAATATAAATCCTTCTATCATGCATAAATAAGTTGTAATTAATAGATCCTAAATACTTAAATATTATTTAAGTATTCTCTACTTAATTGTACAATCCAGAAATTAAAAACTGTTGTTTATAATACATTAATTTTATTTTTAGAATAAATGCTTAGACATAATATTATCGTAATCTATGGTACACCAATCATATCCCTTATTTTTTTATTTAAATCATAGTTTTTCTTCTAATTTTAAATAGAATCAACTTTTATTTATTAATACCATTAAAATCCTTAAGTTGTAATTATATGAAAAGTCAACTCTTTGATTCTAACAATCTGACTCTCATTATTCAGCCTTCCTTCTGTTTCTAAGCACTATCTCTTTGTTTCTTAGTTTGATAGATCCAATTTATATAAAACTAGAATATTAATTTTAGTGATTCTTTGAGATAAATATCTCAATGTGCTTAATGGTAGAATTTTTTATATTTAATTTATTCTTCATATCAATATTAATGAGAAAAACTTAAAAACTCTTTTTTGATGATCTTTACAGTATATTTTTATTAATTTCTATTAACAATGATATAATTCTTGAAATTTTTAGACAAAAAGATGTTCTTAACCAATATTTAAGAAAATAGCAATTTATTTGCATTAATTATGTAGGATTTATTATAAATTTCATAGAGGAGCCTTATACCTTAATTTTTAAGGCTATTTTTATTTGAATATATAAATTTATTAAGTTAAAATTATGGCTTAAGAAATGAGAATATTTACATTTTCTAGGACTTTTGGAATTTCAAAGGAAGTAAATTTGAGAAGAGAGTCAAAACCACGCCATACTTTAAAATATTGGACTAATTTATTTAAAAAGGACAAATAATAAATAAAACAATTAGGTTAACACTTTCTCATTTGTTGCATCATGAAGGGTTATTAAAAGCAATTACTAATATTTCAGAAATGGTAGGAAATGTGTTATGGAAAAATAAATTAGATAAAATAATTAACTCATAGCTAACCGAATGAATTTGCATTAGTACAAGCAAAAGTGCTGCAATTTAAATTAATTATGAAAGAAAATGTTAATATCTATTACAAGAATTGTAAAACACCATTTTTAAAATATGTGTTAAATTTAAATTTACTCAATTATTTAATAGATCTTTACAGTAATGACTATTATAATAAATTGATATAATTATTCTTATGAATTGGAAATAATCAAAATCATTTTTCGACGACTAGAAATCTGATTAAAAATTTTGGAAAAAACAAGCATAATGTATTGATGAGAAAAAAATTGAATTCCAATGTTTGCTTTAAAAAAAAAATTGTAAAACTGGATTTTGGCTAAGCAAAAATTATGTGATATACGAATCACATCTAATAAAAATAAAGGTATCAAAATGGTGCTATATTAGCCACAATCTAAGCAATGTCACATTGTTAATCTCAATTTGTCCAGAATATAGAGGGTGAAATATGAGAACAAGCTAGAAAAAGAAATTTTTAATAAAGTATATAGATTTAGTAATTTTTAGGAAAAATATGGGTTTAGAGTGATAAGAAATAATCAATGTCGAGAATTCTATAGTAGATCAAAGGAAGTAAATATGTAATTATGGAATTAATTACGAAAAGAAGCATTTCTTTCTTCATTCACAGAGCATTATGAACTTAATAAGATTATTGGAAAAGGAAACTTTGCTAAAGTTTATTAAAGCTTGAACAAAGAAAATCAGAAACTATATGCAGTTAAGGTTTTTGAAAAAAACAAAATGAGAAGTTCTGAGATTGATAAATAGGCTCTTTTAAAAGAAATAAGTATTATGCGTAAACTGAATCATGAAGGAGTGATAAAATTGCATGAGGTTTTCGAAGATGAAATAAATATTTATTTCGTATTAGATTATTTGGAAGGGGGAGAATTATATCACCATATTTAGAATAATTAAACATTTCCTGAGAAATTAGTAGCTAGAATTATAGCAACAGTTTTAAATACATTGGATTATTTATAAAAACTTAATATTTTACATAGAGATCTTAAGCCAGAAAATATGATTTTGAGGAGTAAAGGAATCTTGGATGATATTGTGATAACAGATTTCGGTTTGGCAGATTATTATTCAATAAAAGGCAAATATCTATTTACAAGATGTGGAACTCCTGGATATGTAGCCCCTGAAGTATTACATGACGAAACCTATGATTTTAAAATAGATATTTTTAGTGTGGGTTGTTTAATGTTCGTTCTTTTGGCAGGGAGGTCACCATTTAAAGGGTAGAAGTATGATGATATTGTGATGAAAAATTATCATTGTTAAGTTGATTATAAGTCAATTGAAAATTCGATTTCTACAGATGGGTAATCCTTGTTGAAATAACTCTTGCACTAAAATCCCTAATTTCGACCTACTGCTCGTTTAGCTTTGAGACATAAATGGTTTGAATTGAATTTGAGTTAAAGTCGATACAATGAATTAAATTACAATCCATAGGATCCAAAATGTTCAACAATGAAATCTAGTTTAAGGGATTTACCTTTTTAGAGCATAAATCAAAATTTTAAATAATTAGAAGAATCAAGAAAACATTAAGAAAATAAATAAGTACTTATTTTAATGATATTAAGTAAATAAAAGATTAGCTCAATATTTATTCTTTAAAGGAATTGAATAACAGTGAAAATGATATTGTTGATGATGAAGATGAGCGTCCATAATCTCATTTTTTGCCACAATATCAAATTATTAGCAAATTTAAATAAATATTAGATACCTAAAAGTTTTCTCAGTTTAATTCGTCAAAGTTAAATGTAAATTTATTACCAAATAATTAGGATACAACTGGAAATACTTCAATATAGCTTTTAGAGGATAATTTGAAGGAAAACTATTAGATTAAAAATTTAAAGTCATCTCTAATTTGAATAATTAGTCTTGAATCTCAATAATGAACATAATTTATAAAATATTTAGTAATAAAAATTTAATATTATTAAGAGCAAAAAAATAATTTATTTAATACTTCATAATTATTTAATATTAATTGAAATTTTTCATATAATGACTATGCAATTAAGATAACAACCTTGTGATGTAGATAACTTTGAAATTGATTCTTAAGGCAAACCATTTCTACTTTAATTATTTGAGGTGATAGAATATTGTCATAAAATAAAAATGGGAGATGTTAGATTTTATAAAGTCAATGAAATACCCTATGATCTCTATAGAAGATATTGTGATGTAATGAATTACTAAATTCTTGTTATCTCATTTAATTCTAGAACTGATTGGGATCTGAAATAAATAATTGAGTAATGAATTGTGAAGTTGAGAACGTTATCGAAGTTAAAGGTGAAAGCACTTAAGTCTATCTTCAATTAAAACGATTAAGAGGTTGAATAAAGAATAGAATGAATAATTTATGTAACTGAAGTTCAACTTATTCGAGAGCTGGTTCCTTATATCAGTTCTACATATTTAGAAGATAGAACCTATTAAAAGACATGCCTCAAGGGTAATTATATTTGAAATTAAAAAAAATAAATTAGTATCATGATTAGTTCATTTAAAGAATGCTATGTATAGACTTTTTAAAATTTATATATGTAGAATCGTCTTGGAAATGTTTGACCCACTTATTTGTGCAGATAGACAGTAGAATGCAGCCTATGTATATATATATTGAGCTTCTTCAAATAGAATGCAGGGATCTGCTATATTTTTTGAAAGCCTTTGAAAAAAAGTCACTTTGATATTAAAATTATTTTAATAATGATGTTATTTATAAAATCAGACAAAAAATTAATTAGTTTATACTGAATTGATGTGTGGAAACATAAAATAATAACTTTTAGGGTTGATTTTGTATTAATATGAAAAATAGGATATAGATACAATATAGTACTTAACTGGAACCGAGAAAAGATGTAGATATTTAATTTCTGCAATTGAGACACTCAAGTACTTCTTGATATTATAAATCAACTTTTGTAAAAAGAAGACTAAATATAGAATTAAATATACTTTTAATTAAATGATAATTATTTCAATTTTGAAAATTAAACAGACATTGTTAATAATTTTAAAATATTATATTAGTATTTTAACTGAATTTGAAAAATTAAAACGAATTATTTTTAATGTTACATAAACTTCTGTTCTCTAGAAGAAATTTTTCATCCTTATACCCAAAACGAAACTTCCATATAGATTACCTCAAAGATATTTAAATCATTACTAATGATTATTGCTAGAGTCTCAAACACATATATGAGTCGTTTTCAACTCACAAAATTAAGCTTTCAGACATTCAGACAATGAAATTAAACCGAACAGATAAGTAATATCAACTCATTATCGTAGGGACTAAAGGTTAATACTAAAGTTAACAGTTGAGGAAAGAGATTCATATAAATTTAATAAGTTGTATTAAGAATTATAAAATGGACGAGACGAAGTTTTAACCAATAAAAACTCTAAAATTCCAATAGTTCCATGGTTCCCAAGAGACGAGAATGATGTAAAGTCACGTATTTGAATAAATTAATGTAGTTGGACTTCTAATGGTAGTTAACGAAGAAAATAATCAATACCATCCTCAGTTTACAGATTAAGAGTACAGAGAAAGAAGAGAATAGATTGCCAAAATCTCAGAACAACACGTCTTCGGATAAAAAATCCCATCAATTGATTACACTTAACAGGAGGAAGCCACTTGGAAAAAGATATACTCAATTTTAAGAGAGAAAGGAAACCCTTTGTTGGCTAAAAGATATTTAAAAAATTTAGAGAAGATTGAAAAAGCTTTAGGATTTAAATATAAAGTCCCCTAACTTAATGACATAGATGCCTATTTGAGAGCTGAAACAGGCTTTAGAATCAAGGCTACTCATGGAATCCTAAGCCAAAGAGAATTTCTCAATGCTCTCGCTCACAGAGTCTTCTGTTGTACTCAATATATCAGACATCATGCCTATCCAGAATATTCTCCGGAACCAGACTTGATTCATGAAGTTGTGGTATCATATATATTCTAACAAAAGGGTCATATACCATTATTTGCTGATAAAGAAATTGCTGATCTATCCTAAGAAATAGGAATTTTATCCTGTGGAGTTGAACAGAAAGATTTATCAAGACTAGGAACTTTGTATTGGTTTACTCTGGAGTTTGGGGCTTGCAAGGAAAATGGTTAAATTAAAGGGTATGGAGCAGGAATCGCTAGTTCAACCGGGGAACTCGATGTAATTCTTAATAAATAAAATTTAGAATTTTCATATTGCAAATTATGAAAAATTTGATCCATTTATCCATGCTGACAGAACATATCCTACTTAGATAGTCCAACCAACATATTTATATTGTGAGAGCTTTGATGAAGTCATCTAAGAACTACGTATGTTTGGTTAAAGTCTTTAAAAACCATTTGGATTATATTACGACTTTGTTGAAAAAGAATTAAAAGCTACCAAAGTAATCTAAACTCATTTATAAAACCCATGATTAATCTTAGATATCAGTTGTTATATAGATTATGTAATTTTTATTTTGAGCATTTCAATAATTTTACTGGATTTTTCTAATAATAATAATTGCATATATACTTTATTTGTTTTGGCCTGCCTTAAAACTTATCTAATTTGTATCGTATATTTCTTTAATACAACTTAGTTAAGACAATAAATTTATATTTGTTTCAACAGTTTGAAACGTTACTTTTTGATGCGTGCTAAAACCTATTATAAATATTGAAATCCCTAAACTGATAAATTTCCTATTCTAACTGCTTTGCAAATTGTGGATTTTCTTAAAGTAATTAAGACTTGTAATAAGTATCAGATTGATAAATTCTCTAAAGACAAGAATTTATGTAAATAAAATTTTAATCTTTTTACATACAGACTTTCTTTTTACTTAGTATGAATAATAAATACTTTTTGTGGTTTGAAGAGGAATACAGTTCAAATATTCATCGGTTGCTAGCAAGCTTCACTAATTTCTTTAAATTCAATTAAAACGAATATTATTTTGTACTTTTTTAGTATATATTTTGTTAATAATTTAATAATAAATTATATTATATAAAGTTGATATGATGAACAATTCTCTAAATTAATTGGAGATGGAGTAAACTGCCTAGTTTTTCAATCCAGGCAGAAAAATTCTAAAATAGAGAACAATTAAAAAATTACAACCAATTGTGGATGAATAAATGGTGAATGAATTTTCCATTCCTACATTCAGTAGGAAGCTAAGTTAGCAAGAAATATTCGACTTCGATTAAATAGTTTAGCAACAACTTCTCAAATATAATAGTCAACCAAATATTCTTTAGATAAACCAAAATTTTAACAATCTCCATCTCTTAAAGTCCTCGTAAAAATCAAACAAAATTCAAACACCCTTAAAGTCGCTTCTCGGAGTTTAATAAAGACTATTATTTCCAAAAAATCAATCTACTCAACTTCTATTTAACGAATAGAGTAAATAATCAACTCCTGAAAAATGTAGAAGAAACATAAGAGTATTGCTTAATCCTTTTAATTTTGAAAGAAAATCGTCGGAAATATAATAGAATAAAAGCTCATCTCAAAGTTTAAGACCCTCTCAATCATAAGGAAGAACTTTCCTCTAAAGAAAAGCGTAGGTTGGAGTCTTAAATAGAATATTCTCTTCTAGGTCATAGGATAATATTTGAGTAATGATGTGTATTTATAATTTTATCACACTTCATAAATACTATAGAAATTGATATTATAAATGTCAATTATATCTATACAAATCTTCATCAAAACTTATAGATTCTCTCTTTGATTATTGAATTATCGATATATTAAGGTATATTTCAGATATTTCTAACATGGTTAGGGTATTATTAGACAAAGTTTTATATCTATCAATGAATAGAAAAATAAAAATTTTATTCAAATATAATATAAATTTTAAGTAATAAATGAGTTTAATTGATTAGTAAAATGAATTTGATATGATAATTCTTCTGGATTTAATTGGTATTATTGGATATTTCAAGATAATGACATTAAATAAGAAGAGAAATCACATTAGGTAAAAATAATTTTCTTATCATATCAATCTTAGATAAAATATGTGTTGTATTCTTGGATAATAATATTTCTTTTATTTACTCTAATCTTTTAATGAAATCATTAAAAATATAGATTGTTTTGATTATTATATATCCATATATAATTATTAAAATAATAATTAGGGATTATAAAAATGAGAAAATGTTTGTTTATTAATATACTTGAATATATTGCAAGTTTATCAAAGAACTGAACCAGCAGCTGATGCAATCTTTGGCCATAAATCGGCAGCTTCTTTTCCGACTGGACCTGTGATGGCGGATCCTTTCATTTCACCTTTAGGATTGATGATAACTCCGGCGTTGTCTATGATATTTATCAAAATTCAAACCTTCGAAATAAATGTAATATCCTTCTCGGCGTCTGTATGGCTTTCTTTATCTGACGACGACTGCTTACATAACTATGATAGTGAATTTGAGTTACCCTTCTTTCTGAGTGCTGGCTTACCCTATTTGACTGAGCATAAGACCATATCACCAATGGATGCAGAGGGTAATCTGCTCAAATGTCCTTTGATTCCAAAAGTAGAAATGACATAGATATTCTTGGCTCCTGAGTTATCAGCACAGTTGAGTACTGCACCAACGTTGCAAGCGAGTGTGATTCTCAATTTAATACCGACTTGTCCTCCTCTTCCTCTCTTTGACATTCGTAAATTTAATTAATTTTAAAAATAGATTTGTGAATATTTTAAGTGTTAATAAAGAAATCACCACGGTCTTTTAATCTTATTGAATGCCTAGCTTGATTCTGTTAAGAAATTGATTTATTAAAAATTTAGAGCATCAACATCATCAAATGTATTGAACTTCATAGATTGCACTATATTAAATGGAATTGCTATTACATTTCAGCAATTCTTTAAAAGAATCAACATCATTATCGGAATCTTTACAGCTATATCTGTCTGGATTGCTTTACTTCCTCTTTTCCTAGTATTACTCGATGATGGCATCTTTGGGAACAGATATGGATTATTTCAGGATCATACTCTATTTTACAGTTCCCCTTCCTGACCTCTAGGATTAGAGAGTCTTAATGGAGTTCCTTTAATAAAGGGACTTAATATCATTAGTGTGTATGGAGAAATCTAATTGGAACTCCTTGCTTTACTTAGAACCATTTGATTCGGAATTTTTGATGCTCTTAACAGATTATTTGTTGTGGAAATCTAGTCCAGAGACTATCTAATAGGATTTATAATTGGTTTCCGATGTGATTTTTGTATAATGAGAAATAAATGAAGATTCTAAAGCCTCTTACGTAGTGAATCTATCTTCATGTTTATGCTCTAACATTTTCTTAACAAGACTCTTTAACTCTACGCTAACATCAGGCCAAGGAGACTTTTCATAATTCACTTAGCATTTAGAATTCAATAACTAGATCTAACTTGGTTTTCCTCTAAAAGGAGCATACCCTGCTGTCAACTATTATAATAATTGATAAATACTATGTATAAAACACAACCAGCACTAAATACATCTCCTTTTTGGGTGTAAGGATGTCCTCTAAATATTTCAGGTGCTAAAAATCCAGGTGTACCTGCTTTGCTTAATAGTTCTTTCTCATTGATTTCTTCTGCAAACCCAAAATCAACTAACTTTATCTGTAAATTCTCACTAGATTCCATCATAATATTTTCTAACTTCAAATCTCGATGTACAAATCCATTTGAATGCATCTCAAAAAGAGCATCCAAGATTCCTTTTATTAATAAAGCAATTTGTTTTTCAGTTAATTTTCCTTTGGATTTATAATATTGATAAAGAGTGCCTCCTTGACAATATTCAATGATGATTACTAGTTTATCTTTCTCTTAATAAACTTCGTAGATCTACTCAATTCCTGGATGATTTAATGTTTTCAAAGCTATAACTTCGTTATATACCATTTACTGCACTATTATGTTTAATTATTTTATACTATGAATTTATCTTTATGCTTATTTTCCTCAAACATATTTCTGTAAATGACTTTAGCTGCAAATACTTGTTCGTCTCTCTTTCTTTCGACCTTGTACACAGTAGCAAAGGCTCCACTTCCGAGAGTCTCCTTCTAATTGTATATACAATCATATCCTCTCATCAAGCAGAACTCTTAAATTGATTCACATAATTTAAGCGTCGATTCAATTTAATGATCAAATATAGTTATTCCTATCCCCTCGACTCTCTCTAAATATAGAACTGGAACATTCAATCCCTTCTTAGTCTTTTGGTATGAGATTATCACTCTATTTTCCATACTCAATTGTACAAATCCCTTAGGTTCTGTATCTGACTCCTATTAAAATGAATCTTGGAAATACCTTTTTGAAATACATCAGCATGCCACACTATGCCAATCTGAAATAATATCCCTTTACAGTTTTTTTCTTTCTCCCAATTCTAAGCATATTCCCTTCAAACAAACAATCCTCACTATTCCAGTTTCTATTATGGTCTTATTAGGAGAGTCTATCCCAAAATTGTATGATTGTTTCATCTTTCTTTACTCTAAAAAATGGCCATTTGGCTTCTCCAACAAATCTTTGAATTTTTCTTATAGCTTTTGGTGGTTTCTTGATGTGTATTGATGAATTCATTATTAAGTCATTTTTCATAGTTTGAGTCTTAGCTTAATTTTAGTTATCGTCTTGAGGTTATTGGAATGGTTTGGAGAATGAATGAGATCTTTAAATTTTTCCAAGAATGTTTGATGAATACTCTTAACCTAATCCTTTTATTATGATTGGTTGATTGTTATCGAAGCTGCCCTTAAATATAGTTTGGGATAATTTCTCTCTTAAAGGCTCTTCATTCATCAATGTTTTTTTCATTCCAAGAAATAATTTATACAAATTAGAATGATTCAAATTATTCAACTATAATTATTTTGAAATTATGAGATCCACATTATAATAGACAAAATAAAATATTAATATCAATTCCTTCATATAACATCCTTAGGGTCTTGCAATTGTGGTTTACTACGTCTAAATTAAGAATCCATATTTCAGCCCATTATTGATCTAAATAATTTGAATTTAATAAATTTATTTAATATATGCTTGGATTGTTAATATCAATTTAATCATTGCAAATTAGAAATTTATTATCTTCAAATAAAATATTATATCTAATTCGAATATCCTCTTATTTAGATTTAAAACTAATCACTTCAATTAATTTAATATATTTTAACCATAGTTAAAATGAGCATAAATTTAGACTTTATTTTATCAAATTAAAATGTAAATATAAATACCTCTTATTTTCATCCTTCAAATTGTTAAATATATACATTCTTGTTAAAATTCACAGTTAAAAATTTCCCAAATTTAACAATAAATATAGTCCCATAAATTAATAGAAATTCTAAAATTTTATATTGTCAATAAGAAGATGATAAATTATAATTATAATAAGGTTCAGTTAATTAAAATTAATATCCTCCTTCTTCCTGTTAAACTGTCAGTATTCGAAAATTAAAACCATAGACATTTTTATTCTTAAAAAATGAAGAAAGTTCAATTTTTACGATTCTATTTCTTACAAGACATTTCTCATAGATGAAATTTACAAGAAAAATCTGATCTATTCTTAGATTTACAAATTATTAACATAATTTATAATAATGAATTGTATGAGTGATGAATGTTAAGAGAAATTTCAGCAAATTCTCCAGCTTAAAGATTTATTTAGCATTCGCGAAGTTTTACCATAAAGAGTGCAAAAATATAAGATGTTTGATATAAAATTCCAATTAAGGTAAATTCGTCATCAAAAATTGAAGAGATTAGATCAAATTATAAATAGCTCTATTTATTCCCAACCAACTTAATGTCAATAAGGAACAGAAAAATAAATATCAAAGTAATTTAGGAATTTATTTCTTGCTGATTAATAAAATATCTGTTTGGGTTGTGATAAATACATTTTTGAAAAAAAAGTGATATTATTATGTTAGGATAAATTTGCACACTGTTATCATTCAAGTTGCTTGGCGAAAATGTTGAAATAATAATTAGAATCCAAATGCATTCAATTTTATTGTATGTGTAAAAGTCAAATTAATAATGGATAAATAATAAGACAAAAGTATTTTGATTTAGAAGTATATGTGGATAAATTGATGGAAAACTAAATTCAATATTTCAAAAGTCGTCTACCTAATATAAAAACTTGTGCTAATAAAAATTGTAATTTTTTTTGGCTATTAAACGATTCAGTTAAAAAAAGAAGTAAGTCCTAATGTAAATCTTACCCTATTACTTATTTACCCTCGAAAACATCCAGGACTTCTTATCTCAACTTTTGTCCTCATTGTAGATTTTTATGATAGAAGTAGGATTTAAAAAAAGTGAATAAATAATTTAAATTTCATTAATTTTGTAGGAATTATTAATTTTAATTCCATGGATTTGAGCCATTTCTATTTTTAAAGTATGGATTTGCTCCATTTAATAATAATAGATCAGCAGTTTCGTAGTTTCCATATGCAATTGCATAATGAAGTGCTGTGTTCCCCTCTAACTATCTTTAAACTGAAAATTTACATCTTTAACATTTAAAAGAACATTTTAATTGATCATATACTAAACTAGTTCCTTATTTCCTGACTGTGCAGCAATCATAATTAACGGCTTTCCCTAGGCATTTCTGGAATTAAGAGAAAAGTTTGGGTTTTATCTTAAATAATCTATTAATTCATCTAGTAAATTATGTTCAATCATCAATTAGACCACAGCAATTCCTGAATGTTCTTATTTAATTGCATAATCAAAAATCTATAAATTTTACAATCTTATCTATTATTTGTATTTCACAGGCTAATAATGTAAAATAAATACAATACTTTATCTTTATAATACCTTTAAATGACATCTGCTTAGTCACTTTCATTGGATTGATTAATCTCATCTTCTTAAATTTATTCAATTTCTTAAAGATTTTGTAAAGATCTGCTTACTCTTCGATCCTATTTTTCTGGAATAAGCAAACTATTTTGATGCTTCTACATTATTTAGATTTTTGGAGCTTTTAAACTTTCATTTTAAAAGCCTATTACTGATTTTCTGGCCTAAATTTTTGCTTCCCTTGTTTATTTTCTAAGATTCATCATCATAGCCTTTTTATCTAGATTCAAGGGAACTTATTGTTGTTGTTATTGTAAATAATTATCGTGTTCAAGATCAATGATGCCATTACTATTTTAATAATTACCTATTAATATATCTAGATATTTTTTATATATCTGTGATGCATTAAACTTTCTTAATTTATTATCTTTATTATTAATGTTCGGAACAAATTCATCTATATTGTTTTAATAGATTATTTAATCCATATCCGTAGATTCAACAGACAACAATGCATTTTTTGTTTGATTGTCCAATTTACTGATAATTGGATATAACTAATAGTAATTATTATTTTTTGTCATTTCAAGTTAAATATATTCTATTTGTTTCCCAATTATCTCTGGTTGTGAGTCTTGTAAAAAATATTACGATTAAAACTCCTCATCTTTTACTTCAGTCAATATATCTATCCTAACCTATATTAATTATATTTATTTACATTCCAAACGAAGTAATTTCTTTAATGTATCTAAATTTTTAATCTTCTATTTTTGTATGGGTTACTTTAATGTTATGGTTTTGAATATAGAATCTTCTTAAATCATGAACTGACTCCAGTTATATTTGATTTTCTTCTTGTTTTTTTTCAATGAGATCTAGAAATTCATTTATTTATTAATATAAACGAAACTTATTAAGACATTTTTCAACAAATTGATTAAAATACAACTTAAATTATTACGAAGACTTTGAATATTTTTGTTGCTCCTAAAACTAGGTTTATGAAAAATTTTCTTTCCAAATTTTCGAATATTTTCTAACTAAAGTTTTTGATTCTGATTTTTCGCTTTAAGAATCTTTAATATTCTTCAACACCTTCTACAAAAAAATCTGCTATTTTTATGTTCCTTATTGATGTCGCTTAAATACTTATTTTGATTTCTTTTCATATTCTTGATACGTGATATTTATAAATATCGGTTATCTTTTTTTTGATTCTGATTTCATAATAATTAGATTTTCGTCAATTAGATCATTGTGATATTTAGTTATCTTTATTAGATCATCCTTATTGTTTTAGACTTCTTTTGCTGAACGAAATTAAGATTAATAATAATGTTTCTCTTAATCAAAAGCAGGATTGATAACTTGAGTTTTAGGTACTTCCTAAGGAGATATTTAATAAAGTGACACCACTCTATTAGATTTAGGTAATGTGTGAATTTTAAATTCAGATGATAAGAAGCTAATAGATTACTGTCTTTCTGTATTATAGGGTTAGGCTTATTCATCCAAATTTTGCGATTACTATCCTTTAATATTCGTTGGAGTTGTAGAGTAGCTTCTGTAATGAGATGTAGTATAAGCCCTTGAGGAGGCTGGATTTGGCTTTTTGTCATTGATGGTTTTATCTATGCCTTTGGTTTTTAAGAAATTGATTGCTCTATCACTATTGCTTTATACTATCCTTCTGGCAATGTAGAACGTAGATTTTGTTGAAGATTTAGTTTAAACCACATCCTATTTTGGGAATTTCAATTTCAAATGATGCTTAATCATATAAATAATTTTAATTATTACAAAATTCAGCACTCAATATAGTTCTTAAGTATAATTTAGATATTGTTACGAAATGTACTTTTATTTTTAAGGTACCTTAATTTGGCTTAGAGCTTTGACTTTAAATTTGCCACCACTCAAATTCAAGGTCGAAGATTTAGTTAAATTATTAACTATTCCTAAAGTCTTCATGGATAAGAAATTCTAGTAGAATTTTAATTCTTCTTTTAGATCTTATTATTGATCATCTCCTTTTAATTGTTTCATGTAGGTCTATTTTGTTCTTGCAACGAAGTTCGCAAACTCTTTTAATAATTTCACAGTTTTCCAGTGTCCATATAACCGAATAAATCTATTTGTAATCTAAAGCAGCAATAATCAATATTGATACTTCTTTATATTTTTCAGAATTCTTTTTGTGATGCAAGAATTGTAACCACGATTCAAATAGAGCCTACGCCTTAAAAAAAAGTATGCTAACCAAACTAGATTAAGGATTGAAATTCTAATTATACGGTATTTATTGAAGTTCCAAAATTCTAATTTTACATAGATTTTATACTTTTCCTCTTCGGTCAATTCCTTCTTTTTGCTATCCTTCTTTTTATCCTAAAAGTATGCTGGTTTTTATTTATCAAAAAATCTTCGACTTGTAATCTTGTTGGAATTACTGTCGATCACATAATTGACTGATTCTTAAAATAGTTTTAACTGTCTTCCAAATTATGTTACTTTTTCTTAGCATATAAATGATGGAGATACCTCTAGCCATACTTGCTAAAAATCTTTCATCTAACTTATCATATTTTATTCATACTTTTTGAAAGGATTTTAAAAGATCAACCAGTAAAGCAGATTGAATTTTTAAAATCATTACAGAAAATGTGAAATCATTAATGTTTTTCTGGTCCTATCAATATATGATATTTCAATACTTAAGATAGAATTCTTTCTAAATGCTTATGAAAATCATGCATTTCGGTTTTACATAAAACTAATTCAGTATTTTCAAAAAGTAGTCTATCCTCGAGAGGTTACTCTGGTTCAAATAATTTAGCCGTAAATATTGGTATTTTGTATGTCTCATCAAAATATTTTATTTCGATATAATTTACTTCATCCTCCTTATTTTAATTTGTGTTATTTATATCTAAATCAAATATTTCTTAATACCAAAGCTGTCAAAAAAATCAGAAAGGTCATCATCTTCATCAATCGAGTCCTCTTGTTATTAGTCGTCGTAAATTGGGAATTAATGATCACCAGAAGGAGCCAATAGTCTTTCTTCTGTTTATTTTTTTAACACCTAATCAGATTCAGCAATCGTTGAAATTTAAAATGATGGACTTGGATTTCTAAAACTTGGAAATGGTCTATAGTTAGATTCCTCTTCAGAATCCTCGTCATCACTAAAACATTCTAAAAAGTCCTCAAAATCTTGATCCAATTATGCTCCATCATCTTATGCCAATCCATTGAAGATATCATCAATGTCATCTAAATTTTTTAATAGGTTAATTTAGCTTGAATCCATAGAAAGGGGTTATTAATTCATTATATTTATAATATTATTGATATTTCAATTATTTTTCTTCACATTAATATTTCTTCATATACTTGCCTTATTTACTCTCTATAATTTCATAAATTCTACTACTAATTTTTAATTAAAGTTTTTCATTTGATTTCCTCTTTCTAATTCTATTTCTTAAAGCCCTTCTCTTTATATCTCTATCCTTTTAAAAACAAGTTTAGTTAACTGATCTTATTTATTATTTTATAAAACCCAATTAATGAATCAGAGTTTTGTGCATAACTTGGCACTTGATATATTAAATAGAATTTACCTTCAATATTACTGATAATTTAATTCTTTCTTTAAAATTAATTGGAATAACTATTGTTGTATATCATTAGGGGAATAGATATTAAGTTTTCGAACTTGATCTCAGTAATATACTATGCTTCTAAAAATACTTAATTTTACTGAGATTTATGTAAATTAGATCTCAAAATTATGCTATAATATTTTTAGGCCATAAAAATTTGGACCCAAAATTTAAACATAATATATGTAGGCAGCTTGATTATATTCTTTAAAATTATTGGTTAGAATTATAAGCTATAAATATATTAATATTAAGAATATTCAATTTATAAAATAAAATTAGATTTAAAATCTGATTAGCAATATAATTGCAGAGAAAAATAAATTTGACTCTTGTATCTAGTATTAATTGCTTCTTTAGATTAGTAAATCAAACTTAAATCACAATTTAAGAAGCTATGAAATATAAATAATGATCTATTGTTTTATGTAAAAATCAGTATTTTTAGAGTTTATAATAATGGTATAATATAAGGTATAATATATTGGATCAAATATTAAATATTCATAAATTTCATATTGGAGTTGCGTACTTCTAGTTTTATGATTTAGCATGATGAACGATAGTTTCGTTGTGATTTAAAGTGGTTTTAGTCATTACTTCATCATGAGAACTGTTTATCTTGATGAGTTGCCTAAGATGATATTGTATTTTACTATTATCTTTGTCGTTATGATATATTTTAGATCGCCTTTTGAATACTTTATTTCAAATATAACTCAATTTAATTCAAATTTGAAATTTAAGTATTAGTATTATCATTTTATATAGTTACATGATGATCCTGATCTTCATATTTTTTCATATAGTCACCAGACCAATAACTTAATAATTATACTTCAGACTTCATTGTTGAGAAAATGAAGTATAAGTCAATTAAAAATTTAAAAGTTTTCTGTTAAAGTTGCTTATCTGATTCTTCCAAGTGAGATTCCAATTAATTGAATTATTTGAACTCTTGGGTCATAAAATTAATAGATGAGTGAATAAGTTCTTTCCCAGGATTGTTCTACTCAAAATCTGTTTTATAATGGTCAACTAAAATGTCATTGTAAACTGGAAATTCCTTTTATGAAATCTTCATTTACTACACTAAATTATCAATCAATTTATCATAGTTTGTTCTATTTCATATCTAAATGTACCTCTTATGCTCAAGATAGTCTATAGTTTTCTTGCTTAGAACCAACTAAAGCTTATCTTTTGGATTTTAGAGATGATCTGGCAATGAAGGCTCTTCTAACTGGTTGGTTGGAGGCTACTATTGTGGTTGAGCTGAATGTTTTTGGGGCTTGGCTTGAGTGCATCCCATTAATAAGTATTAAATAAATTAATATTTGATTATTGTAAGTTAAATGATATTTGTTTTGCCCAATTAATAAAATCTTAAAATCTCACTTATCTGGGAATGATTAAGCATGAATACTATAAGAAGAATTTGAAGATGAGGACGACAAAGAGAAAGAGAATGTATCATTTAATGAAGGGCTTAATTTAGTTTATTATTCCTTTTTCTTTTGCTTATTTTAATCATCTTTTTTTTATTTATTTTTGAATTTCTATGTATTATTTCAAATTTATTTTTTTTTATATATTAATTTGTTTCTCTCGTTCCCTTCATTTTTGAATTTACCACCTGGTACTTCTTCTTATAATTACTTTTCTATTCCATTTTCCACATCCAACATTCTGTTTATTTTTCTTATTTATTTGCTTACTCTAGAATCAATAAGCATATATTTATCTCATAATCTTATTTCTATTGATACAATATATCTTCTATGTTTTTCAAAACTTTTTGTTATCTTCTTTTTTTACTATTTTAATTACAATGATAACATATTATCCAATTACATTTACAATATTTTTATTCTTATATTTGTTTTATTCTTTTTATTGAATAACAAAATCACTATTTGGTTTAGCACTAAAATAATTTTTTGAGTTCATGTAATTCTTAATATAAAAATCTTTAATTTCTTCTTTAAGCTAGTTCTTTAAGAATTCAATTCTATTTCCTTTAAACTTATTTTAATAAAGACCTTTATTAATGAGCAGCTTGAGAAAAATCAATCTAGATTCTTCTATCATCTATAATGCCATTTTCAATTTTTTAAATATAATCCTTCACAAGTCACATTAATTTATATTTTCTAATATTTTCAAGGGTTACATCTCTTTTTTTTGCTTGATGGTATTTATTCTTTTGAAATCTTTATTGTTGGCCTTCTTTAATTAAGACCTTCCAATCTCATTCAATTTTACAATCAACCTCAAAAGGATCAACAATGATATAAGTGCTCTTAATCCTAATACTAAAAAGAAGTCTGCCAACAACATCTATTTAAGTTCCATTCATTTATTATAGGACTTGAAAAGACTCCTAAATTTATTCAAATATCGCATGTTTCCCATTATAATTAAAGAGCATTTAATTAAATTAAATGTAAATATCTGATTTCTTTGTACGTGCCTACGACTCCATTTCATTCTGCTATAATATACTTATTTTTGATAGTCTTATAATGAATTGATCTAATCTTCAAAATATAATAAATTCTATATTCTGTTTACAATGTTTATTGATACTAAGTAGTCTTTTAAACATTTTACTAAAGAGATCCATTATAAAATTTAGATTTACACAGTTTTTGGCTGTTAAACTAATTTTAGAGTGTAGATCAATGATATGTCTCTTCGTGGTTTATAATACAATTGACATGAATAAAAATTATTATGCGTCAGATCAATTGAGATGACTCATTAAATTAATAATGAATCAAAATTTTGAAGGATCTTAAGCTGAAGTTCTACATCCCACAACACATATGCAAATATAGGCTGTCTAACATGAAAAAATTATCTCAGGGTTCGATCATGACCCTGATAAATTTTTAGGAGAATTTCAATTCAACTCACATTTACTTACAAGACAGTATCTATTGGGAGATGGTATGAATCAGCATTATTTTAATAGGAACACAATTAAGATTATACTTTACTAAAGTTACTCCATAAAATGTTCAAATAAAAGCATCATTAGCAATCATTCATGGATTTGGTGAACATTCAGGAAGATTTCTGCATGTATATAATGTCCTTAGAATAATAGTTAGCTGACTTTTATGCCAAGGCTGGATTCGAAGTATATATGATAGATTTAAGAGGATTTGGTTATTCAGGTGGTGCAAGAGGATGTGCAACATAATAACAATTGCTTTTAGATGTCAAGGTTTTAATTCAATAAGTAAACCCCTCATTACCATTGTTCTTATATGGTCATTCTATGGGAGGATTGGTGGTCTTAGCTTTTACATTGTTGAACCCTGCAATTTAGATCGCTGGTGTTATAGCAACAAGTCCATTGTTAGGATTTCCAACTGATCGTAAACTGGATTGGTTGAAACTCAACTTTGTTACCACTGCTGGTAAAAAATTGGAAGACATGGTTGTCAACAGCATGGTCAATCCAACTGCTTTAACAAAGAATAACAATTAATTGAAGCATTCATTTGGAGATAGATTAATGATTCCATTTTGTGGGTTAAATATGGCAGCTTCTATATTGTCCTAAGTAAAAATGATGAAGAGTTATTCTCATCTATTTAATAAGCCATTATTAATTTTACATGGAAAATAAGATGCTGTAACAAATTATCACGATTCTGTATATTTCTTTGAAAGCTGCAAAAGTTAAGAAAAAGCTTTAAAGCTATTTGAAAATGGTTATCATGAATTATAGCATGATGAAGAATGCGATGAATTAATGTCCATTACATTAGATTGGTTATAAAGACGTTTGGATAATGCAAAAATTCTTGGTAATGTTCCTACAGTTGTCAATGTACATCCTTTAAAGAGAAAATCAAATAGAAAATGGAAATTGATTTTAGTTTTCTTGATAGCAGCCTATTTTATAGTTTCCATAAAGTAAATAATGTAAACTATTTTAGATATAAGGATTTAGCTTAAGGTTCATAACTCAAGAAACTAATTATCCCATTATTGCTATTTAAAAAATGAACAAATTAGTTTAATAGTATTATCATTTAATGTTATGTTATTATTGCTAATTCATATATTAATTAAAATAAATACAATTTTCTGATAATTTTAAATTTATAAGAAATTACAATCATTTTAATCCAACGGGCTTTACAGTTTTAAATATCTATTGGCTTAAAAATTAATTAAGATTTCTTAATATAGGCAAATATAATAAAATATTCAAATGACACCTATTAATATATCTTTAATATAGGAAATCTTAAGAATTCAATTATTAATACAACTAATTTAATATTTTTAATATCACTCATTATTTTGATCTTTCAAGTCATTTGTAATTGTTTGATACTATTGAAAATATAGCTCGTTCTTTTATTAAGGATCAAATTTTTCTAGTAGGATACCAAGTGATCTAACTAATATCATCACTATAAAAAATATGGATTCATAAACTAATTTTTCTGCAAATAACTCTACTACGCGTAGGTGATACAAGTTTCTCAGACTATGAAGAGCAGAAAAAGCAATTTAAGAAAATTACATTACTATTAACGAATCAATTATTTTATTATTAAAATAATAAACAGCAAATTTGTAATCTATATTTTGATCATTTTTCAATACTTGCAAAGTAATTTTCTTAATTATATCTAATGTTGCAAATATGCCAAACTAAAATTATTTCATTAATCTTACAATGCTTATTATCAATAAGGTCATATTAAATAATACATTAAAGTTTTCAGAACCAATAAGAGCATCTTAAAATTTAACATTGCTAAATGACATTCTATGACCCAAACAAAACCAACTGTAATTCAAAATCAATTGTATTGTTGCACCAGCTATTAGAGGAAGCCAAGCTCTGTCAATTTTCAAATAAAATTTAGTCAAATAATAAATAGAATTAAATAAGCAACAATAGACCATCATTCCCTATTTGCCCGAGACAGTTAATATAATTAAAAAAACTATGATTAATCAGAACAATTACAATAACTGAAATCTCTAAAAATAACAATCATAACTATTGAGCATATGTATAAAAACATAGGAAGGTAGATTGTTAATATTTTTAAATGACCTTCAAATATGTCAGTTAAGGGTTTATTAAATGCTTAGCAATTATTAAAAAGATAAACAAACTATGCTAATCCTAAGAAGATGTAAAAGTATATTCTATAATTTAAATAAACAGATACTTAAAATTTAATTTATAAAGTATTGTTTGCAAGAAAATTGCAGGCAAAATAAATTTTATCCAAAATGATTAAAAAATGTAATTGACCTCATTAAAAATTAGAGCTGATTAGGCTTATGTAGTTAAATTTGGAGTGTTGTATTGTTCTGCTAAAATTAACAAGGATAAGCCAACAGCAACATACAAAATTTGTTTAAGCAATCTAAAATGAGTTATCAAAATGATAATGAAGATGTTTAATAAAGTTCCAAATATATTTGATGAGTAAACATATTGGCGTCTGAGTGATAATTCTTGGATTCCTTTTTAGACAATAATGTTCGTAAAGATCATAAAGTATTACCTATAATGTGGCAATGGATTCATAACTTTATTAATAATTAGTTTTAAATTTTCAACCTGTGTAAGTGGTAAAAGTAATTATTTCATAATTGCAAAAATTATGTAAAAGGCAATAAATTTGATGGATAAATAAAGAGAAAATAGTAAGTAAATGAAAATAGCAAGAGGAACAATTATGATTAAAAACTCTAGCCTATAAACAATATAAGCGTTTTAATGTGAGAACTTTTTATCAAAAAGGTATTCCATTAATTTGATAATATGAAAACCAAATAAAATGATCATCATGGAAGCACCAAGATATAGAAAATAATAATCGTGAGTTTTGGCCTTTTCTTTGATTTCAACCTATAATTCCAATATAATTTCTTAAATATTTTAGCAAGTTAATTTGGGATTTGATAACTGATCTTCATATTTTTATAATTGTATATCAAGAGTACCCTAAGATTTAACCAATTTATTTAAGTAGGTCATAACTTAAATTAAGTTTTCCTTGCAACTACTTTCTTACTATTCATTTGTGTTAATCATTTCAGTTAAAATAGCACCCATATTACTAAATGGCATGGATATTCCCATTAAATATGAAATAGTCGGAGCCAAATTAATACTAAATACTTATCGAGTATACAAATTTCTGTCGAGTACTTATTAATTGATATATCTTTTATTTCTAATAACTGAATTAAATTTATCTTTATTAAATTTATACTTTTTATTAATACCATAGATGGTAGAGCTGACTTCATGGAAGCTGTCTCCACCGTGATTGCCATCCGGTGACATTCCATGATCCCCCACTACGAATAGCATTGTATTATTATCCATCTTTTTATATATCTTATATAATAGTTTCGAATATTATCTCTATTTCTTCCATAAAAATTTATTACTATCATTTTGACTATGTCCAGAGTGATCAATTCCCAGAAGATGTCCAACGATAAAATCATATTAATTCTCAGTTATCAAATCTTCAATGTTATTTATAATAATATTATCGTCAGAATCTATATCTCGAACATCAAATGATTCGGAAACAAATTTGTAATCGAATGATTTCGGAAACATATGATACCAAGTGTCATCTCCTAATAATGCTATCTTTTTATTATTCCTCTTCATTGAGTAGATGATGTTATCTTCTTTTAACTCTTGGGCTGCCATATTTGACCCAAAATCTACAAAAGCAGGAAAATTTCCCGTTGTTATAGATTTCAAATTTAATTATGTTGCTGTTGGAGTAGAGGAGATTCCGTAATACAAAATTTAATAATCTTCTTAATTTTCTTTCATATCCTCATAGAATGTAAAGTTTCTATTAGCGAATAAATCAACTCGTAATGCATCAACCAAAAGTAAAATGACTTTCATAGGCTAACCATTTGATGATTCATTCTCATTGACATCCTGAAATGTTGGTTGGACTTCAAAATACCCCATTAAATAAAGAGAAAGAGCAAAAACTTCTATTATTAGAAGTCCTATTTAAGTATTATTCCACATATAAATAATTAATTATAACAATTACAAAATGCTTTCTTAGATAAAAGTGTTAGAATTTGCTGGTTTGGCCCCCACTGTATTTATAGGCATGGTCCTAGCCGATTATGGAGCATAGGTCACAATACTATCAAGACATGACTCTCAACCTTAAAATAGTCCCATGAATAGAGGTAAAAAAAGCATGACATTCGACCTAAAAAATAAATAAGACATTGAAATTGTTAAACATATGATTAAAGACAGCAATATATTAATTGATCCTTATCGTCCAGGAGTCTTGGAGAGACTGGGATTATCATATAAGATTTGTTCAGAGATTAATCCTAAATTAATATATTGTAGAGTCACTGGTTTTGGCTAAAATAGTCCATTAAAAGAAAAGGCTGGTCATGATATAAATTTTATTTCCTATGGAGGAGTTCTTGGATATTGTGCTAGTACTGGATCTTAAAAAAGACCTGCTATTCCAGGGAATGTCATTGGAGATTTTGCAGTGGGAGGAATGCTAGGAGTGGCTAGTATTTTAGCAGCTTTAATTAATGTTTAAAAAGGTGGGAGTGGGTAATAAATTGATTTGGGAATGGCTTAAGGAGCTGCATATCTAAGTTAATTTATTTTACATTAAAAAAATGAGAAACTCTGGTCAAATGGAATTGGTAATAATGTACTTGATGGAGGAACTCATTTTTACAATATTTATTAATGTAAGGATGGAAAATTTATGAGTGTGGGGTGTTTAGAGGAAAAATTTTATTAAGAATTTGTAAAAGGTTTAATTGCAGGTGGTCTCAGTCAATAAAGGTATGTAATTCAGATTATAATTAAGAGGTTAATTTATATTGGAAAACTAATTAAATTAGGCTGAATGGGAGAATTTAAAATAAGAAATATCAACACTATTTGAAAGCAAAACCAGAGATTAATGGGAAAAAATCTTCGATTAATTTGATGCTTGTGTATCCCCTGTAGTAGATTTGGAGGAATATGAAACCAAAAATTATTTGGGAGAAAATGTGTTTGTTAAAAGGAATGGTAAAATTGAAGTTAATGGATAACCCATATTTTCAGATTATCAGTTTTAATTTAAAGACATTCCAAAGATTGGTTAGCACAATAATGAGAAACCTAGGTTATGATTTTATTTATCAAGTTATTATAAATTCATTATCAATAATTTCCAATACTTAAGTGCAACAATATTAATATAGTTAAAGTTAAAATATGGATTCCAAAACCATCTAAGGGTTCTTTTATTTTTATTATTTCAATTATAAATATTATTTCTCAAATATTTTGTCAACTGAAAAGGCAAGCCAATTTATTTGGATAATGAATTAAATTATTATCAAAAATAGTTATAATAGAATTGAAAAATGGTTTATTTAAATATTATATAATAAAACATTTTTAGTTAAAATAACTGAAAACACATGAACAAAATTAAAATAACTTTTTTATTTATCTAGTTATCTTTAGAAAAAGTATTTAATAATAATTTTATGATTTGTTCTTATGATTTATGTAACACATTGATAAGTTTAGATTCCTTAATGGAAGGACTGACAATATAATGTTTATGGTGTCCAAATGCTTTTTATTGTTGTGAAATTTGTCGAATTTCAGATAGGTACCAAGCAATTAGAAATAAATTGTTAGCAAACATTAAGAATTATGTGGAGGGATAGAGCAGGCAGTTATAGTAGACAAATAAAGTGTTATAAAAGAAATGCAATTACTAGAATAAATAGGATAAGGGAGTTTTGGAACAGTGCATAAAATATAAATACAAGGACAATTGTATGCTCTAAAGAAGATGAATAAGAATTAATGTTCGAAGGAGGTAAGAATTCATAAGCATTTGAATCATAAAAACATAATTTAGTTTCATTATTTCATAGAAGATGACGATTATATATATATAGTTATGGAATATGCATGTAAAGCTTTGTTAATTTTTAGCTAAAGGCACATTAACATAGAATAGAGAGAATTGCAATTTTTACAACATCTTTATATAATTATGCGAAGCTACTATGTATCTTCATGAAAAGGGTATAATCCATAGAGATTTGAAACCTGACAATATTCTATTGGACAAAAATGGGAATCCTAAAATTTGTGATTTTGGCTTAGCTACTTATGAAAGTGTAATAAGTAGTTTTTCGGGAACATTTGAATTTATGGCACCAGAAGTTATTAAGAATCTACCTCAAACTCAGAAAGTTGATGTGTGGTCATTAGCTGCTATATTATACTGGTTGCTCGAAAACAAACCATTAGTATAAGGTTTAATAAATAAACAAATTTAGGCAATTAGATTGAGAAGATGCAGTAAATTCTTGATTTTAAGTCACCTTAATTTACAAAAATAACAAATCCTTAAATTCAAGATCTATTAAATCAGATGCTAGTCCCTGATCCTGATGAGAGAATTTCATTGCAAGGTGTGCTAAATAATAAATGGATAGAAAACATAGATAGAGTAGAGAAAGAAATTAATGATATTTCCACATAACCAAGTCTTTAAAGACAACAATAAATAGAAATCCAATAATAAATGTAAAATCAAAATGTTAGCATTTTGTAAAAAGTTATATCGCTTTTTCGTTGTGGAGGGAGAGAGAAACAATTTTGATAATGATTTTGATTTTAGATTATTGAGTTTTGAGTTTTTTCCCACTTAATAAATTAATAAATCTAACTGATATTCAATACATTATTTGAAAAATGAATTCTGAAGTCTAAGACATTATAGATTTATATTAGTAGATAGTTTCCAATTTAGATTAGGATCCACAACGCGATGTCACTATGTATTTCATAAGTTGATCTTATAATAGAGAATAACTAAAAAATGAAAGAAATTATTGCACAATATTTAGAATCATGTTTCCATTTCTAGAGAAGGAAATTGATAATATTCAAAAAGAAAGAAATCCAACAGGGGAAAAGTTGTAAGGACTAATCGAATTTTTAGTAAATCATCTTGAAAATATTTTTAGTCTTATCCAGTTTTGACAATGGATTTGTCACATATCAGTGGTCATTCAATTGCTTAAGGAGATTTGAGGCACCTTTATAACTTTTTATAAATCTTGCTTGAACTATCGAAGCTTTATAAGGATTAAGTTTAAAATCCCGGATCGAATTTATCAAGTTAACAAAATTCCTAATTGAACAATTCAAATCCACACGAACGATAATTTGGTATACAATGTCACTTATTTAGATTCCTTTAATGATAATCCTGGGTATGAGGAATCATCTGAAGGGGATGGTGGAAATAAGTAAACCTAATAAATAAAAAGGATTAAATCCTAAAAAGACTTGAAATAGTCTGGAGATAAAGATAAGAATGCCACAATTAAGAATTTACAATAAAATAACCAAAAAAAAACTTCAACTAAAGTTCCTAATTCAAAGGAAAATCAGTTAAAAGCAATTAGCAATAATTTATTACCTGTTACACCTAATTATAATAGAGAATTATTACACAAGATCCAAATTTGCCTGTTAAATACAAGAAGTAACAATAATAATAGCAGGGTTAAAGGACTTCATAAACAAATAAATCACAAAAAAATACAAAGCATCCCTAAGATGAAGAGTAATTAGAATAACTTGATTTTGATTTCTCAGATATTAGTGATATAGATTATGATTTCTTGTAATAACATGATGAAGAGGAAATCAATCAATTAGAAGATGATGATCCAATAAAAGCTAAATATTAAAGAGAATAATAGAAGGACAATATCCGAAAATTATTGTAAGAAAAAGAAGGTGAGGAATAAGGCGAATAACCAGAAATTGATAATTTCATAGACTTTTAAATTTAAGTCATTAAGGAATCATTAGCTAAAATGAAGAGTTAACCTCCAAGTGATGAAAAGGAAACTATTGAAAAAATCATTAAAAATAGAAATTAATATAAAGAATTTTTAAAAGATTATCTTAAGACTTATCAATAAAAATAAAAGAAATAAGAATCCTTATAAAATAAATCAATGCGAAGTTAAAAATAACTCACTAAAATGAATCAAAAAAAGAAAGATGATTTAAAAAAAGAATTTGAAAATGAACATTTGTCAATGTATTATAAATTAAGAGATGAAAAATTAAATTATTTAAGAAAAATGTAATATTTTATTAAATTCTCATAGTCATCGAATCATCTTTGAATTAGAAAAAAGAAAGATTATTGATGAGAAGAAGGATCATCTATAAGTGAGAAGATAATAAAATATAATTACTAGAAATGCACTAGCATCTGTGGAGAATGCCTATAATGATAAGATTTCTATGCTAAAAGAAAAACTATAAAATGAGCGAAAGGAAAGACATGTTGCAGGAGTCGCATAGAAATAGGTAAATTAATTTTTGATGATTTTTAAGATTCTATCTAAATTAGAGAAGGAGTTAAGAGATGAGAAGATTAAATAAATTTAAGAGTTGAAAGATATTTGGAGATAGGAAAAAGAAAGATTCGATTATTTAATGAAAGATGATGGGGAATTAGAAAAGAGAATTCTTTAAATTTACAAAAAATATTGAGAAAATATATGCTATTATTAATTATATACCAATTTTATTTGAAATATATTTTACAAAATCTTTTTTCTATTACAAAGTTAAATATAACCTATACAGAAATATTCCTATATTTAATAGAACCCTACATCAATATAATGATTAAATAAATAATAAGGAATGTTTGTATTTATTAATAACATAAAGAAAAAATATCATTTTTTTTATTACTAGTATTCTTTGTACAATCTTTCATAGTATGCTTCATTAATCCAAGGTTGATCATCTTTTTCATATTTTAAAGGAGGAAACTTAAATGAAAGTTATTCTATAATTTATTATTTCAGTTAAGCTGAATTTTTTTTTGGAGGATATAAAACACCTAATTCTGTATTAGCTATGTATAATTAAGTTGCATTTTTTTCCATTTTCCCCCAAGCTCCTTAACTAAAATTATGACTCCCAATATAAATAGAGGTATAATCATTTATCTCTTCATCTAATCCTGTAATAATCATTACTTTTAAATGGGGAATGTTACCGGTATGCCAATAATAATGATCTGATCCTTAGTATTTATAAAATAGATGCTTGGGGAATTTAGGATTTTCATATAATTGCTTCTTTAAATACAATGGATTTGCAAAGTCAACTCCTCCATGAGTTTAGTTTTCAATATAATCTGCCGTTGGGTAGATTAATTTCAATTTTGATTGTTCTTCCTCTTATTGATTGAGAATCATCTAATTTAATTTTTTGTTATTTTATTCACTTGCCAAAGGTTGCTTATACACTTTGCCTGTACAACATTATAAAGCGAAATCAATATAATTGTCATCTAATTACCCTATGCTAGTAGTTTAATATGTGACACAAACTTATTTAGGGATCTCCATTTTATTATTACAAAGTTCATAGTATAAGACTGACTGAAGTCTCATCATACCATATTTAAATAATTGATTGCCTACAAATCTGCCTGGGATGGATGTGATGAGTTTGATATTTACATCTTTGAAATCATAATCATCATATTTAATTTTAAGGAGATCTTCGAATTTGTGAGATGTAGGCAATATTTCATATAGGAATTCTCTTAGCATAGTCTTAAACTCTTATGAACCTTAGTCTAATTCACTTTTTCCTATTTTAAAGTCCTATATCCACATTGCTTATGACCATATTGTCCAATCTCCAACATGCAAATTTTAACTTCCGATGACAATCCGAATAAATTTAGGAAATTTTAGAATCCATATTTTAGGGTGAAAGGCACCGCCAAACATACATGAACCTAATTTAGATGGCTTAATGACCATCCAATTTGGATAATTGTTATACTTTTCAATTATTTCAAGTTTCTTGTTTAAATTATCATTGTCATTCACAATGTAGAGATCAACACCGGATTTTACAATGGGTTCTAATAATTGGTCTTCAAATCCGAAACAAGTCATAAGAGCACTCTCCAATGTTTTTTTTGGTTTCTAAGTTTTGACATCGATATATGCATTTTCGTAAAGGATGTTAATAAATGGCAAGTGATGTGGTTTTCTTTCATCTTAAGGATATTAGGTCAGACAATTCAAACAAAATGTTCCTACAGGAAATGATAATTTGACTTGCTTTTCTTCAGTTTGTTACTTGATTTCATCATCTTCAATGACTACTATTTGGTCCTTGTCTTTTTATCTTTCTTTTATTCTTTTTTGATTTTCTAAATACAATTCCTTCTGAACTGTATTGATCTCTATGTAAGATGAATTAATCTGGTCTTGTTCTTTAGACAAATCCTGAAGGGTTCTTTTTTTCATAATGATAATGTTATGAGAAGAATTGAATAAATTATATTCAATTAATTGTTTATATTTCTTTTGTAATAAAATGAGTTTTTTTTCCCATTCTTTATCAAGATTTTGAGTTTGAATTCGGTCTTTTGGATGAGGCTGAATCAGAAGGTGATCGCTTTGGACTAACACTTCTTTTTCTGATCCTTTGATCTCTTCTAGGGCTTCTGCTGTGTCTCTTTCTTTTGTTTTGATATCTTCTTCTTCTAGATCTGGATGATGAATAAGAAGAATAAGATCTAGATTCAGATCTTCTGTGACGGCGCCTAAAATTTTAAATATCTTTATACTTCGATCTAGAATCGGATCTTCTTCTACTGCGTCTAGGTGATTTGATGTTTGGACAATTACGAGCCCTAGAAATTTAATTAAACATTTACCAATGACCACCTTTATTGCATTTGAAACATTTATCTTCCTCATTAGGGCCTGTCTTTCTTCCTTTACGATTGTCCACCACATCCACTTTCAATTTTTATCCGTTGTAAGATTACCCGTTGGTGCCCTTCAAGGCTTCTTGTGCTTCCGACTCATTACTGAAGGTCTTAATTTCGAAATTAGTTCATACAACAAATGAATATGATCCCTTATAGGCTACTTCTTTGATCGTTCCGTACTTTTTGAAGATATCTCTCACATCTTTCTCATCTTATACTTTGCTACGGCTGTACCCAGCAACAAATAGTTAATTAGGGATAATATCACCCATTAATTTAATTAATAAAATTAAATCCTAATAAAAATATATTAGATATATTTTATTCCTATATTAATTAGGCAAAAATATATATCTCATTCTCATGCTTCCCTTCCAATCAGATCGTAGATTTATTAATTCCTATTTAAATTCTTCAAATTCCCATTCCCAATTGCTCTGCTTCTCCCCTCTAATTCAAATCCAATTTGATAATAATCGAAATATTTCTTCAGATAAGCAAAAAATATTAAAAAATAAATATAATTATTTAGATGAAATAAAGATCAATCACTTTTTTATTGCCATATTTTTATGAATTTTGAATAATCCCAAGTAATAAGATACTTATTATTCTTTGTAAATTGATAGAAAAAGTTTTGTTCAAATTAGATTGTCTAGATTTGTTAATACAAGTTATTTGTATCCTTTATAAATATCTATAGATGCTTGTTTCTTTTCAAAGCAACTATATCCTGACCTTGTGAGATTTAAGAATTGAAATCAAATTATTAATTTAAAATTCCCTTACGAAATTAGCACATTGTATCTTAAGCTTCCTCATATAACTCATTTTCTGTATTAAAATTGAAAAATAAATACTCTCCTTTTAGAGTCTAGATTATCAATTAATCATTATTAATATTATAAAATTTCTTGCCTTTTATCATCTTAAGGTTAATTGATTATCTCTTCTTCCATAGATTGTTTTGATTTTTTGCAAAAAATTGCACCTAACCGTTTTAAGTTATGACAATTATTTTCGATTAATTCTTATCATAACTCACCTGATGAATCTGGGAAAGGTCATTTTGACTAATTTGTATGATTTATCTATTGATCCATTAGTTTTTAGGAGATCGTTGCCAAACTATTATAAAATTATAATCCATTATTCCTATCAACTCATTCTCATCTTCGCTTAGAATCAACTAAACGACTTCAAATTCCCTTGTTTACCCTTCCTTGTAGATGAGAAACTGTTTATACCATTTACCATCTGACTCTAGAGTCCAAACGATAACATTGTCATTCCAACATCCAAGGGAAATGAACATATCTTCTTTGTTACTATAAAGGATATTAGTAACACAAGATGAATGTCCTTATAGAGCTTAATCAACCCTCAGTGTCTCTTGCTCCTTCTGGCAAACCAAAATCTCAAGACCATAACCCAACACCCAAATATTATTGGATTTATTAAAACCAAAAGCTTTGCACTGTTGAGAGTGTTCAAAACTAGCGATTAAGTTAAAATCATCTGAAGCCTCCCTTAGCTTTAAGTTTGAGGCAATTCCAGAAATTTCTGAGTTTTACTTCATATCAGAGCCCAGATAATAAACAGACATTATGATATAAAAATTATGAATTGATAAATCATTAATTAATCAGTTTATAACATAAATAATGATACATATTATTTGATATAAACAAGCAAAGTTACTATTTATTATCACTGATCTATATTTAGAACCTTGAATACTAACTCCATTCTTAATTATTTTGATTAAAATTCTGATTATTGTTTCAACCCATAACTGCTGAACATTCAAGCTAAGATCTCTTTTCTTGAAATCTTAGAACATATTTTAATCGCTTAAATGTATGTATTCTTTTAAGTGATAAATTTAAGCATTGCTAATCATCATATGCAGACTAAATCCTCATTAAAAAGGAGAACCAATAAAACTTCCGAATTAAAACCACTACCCTAAAATATATATTAAAAATAAAAAACTTAAAATTCGATAATAATTATATATATATATTATTCGAACTTTTTCCTCTAATGAAAATAAAAACGACAAAAATGTTGACAAGTAAGTTCCTGTCAATCTGTTTTTAACAATCCATTTGAATTTAGAGTCATAATGAGCAATAAGTGATGAGAACACATATACCCCATATATTAGATTATTCTCTAAATATATATGAAATTGAATACATTCATTAAAGGTAATTTAAATTTTGATCATGTTTACCCTATGAATAACATGAAAATGTGAATTATATTTAAAAAAAATAAAGAATATTTTATTTTATTAATATATATTTGTGCTTGAAATTTATGATATAAATTCCTTATTATATTTTATATAAATAATCTCCCTTGAAATGCACCTCAAAATAATGGAATAGATATATAATTTAAAAATTAAAGACTTTGTTACTTAGGTCCTGATTCAATATATATAAAATTCTAAATATCATATCACGATAATCATCAAAGTACTGATGAAAGCAAAGATTCCTAAAAATGTCCATCCAAATATTTTTGCTTTATCTTCATAACTTCCTTAGTTCATTGGCGGTACAATTGCCAATGAAAGGAAAAATCCTGTGATAATTCCTCCAATTTAACCATATTTATCATTATGATTTGTGTTAAGTGCTGATAAAGTTATGACGAGGACAAATGTTAATAGAATCCACATAAAACAACATAAAAATGCTCTCATTTCATTCAAAACTTCGAGTGAACACCAATTCAATATTATACACTAAATTAAGTTAGAATTATACTCCAAAGAATGCTCCTATCAATCCATATATAGCAGTATTTGCATGTAAATAAATCAGATCTGTGCAACAATTAATAGAACTTCCAAATAATGCTCCCATGGCTCCGCTAAATATATATAATGAAATTGCTATGATTGGACCTGATGCATATTCAAAACTGGATAATAATATGAGTAAGAAGAAAACAATGCAAAAATAGTGATAAAAATCTCTACTCAAAAAGATGCTTGTAAATAATTATTAGAACATGAACTCATTCTTGATTTAATTTGTAACTAAACCCCCATGACTTTAAAGTGTTGCATCATTGATTTCTAGAAATTATCCTTGTTTTTCGATTCCTCCAAAAATGCATAGAGTAAATAGTAGAGTATATACAAAAATAGCTAAAGTTGTAACAGATTGTATCTTGTATCCAGGAAAATAATTATTCTATAACATTTCGAAGTAATGCATTTATCGGGGATTCGTTTTTACAACTTAAGCTCCTAATTTATTCAAAAATAGAAATAACCAATAAATGGAAATCGTTTTATACTGTCTCCAAAATAATCTTGCAATGTTCTTTGTTGCCTTCTTTACTAATAATCTGGCTGATATTCTCCATAACCGTGTAAATTTGCCATTTAATTATTTATTAATTTTAATTTAATGTCTGAAGTAGAAGAAATTAATTTGGAATCAAATATCAAAAAGCCAAGACATTAAAAATAGCAAAATTAATCTAGGAACATTAGAAAGCCTAAAAATAACTTCAATAGACAAAAAAATAATTCACAAAACAGAAATAGAGATAGATAAAGAAAGAATGATTGGAAATAATAAAATGGAGCCAATACAAGAGAATTATACGAAATTGATATCTACAACTTTCTAGCCAAGAATTAGATCTCTGACCTAATAGTATTAGAATTGCATAAACTTAGAGTGATATTAGATCTAGATGCGGGAATTTGGTTAAACTTCACGTTATTGCCAATAATATACAAGAGAATGAAGCTGAAACTAAAGTAAATATTCAATTCATTAAAGGTAGTCTTGAAGGCTTTTTTCAAAGATTCAAAGTCAGCAGATGAATGCTATTTTCAATATAATGATGCCAAATTGGATGATTTATCCTTAAGAACAGAACGCAAATATTGATATAAAAATTATATATAAAATGAGATAAATATTTGATTTTCTTGTATTCACTTAGTGTTCTATGCTATTATTTTGAGTAATGCCTAAAAAAAATAAAAACTTGTAAATGAAAATATTTATTTTAGAATAATTAAGAAATTTATTAAGCACTAAAACTGTATTATTTTTTCCATCTTTATTATGCTTATCTTGCTATTCTAAGACTTTATCTATCTTTACTAAATTAAATTTAATCCTCGCCATATCTAAGCAGCAATTTTATTGATTCCGAAAGACTAGGAGAATAATAATTCACTCCAAATTTCTAAATTTGTCAAATGTGATCTAATGATTTAATAACTATATAAATATTTATTCCATTTCTAAAACTTATGGCTTCTACTCTTAATTACAATTGAACCATTATTATAAAAAGCTCCTTGAATCATCTAATTAGTTTAAAGCAAAGAATATTATGTAAAAGGATTTCATTTCCAGAGTAGCCTAGTAAAACAAATCTAAATCAGCTAGGAATAGGCATAATTATAAATCAAGGAATAAATATATTAATGGATTGAATCATTTATATTAATATAATTAATAAAAATAAAACTGATGGACTCAGATGATGAAAAACAAGTAGCCCTTCCACCAATTCGAATAAGAAGTTCAGAAATGAAATAGAGTCTAATGAAAGATATATTGTTAAGTAAGACAAACATTTATCGTAAACTTTTAGAATTAGATGAATTATTCAAAAAATAGACATTAGACAAGGATGTATGTGTTGAATTAGTCAAACATTTGAGATCTAAACCAGAGTACAAGATAAGTATATTCTTTTTTTTAATAAATTAGTGGGTGAAGGTGAGTGGCAATGCATTATAGGATCTAACTTCGGATGTTCCTTAAGTTATGATTTAGAACTTTTAACCTTTTTTGATTTTTTATCTAATGGGAAATCAGTACTCCTCTTCAAGTCAGGATGATAAATTTATAATGTCAAGATTGATATATAATATAATAAAGAATTATCATAAGCATTATTTTTGCTCATTTATTTATTCTGCCATGCAGAAATATCAAATTAAATTACTATACATATTCGATTAACTTCATTTAATTTGAATATTTGTTTTAAAAAGGAAAGACCAGAATGCTTTTATAAAGAATCTTCATTTATATGTTAAAAGAATTCTTAAATAAATCAATTATTTAAATAGTTTATAAATCTTAGCAGTTTTATAGGTGAACTCAATTTGATTATAGTTTAAGAGATATAAAATCCATATTTATAGGATTAAGGTATTAAGTATTTGATTATTTTGATCAGGGAATTGATAGAGGTTAATATTCAAAAGGATCTATTCATTTTTATATAAAAATAATAAATGCTTTTTCCAGCTAATTAGTTATTATAATCGATATCAATAGCTTCTAACATATGATTTCTATTCTAAGAATTTGTCTCTTAAGTTTCAAAATTTGTTGAATAAATAAGTTATATGAATATATGAAATTGCAGTATTTAAGCCTAGTTTTAGGCTTATTTTAATGTTAAAAAGCCTTTCCTAAAATGATATAAATATTCTGCATTTAACTGGAAAATGACTTCAATTCTTGCAATTATCTTAATGCGCTTGAATTATATGCTTGAAATAATTGAGACCAACTTGACAACTGTTTTTAGCCGTATATTAGTTGATTATTTATATCGATTATCTATTATTATGATTTAATGAGTTTCAATAAGAATGCCATAAAATTACTCTTGTTGGTATGATGGATACGAGAGTTAATAGAATTTAACTTTGTAGAAATAAATCTGCAATAAATTAAATTAGGAAGTGTATAAAGGTTTCATGTAAAATTTATGTCAAACATAAATTTTATTTTTGTTTGTAAATGTCATAGCTAAAACTTCAAGTAATAGGGTTTTATAATTTAGCATTGCTCTAGTTCATGCGCTCAGAGTTCTTAATGTAAGATTTAAACGATGATGCATGGGAAGTAACCGGATCCGATAAGTGCTTAGCAATAGGAAAATTTAATCAATTTAGGAAATTCAGATTAGAAGAGAAGGAACAGTTGTGCTGGAGATCGTTTCATCCCAATGATCAAGAAGAAATTCAATATACTATCTGAAACCAAGGCTCCAGCCCAAGACATAGCATCATCTTAGGCAGCCTTGGAAATGCTTTATAAGCAGTAAATTCTTGATTAGGAGCCTGTAATGGAGCCAGAAAATGGTTCACTAAAATTTGTGAACCAAAATAATTTCTAATACAAGAACGAACATCTACATTATATAGATTCTATAGATCCAAAAAATTACAATAGGTAAACAATAAAAATAATAAAAGTCCTTTGGTGGATCATAAATACTTCGCATTGCCAGAAACTATGTCCAGCTATTATGGGAAATACATAAGAAAAATTCCAAAAGTGCCTTTTAAAGTTTTGGATGCCCCTTAATTACAAGATGATTTCTATTTAAATTTAATAGATTGGAGCAATCAAAACACCCTTTCTGTAGCACTAAGCAACTGTGTATATCTGTGGTACAATTCTAATTTAAAAGTAGGAATGCCTAATCATCAAAAGTAACCAAGTTGCTAGATCTGAGTAATGACATAGTCACTAGTGTTGGATGGTCTTTGAGAGGACCATTCTTGGGAGTGGGAACAAACAATGGAGAAGTATAAATATGGGATGCTTGTAAATTACAAAAAGTAAGGACTTATAAAAGTCATGTTGCCAGAGTAGGAACCCTATGTTTTGCTGAGAATATGTTGAGTAGTGGTTCAAGAGATAAATCAATACTTTAAAGAGATTTAAGACAAAAGGAAGACTACTTCTTCAAATAGACTGCTCATAAATAAGAAGTTTGTGGATTGAAATGGTCACCAGACAGTCAATTATTAGCCTCTGGAGGAAATGATAATAAATTATACATTTGGAGTGCAGCATAACATGATAAACCTATATTCAAATTCACAGAACATTAAGCAGCTGTCAAAGCTATAGCTTGGAGTCCTCATTAACATGGATTATTAGCAAGTGGTGGAGGAACTGCAGATAAAACTATCAGATTTTGGAATGCTTTAGAAGGAAAACTATTATCAAAGGAAGATACTGGAAGTTAAGTTTGCAATTTAATGTTCAGTAAGATGGAAAATGAACTCATTTCTACTCATGGTTACAGTCAGCATTAGATTATATTGTGGAAATGTAATGGAATGAAAAGAATCGCAACTTTGGTTGGACACACTAGTCGGTAAGATATCATTTATTAATTTAAAGTGTTCTCTATTTAGCTATGTCTCCTGATGGATATACCATTGTGACTGGAGCAGGAGATGAGACATTGAGATTTTGGAATATATATCCTTTAAAGATCTTGGTGAATCATAAAACAATAAATGCTAATTGGTTCCACAGAATATTAGTATACGTTGATGTGATTAACTTTATATACTCATTTTTTTTATTGATGATGATGTTAATCTTTTTTCTCTGGCTCAACGTACAAATGATCATAAATAACAGCATGGTTTGTAAGTTCATCTAAGAGTTGCATCAACCCTTTCTTTCTAAAATTGCAATATTTCCCTAAAGGTTAAGGTTTCTCAATGTCTATTGCCAAAGCGATATCCTTTCTCATTTAGAGAATAGTCGTCGTTTCAACTACAAATTAATCCACTATGAATTCGATTGGATCTATTTTCTAAATAATAATTATTGTATTTTTACTGGCTAAATTAGACCACAACTAACAGTTTGTTTCCAATCAAATTCCACTTCTGAATACACTATCACAACGAGTAAACTGTTAGAATTTGTGTCTTTTTGAAATGAAAACACTAATCTATTGTTGATAACATTAGGAGTGACTCTACAAATATGATATTTAATTACTATTATTTGGTATGTCTTTAAATGTCATCATATGCCATAGATTTGATCGAATCAATTATTTTACGAGATTGAAGAATGCTATATGAATAGCTTCCGAAAATGCTCAAATAACTAGGTTGATCAGCACTCTTCTTAAAAACATCTATATTCTCATAAATTTCAGTTGATGTACTCACTTGTTTGATGGCATCCTTAATTTAACCAACCATAGCAACAGGATTGCTTTGAAGTTGTTTTATTAACTCTTTATTTGCCATTCCAAAATAACAATTTGATATTATTCTGTTGTATAAACCTACCTTCTCTGTCTTGAATTTGGTAATCTTTTCTTGTAATTCAAAATTGATTGCATCCAAAGCAACCATGTTCTTTTCCATATTATACAAATATTTGTAAACTGATATCAATCTGTCTTAAATCTATAGTCTCAACTCTCTTAACACTTTTTTGCTCTCCTTGGTTCTAGCTAACTTCTAATCTTCGACCACTTCATCAGATTACTCTATGTTAAATTAGACTTTCTCATCAAATGCCTTCTCGAATTCTTTTAATTTTATAATATTTCCAAAAAACCCTTATTCCTTTTACATTGCTGCCTTCTTCTTTAGAGTCGTAGTCACATCATTTTACCCAGCCAAAAAATCATCAAAATCTTTCTTATTTTTAAAACACGAAACTATTCTTATCAAAAGAGCAGATAAACTCACAGGGTTCCACTAATCAAATCTATGAAAAGGGGGTTAATCTTCAGTTCTCAAAAAGGATTCTATGGCATAACATCCACAGTCACTGCAATGTCTCAATGACAATGACATTGTAGTGTAATATAATTATCGAGTTTTCAGTTTAACTTGAATTCTCTCTTATCCAGAAGTCTCATCAGGTTCTGCTTCGGTTAGATAACTAACTGCTTGAGTCTTAATACTCTTGGCAAACTATTCCATAAGATCTTAGTTCTCTGCTGAGACATACTTAATTTTCTATATATTCTCAACAATGCTTTTAGTGGCCCAATAGATTGACTTAACTCTTGGAATTATTATATCGTCACTGTACTCTATTGCATGAAAATATATATCCTTTACTTTGTTTACTTCATTCTTTGATATGTATTTGCTGGCCATTTGAATCTTCTCTGGCAATTTATTATTTTGTATTCCGTTTGTTGTACTTGCACCATAGGCTATTGCATTAAATGCAGTGATTCTTCTGGGAGCATGATTTGCAAATATTTCAGTGATATTCTACCACAAAGGAACATTTTCAGGTTCCTCTTCTCTATCGTTGATAAAAAAGTCAAACATTTCCAAAAAACATTTAATATTCAAAAAATTTGATTCTGCCTTTTAGTCTATTGTTTTCTCTGACTCCGATTTCTAAGCAGTTGATATAAACATATTCTAATAGTTTTGATAATATAACCCAAGCATTCTACATTGAATTTATTCTATTTGTTGATTGTTCTTTTAAAAGAAAGGCTTTACTACTTCATAAGTTTTTAAAAATAGCTCCCTCACTGCAACTGGTACATCATATGGTCCTTTCTTATCTTAAGGCAAAAAGTTTGTTAATTTTGGAGCGAATTCATCCCAAAATCCTTTGATGAATTCAACTCTTTCTTAAAAAAATTTATTTTCTTATGGACCATCAAATTTAGGCAATAGTACATCGCATCCAGGATTTTAGAGATGATTCTAACTAAAGACCAATGCAACAGGTTTGAGGTTCTTCGCAATTCCACTTGTTAATTTATTTTCAATAGTTTTGACTGAAGTTTCTATCAATTTTAAGTTAGTTGTGATGCATTAACCAAATTATCCTTGGAATTAAATAAACAAATTAGTAAATGCATACAAGGAAGGTTCATTTGTCTCTTTTTATGTGAAGATCAACTTTTTGCTAGTCAAACTTTGTAATTCTAAACGAAGTATTTGTACCAATAGATTGATTAAGATACGGTACTTTCGTTTATCATTGGAGATGTCTCCAAATGTGTCCATCACCAAATCAACAAAGTTCTTCTTGCTCAATCCTCCATGCTTAAAGATATTTATAAAGTAGCAAGGGTGCAACTGAAGCATTGTAAACATTATTTTATAACACAACGAACAAGTATAATAAGCTTCATGTTTCTTTGTTTTTTTCTCTTTCTTCTTATCCTTGTCCTTTTCTTCAGTTTTAAACTGAATATCGAAGGGCTTGCGTTAAACTTTGTTGATAATTGTCAGCATGGCTTCATCTTTGAATTTCCTAAATTCCTATAAATGTATTTCCTTAATTTCTTTATAGAGTCGTTGATTTTCTTGATCCAATTCTAAGATTGCATCGTAGACATCATCAACAGGTTTTTCTTCAAAAAAATTGACTCTTTTTGTACTCGACACTCTTTCTAGATCATCTCCTCTATCAACATATGAACATCTATATATATCTGGTTTGGATTCATTAATGAATTGTTCCCAAGAAGATTTACAAATCAATTTGCCCTCTTCGATCATCCCTAAAGAAGCACCCACAAAGACTCTTTTGCTTAATGGTCGCTTTGACATCTTTTTATTATTTAGTTGAAACCCATCTGTATTCATTCCTGCCTTCTTCTGATCTTTTCGTTTAAACTCTTCTTCAAATTCATCCTCATCATCATCAACCTTATCTGCCTGCAATTGCATTAATTGATATTGTTTGAAAGTGTAATCAAGATATTAATTTATAAACTAGAGTGGTTCTGGTTTAATAAAGAGAGTCTTCAAAGTCTTGATGTTTTCCTTCTTCACTTATTACTAATTTTTATTCTGCAATTACATTTCATTTTCCTTATCTGGATTTATAAATTCATAACCTAAACCCAATCTACCAGTCATTCCATCATAGCCCCAAGAGAACAATTCCTTTACATCTTGGTTTTCTGTCAAAGCCACTGCATGATTGAAACTGCAGCTGACTGTTGTAAATTAAATATCACACAAGGGAGTATTGACAATATTGGTCATAAGGACTTCAACATATTTCTCCCTTTGTGCAGCATTGGCACATTGATTTTTTAACTTCTCTTAGAAATCATAATCAAACAACCCCCAGACAAATGCCTTGTTCTACTTACTTATGGCCATATTGTAACGATCACCCAAACACAGACTTTTGTACTTCCTTGTAGCTAAATCATTGTGCTTGATGGGTGACACAATATAATAGGGCTCAGCCTCTTAATCTTTGTCTGATTTCAGATGCTATTTATCATCAGTGTCATCTTCAGGCTTAGCTATTCCTAAATATGAACCTACACCCCAGACTACTATTTGATCATCAATTGTTAACGCTCCAGAATGATTAGTTCCTGCTGCTGATACATCCTTAAATGAATATTTGGTTTATAATAATTTAGGATAGTATTGATTATCTAAATTACCATGCCCCAATTTTCCTCCATATCCATTTCCCCATGTGTAGATGACATATTTTTAAGAATTGTCTTCTTAATTCCTTTCATTTGCTTTTGTCTTTATGACTCTTTCATTATACTTTTTATCTATAACCAAAGCCATTGAATGATGAGGACCAACAGCTACTTTAGCTACATCAAAAATGAAGGGAACCTTCTATGTTTACAAAACAACTGAGTTCTTGGGTCCCAATCCTAATTTTCCATCGACTGGAGAACCCACTGCATAAAGAGAGCCGCCTTCATCTAATATTAATGTGTGATCTTCCCCACATGATACCTATTTAACCATAAATCCTTCTAGATCTGTTAACATGGATGGAGTTTCAACAAAGTCACTAACAAATCCTAAACCTAATTATCCCTTATCATTCTTGCCCCATGAATAAATGTTACGTCTGTTTTCAACAACCACTACATATTCTAACCCTGTTGCTAAATAAGTCACTCTTTTATTTTCTCTAATTGAGAATGTTAAGACTTAACTAGGATAAGAAGTTTCTGCAATTGTTTCCTGAATAAAAGGACCAATGAACTTAGTCCTCGTTTTAACTTATTCAATAATTTATTCATCTTTTAAACCATGCTACATGCATTTGTTACTCCCCCAAACCCAAACTTCACCTGCATCAGTCAAGGCTACTGTGTGAAAGGCACCACATTTGACATCGACTATATAGGAAGATGCCTTGATTTCCTTCTGTAATTTATTAATGAATTCAGTGCAATGCATCCCAAAAAACAAAAACTCTTCATTGATGTTTTTGGGTTCAATCAATGACTATAGCAAATCTGGCTTAATTGTATTCAAGACTTCATTTAATTTATTTTGAGCCATTTCTTCTCCTTCATCATCGTCTCCTTATTTGTAATCATCGTTCATGGAATTGTTGGTCAGATAATTCTTAGGCAATAATTCAGCTTAGAGATCTCTACCTAAAATTCCTTTAAAAGGTAGACCAAATGATATAATGGATCCACTTTATAGTAAGGCCAATCCATAATGGTAAGATAGGGCTAATTGATAAATAAATTGTTATTTAGATTTAAAGTAGCTAGTATCAATTCTTTGAGGTTCTGGATAATTACTTCCAAATTCATCCTTAATACCTAATCTACCCTTTGAATTAGATCCAAAAGCAAAAGTTAATCTCTCCAATGTAGTAATAAAAGTTGTATTACCACCACATTTAGCATAAACTGCATAGAAATTTTGTATGGAATGAACTTTCACAGGTTCCCACCTATCATTAAAGTCTCCTGTGCCCAATTACCCATTCTTATTAAATCCAAAAGTGTGTGCATATCCATCAGTAGTTGTACATGCTGTATGCATAGCTCCACATGAGACATATTCGACAACCTTACCTATAACAGACCCAGCATCAACACTCATTGGCACATTAGAACTCTTGTTTATGCCATGTCCTAATTATCCATATGTCCCAACTCCCCAAGTATATAGTGATCCTTATCCTTCAGATATACTGGCAGCATGTGAAGGACCAGCACTGATAAATTTCATTCTAATCTTATCAAAATCAATTCTTGTCGGTCTTTATTAATCTACTTACATTGGTAAACCCAAACAACCTGTTGCCCCCTCTCCCCAAGAGTACACTGATCCATATATGTCTAATGCTAATGTGTAATTTGCTCCACAGGAGATTTAACATACTTTAGAGATGCTTTCAACCACTCCTTTCATTCTAAAACACTCCTCTTATTCATTATAATCATCTTCATCATCGTCTTCTTACTCACCCTCCTCAATTTCCTCTTAGGATTATTCTTTATCTGTCATTCTTCCCTATTGTCCAAATTCATCACTCCCACTGGAGAATATTACACAGTCGTCGTAACGCAGACTCTTAAAACCTAAGTCATAACTAAAACTATCATCCATATGCTGAGGATGTCTAAAGATGTTTGTAAATTAATCTTGACTGCATGCAAGAACCATACTGTGTTGGTTACCACAGGCCACTTACAAAGGCACGTATGGTTTTTGTTTGTGTTCTAGATAGATTTTCACTGGAGAGGGTTGAATTTCGGCATCTATGCTTTCTGGTTTCCCTAATGCTTAAAATTCATTGCTTCCCCAACCCCATAATTAAAATGTTTATGGAGCTGTAGTCTTGTCTCCTTCGCTTTGTATTGCCAAACAATGATTGACTCCTGCTGCCAAACGAGCAAATAACAAATCAGGATTAATTCGATTATTCACTTGTAATTTCATTATTTATAATAAATTATTATAATTTGCATTCAAATTAATACTTTTTATTCATCAGATTATAATTTTATAGTTAAGAAAATTAAATTTGTAATTGAAATCAGTCATGTCACAATAGGATGAAAGATCAGAGGAGATTGAAGACTTCAAAAAACCAAGTTAGTTCCAAAGTGAAGAATAAAGAAATCTTCAAGAGATCACAGAATAGTTCAACCATGTAAACATTCAAAGTGCGCCATCAGGAGTTCAGAGTCCCTAATTGGCTTCTGAATTGCACTCTCATCGTCAAGATTAGTCTAATAATTCCCCTCAATCCAATTTCATTAAAATTGACAAGAGGTTCTTACTTCCAGAACAAGCCAATTATATCACATATCTCTCTGATAACACCAAGATGTTAAAGGAAAAATATGTGGAACACTGCATGGATAGCTTATAATCCATCTAGGACTTTGTGTTGAGTCAAGGACTGAGCAGAAAAAAATAATAGAGTTATTGCCAAAAGAATGATCAGAGCTCCTAATTGAACAACCAACCTCCACATATCATGGATTTAAGTTTACAAAACTCTGGACAATTTTAAAAAATCAATCTGGGGGAAACCAGCCAAAAGAAATAGTCAACCAATAGCAAATCTAATATTAAAAAACTCAAAGAAGACCCTTAATTCTAGGAGAAGTTGTTCTTTGTTTTTTAAATCTTAGACCATTTAAAAAAGTTTGAAATACAATCATCCTCTAAGAAGATCTCCATCTTAGAGGATTCGTTGATAGTCTGTTTCGTGTTTTTATAATTATCAAATGAAAGTAAATCCTTGCAAGAATAATACGACTACATACAGAAACACTATAATTATTAGAGATCCTTCTAAGCTTTTTCAACAAGGTAATTTTCCTGATTAGATTTATGTTAGAATCAAAGTTTAACGTAATCTATATTAATAATGGACTTTAGAGAAGTTAGAGTAACTCTTAAAAGTTCTATAAAGATACCCAAAAAAAGACCTTGAAGATCTTACCTTAATATACCATCACAATATCAAAATTCCAACCACACACTGATTATGATAATTGTATTCTTGTATTTAATGGCTACAATGATCTATATATTCTATAATTTTAAATTGATGAGAGTCTAATCTTTTGAAATTAAGAATATCATTGTCCATAAGTATAGCTTTAATTAATACACTAATGCAAATACCAACACGATGGTCACATAGATTTATATAACAAATATAAATAATTATAAATAATGTCATAACAATTTTATAACAAATACAAGCATTTATTTGATGATGAGATGTTTGATAAGATGAAGCATGGATATGATATGTAAATGGCACCTCCTCAATAATAAATTCCCTAGTTTAAATTCTAATAGCAACAACCTAAAATTCAACAACATTAATCTCCCATTTTGCAGGAATCACCATTTAAAATTAGTCAGCCTTAATCTCAATACACACAACCTTAGGTCCAATCTTTTTAAGCTTCCTCCTAAGAGAGATCAACACAAAGCAGAAAGAATTTTAACGATGAAAGAATAAGAAAATAAGTTATGCAAGACAACATTTTCAAATAACCAACAACAGAATAACGATAGGCAGATAGAATCTACCAATTAAACCAACCGCATTAAGTTTAACACCAAGAATAACCACCCCAGGAGAGGAAATAATAGCAATAAACTTACAATGTGTTCTAAGATTAAGACATATTAGATGATTATGCTCCTAAGAGGTAGAGATAACAGGTTTAGACTACTAATGACAACTCATAACTAAATAATGTTCATAAAGTATATCTTTAGAGATTGTAAATTTAAAATATATTCTTAGAAATGATCTTGAATTTATAAGAAAAAAATACCTTGATCCAAAACAATTGGTTAGAGACATTGATCAAAACAATCCTTATAAGGCTGCGTTGATGTAGCGCATTTTGGCATAGATGAATGGAAATTAAAGAAAGAGTAAATTGAAAGAAGCCTTAAGAAATTGATTCATATTTTATTATAGTACTCAAAAATATTATAGATTTTAAATATATGTTGAAGATGTTAAAATAAATACTGATCTATAAGTTTATAGCTCATTCATTAGCATCATCATTCTTTTATTTTGTAACTTTGGCAGAATTAATAGCTATTAGATATTTCAATAATAATACATAAGACTTTTTCTCCTGATTTGTCAATATCAGAATGTTTCTTTGAATCATATGGCCATTTGTCTATTAACTCCAAAGGATTCTCAAGATAGCTACCCTCACCAAAGTTGGCCTTCAATCCATAGATTTTACCCTATATGATTTAAAGAATAAGTTACCCAAAATGATGGATGTCCAATATCATTTACTACTCTTAGGTAGAATGCGTTAGGAACAATATGCTAAGCTATGAAAATCTTTTCAGTTGGTCCTTTAGGAGTAAGTACATAAGCTCTAGCATGATGATTCTCATATCCAAAGTACACGAAAGTCCACTAGAGCTCTTTGATTTCAAAGGTATGAGACAATGGCTCAAATGAAGGGTCTTTTATTGTATAGGTACTAGCCATCAAATTATCGGTTTTTGCAAAGAATGCTAAGGTTCTATCTCCAATAAACTTATCATCTGCAGCAAGATCAGGTCCATTTGTAGTTAAAACGAACTAAACCAGTGTACTCATTTTCCATTTCTGGGAGTAAAACGGCATTTTGGAACCAGAATCCAATACTGTAAGATTACATTTCTGCTTTGTCTGTGAATTCAAAATTCAATTAATCCTTCTTAGAATCAAGGTCATCCTGATTGGTTGTGTCCAACAAAGAGACTGGCCATTTGAAATCTTCTGCCTATTAAGGTGTAACTGGTAATTTCCTGTGTAATTTATGGATCATCTCTACGACCTTTTGGGATTCACTGATGTAACTTCCAGCACCTAAGAATATTCTTGGATCATAGAACCAGCCGTGGAATGCCTTATATCCGAATTCATTAGCACCTAAGACAAAGTGAGCATAACCAGTTAACACCTGATGAGTGACCTCAATATTTAGATGGGCTGCCTTTTATTGATCCTTGAATAAGACCATACCATAGAAGTTCTTATTCTTATAGGCAGCATAGATATAAGTCCATTCGCCTTCAATATTATCATATGGCAATTTAGCATCAACTGCATTAGTAGGTTTAGATGCATCATATGTACTGAATTCGTAATTTCCTTTTGTAAGGAAGGCTGACAATACTCTGTTTCCTAATTCGCTCTTATCTTAATATTGACGAGTGCTTGAGAATCTGAAAATAGTGTGGACATCTGCTCTATCAGTCAGAGTAGTAGGGAATGCTATTAACCATCTAGTCCAAACACCAACTGCATATTCATCGACTGATTCAGTTTCAGATGTGAATGTTTATTCAACCTTTTCAGGTGTTTAAATGATTCTATCTTCTTTTTCAAACCAGAGATATTTTTAATTGATTTGAATATGTCTAAAGTTAGGTAGAGTATCTTCATAGCCTTTCTTCATTACATCAACAAATGCTCCTTATCCGTATTAAGCAACCCATTTCTACAACTCTCCTTAGAATCTTCTACTATGAGGGTCCTTGCCTACATAGATTCCTATGAAATGTGGAACAAAGTGTTGAACTCCTTTGAATATAATTGGTTTATCTTCTTCAAATAAGTGTAATAAAGTTTGAACTTCACCAGCATTTTCATTGTATGCCATATATAAATATGCCCATGCCTTCTTTGAGTTTCCAAGTTCCACCTTTTCTTCTAAGAATTTAGCTTCATTCCAATCCTTGAGTCCCTTCAAAGTATAAGTACTCAATTTAACAGTGTCACTTGTACATATTTAAGCATGTAATGCTTCTATCTCCTTATGATTTACGATCACTTAAATGTTCTTTATCATTGTTAGTGATTCTGAATAATATTTAACAAGGTGAATTTATCTCTCCTTCTTTCTTCACTTAAGTTTCTGCAATCTTAAACCAACCAGAAATAGCATATTCTCCTACTCCACTCCAAGTATCACCAGTACTTTCACTACCTTCATTATTATCACTTTCACCAATCAACTATTGTTAACCATGTTTTTGTTTATGAATATAATCAACAGTTAATTCTTAAGGTAAAGCAAAACTAGTATCAATTGATTTCATCAAATCTTCACCTGATGCTATGAATGATCCAACTCCAAAGTGAGCAGCTACTTCAGTAAATAAACCTTAAAATGGAGCAACATCCTTTTCTCCTCCCAAAATCAAATGAATGAAATCGCCAAGTGGTTTATGTAATAAATTCTCATTTGTGGCATGTTTAATTTCCTCTCCATCAAATACAAAGTAGTTAGCTAGCTATAATTGTCTCTTATATCCAAGATATATGTAATGCCATCTTCCTTCCAAATGAGTATAAGGAATAGTACTGATTTCATTAGGAGCATCATCATTCAAGTCATAAGAACCAAATTGGTAATTGTCTAAAACAACCATGGCATTTAATATTCTATCTCCAATAGCAATTTTGCCATGATCCACTTCATCATTGTATGTTAATCTTAAGATCTACATTTCAGATGGAGTATGCCATTATCTCTCTGGCCATGCTTATAAGAATCTAGTCCATAGACCAACTGAATATTCCTAAACGCTCTCTATGTTTCTATCAGGTTCAGAGAATGTAATCTTCAACCCTTATTTGTCTGGATCACCTGAAACCAATGTTATAGTATCATCAGCTTCCCAATCAAATTTACTATCAGTGCTAAACAATTTAGGAGCTGCCAAATAGACTTAAAGAGTGTTGAAGTTATCTTCTCTGTAACTGCCATCTCCAATATTCAAAATAACTTGAGCCAATCTACTATCGAATGGTTTTGTCATTGCATCCTTTACTAAGAATAGCCAGTAATTGTTAGAAACAACATGTAAAGCTTATTCTAATCCTTTGTGTTCATCATCATCAGCCAATAAATAGTAACTAACTTTCTAATGTTGTTTGGAATAACCAAAATAGACAAAAGTCCAGACTTCCAATTATTATGATGGGATTTTAGCTTCATATGTGTTCTACAAAGATAGAGGATTTAAGTTATAAGTACTGAATTCTATACCATCTGTATGGAATAGAGCCAAGGTTCTATCTCCTATTTTTTATGCATCACCCAACGAATCAGGATTTGAAGAAGTGAATCTATAAATCAACTATTGAGTCTTAACTGGTGATTTGAACCACCTGAACCATAATTAGATTCCATATTCTCTGGCCTCTTCATTTATATGTGTAATATGTTGTTCCTCCTCTATCTTAGTAACATCGTGTTTTCCAATCAAAACCTCATACTTTTTGGTGGGACCCAATATATCAGGCATAACATCCTTATTCTTGATTCTTTAGAGTAAACCTTATTTGTTATCGATATAGGCACCTGGACCAAGATTGAATCTGATTGTGGTTATTTGTCCATTGAAATTTGTATAATATTTACCTGCGTTACCAACTGTCAATTATAAATAGTCATTTAATAATGAGTGCATAACATCCATTTGAATTCCTGATGTAGTATCTTGATAATGAGTGAATGCCATGGCATGTCCTTAGGTTTGAGAAATTCTCTTAAAACTGAAATAAATGTATGTCCATTCACTTTCAGAGTCAACGTGATAAGGTATATCTCCAGCTACATTATTTGATTTGGTAATGACATCATATGTTCCAAAATGATAGGATTGTTTTCCTAATAAAACTAAGAGAACTCTGTCTCCTGGATGATCAAAATCTTTGTAATCTTTATTACTGGTGAGTCTACTCAATCCCATTAATTGTGGTCTGCTATATATTGTATTCTTGCTTGCAAAATATTGGAATTTAACCCAATAGCCATAACCATATTCACTGACTCCATGCAAGTGTAACTTATCACTTTATTCAAATTCTATATGTAAAGGTACTTCATCACTTTATGATGAACATTCTAAAATGGTCTCTTCATGATGTGCTTCTTATCCAGCCTATTGTAATTTGATATGATCAGTTCCGCTGATGAATCCGAAATGAACTTTAATATTTTCATTTTCATCCAATCCTCCCTCTCTGAATGATCCATCTCCGATGTTAATAACCCATGTTTTAATTTGACCAATAAATTGAGTGTATGGTTATTTCTCTTAGATCAATACAGAGAACACAGCCAAATAAAAATGATTCACTTTTTCTTATCTAAATTCACTCTCTGTAAATGTGTATTTCAAATAACCATAAGTTTATTGTTTTTATGAAGAAAATCCATAATAAATGTAGGTCCATTAATCAGCATATTCTCCATATGCTTCATCTTAAGTAGCTAATTTGTATTCGCCTTCATTTTGATTATAAGTGACGAAGGTGAAGGCTTGATCTCCTCTGATTATTTGTAAGGTCTCTTCATTTTTATCATCTAAATCCTCCAATCTCTTTTAAGCCATTGTTATGAGATGAGACACTTTGCCAGTAACCAATGGGCCATTCCATTTAACCCATCCAGAAATAGCATACTCTTCTGCTCCTTAATACTTGTCGAATTCATATTAAATTGGTTCCTCTTTAAGCTATTGAGGAGCTCCTACTAATTGTAAGGTTTATCTTGCTACTGGATGAATCTAAGCCTTTTCTGGTAGAGTATTCTATGTAAAGAGTTTTAAGGTTTCTATTGTGGGTACGAATGATCCAGGTCCAAATGAAAATGATATTCTTGCCATTTCACCATTGAATAATGGAGCTGATGTTTTGCCAACAATGAATTCAACATACTCAAATAAATAATCATGGAGAGTGTCGAAAATAACTTCATCAACTTCACCATCAATACCAAATTGAACGTATCCTTTGGCCAATCCCTAATTTTCATGTCTGATATATCCAAAGTAGACATAATTCCAATGTCCTTCTAATTAAGAAAACTCAATATCATCTTTCAATTCCAAAGTTTAGAATTCATAAGAATCTGGAGTTAAAGATATTGATAAGGTAGTATCCTTAGGAGTACTTGGTCTGTTAGCATTAGATCTAACTAATTTACCATCAATAGATTCAATAACATAACCTTAAGTACCCATTCTAGCAATAGTATGAATTGGCGCTCTCTTATTCAAATATTTAGGCAATGTACTCAACCATCTAGTCCATAATCCAAAACCATATTCACTTTATCCATTAATTCTCATTCCTTCTTCATTATGAATTATAATTTTATCCACAACATTTTCTGGAGCATCATATGCTACATCTCTAGCTTAATTAGCATCGCCAGCTATGTAAGTGATTGGTTTACCGACTTAATACACTCCCATAACTCCTTCCCCATAATTGAATGTCATCTCAAATTCTAAACCTTCTCTGTATGCTCCTGTTCCAAGGTAAATACCAACATATCCAATCATACCGTTGAATGGGGATATGACATCATCACCGCCTAAAGTAACACTCAAACTGTTAACCAACTTGTGTTAGATACCTTCAAATTAAATTTCTCCTACTAATCCTGGTTTAATCACTGCACCATAGGCACGACCTCCATCATTATCATATCCAAAGTAAACATAAGTCCAAATGAACTCAGCACTCTCTACTGTCTTTGATAAGTAGGGTTATCCCTTTGCTCTATTGCCCTTGATTGTGTAAGTATTAAAGTACACTGTACTCTTAGCACCACCACCATAGGTATGATGTATTTCTAATGCTCTATCTCCTAAGACTCCTTTTCCTGCAGTTTTGACTTTGTTTGATCTCAAATTAATTATCTAAAATGTATTTGGTTCATCCACTTTTAAGTCGTCGATCCATCTAAACCATAAACCAACAGCATATTCTTCTACAATCAATTAAGATTCTTATGGATCAAAGTGGTACTATTCACCTTTATCATTTCCATTCAAATGTTTAGGTTTCTAAACAATAGTTTCATCTATCATAGCAGGAACGCTTTAAGGGGGATTACTCAGAGTTTTCAGAATTTCATCCAATGCTTCATCTCCATCTACAAATGCTGGAGCATCAATGTCGAAGAAGATATTTGCAAATTGTCCATTTAATCCATGATAATCCAAATGTTTACCACCAAATATAAGTTTGATATATGAAGGTGGAATGTGAGTAGCCTCTAATTCTACTCTATAAATTCCATTACCTTCTCCATAACTAACAATATAACCCACAGCTCTTCTTAAGGGATTACTGTATGAGAACATAACGAAATACCACATACTGTCCATGTTCTCATTTAAAACCACTGCCTTATCTTTAGTCTTCAATTTTTCACTTGTATCGTATGTACTGAACACAAAGGAATTATCGAACATAAATACTGCCAAAGCTCTGTCTCCATAAAATGAAAAATCTTAGTATTCCTCGTTTATGGTCATTCTTGATAAGAAATAGTATTCACCATCCTCTCTACTATGTTCCTTAACTCCATGTTCTGCATATCTGACCCAATATCCATACCCATATTCAGAAGAATCTTGAAGCAATGATCTATCATTAAACTCAAATTATTCAGTAGGTTCACCATCAAATTCAGAATTTTAATATTTTGTATTTACAGCTACAACCTTTCTTTCTTAAACACGACCTGAATTGGCTCTATGTTTTGGGGGTTAAAATTATGTTGGTTCATTTGGATTAGGTTCTTCCCTTAATGATTAGATTTTCAAAGAACGGTCATCACTAGACTTTTATTTTTTTATTTTCTTTTAATCGTCCTAATCCTTATGTGTATCTTTGTGATCTTAATCTGATTTTTATTCTTCATGTTCTTCGCTTTCTTATTTATGCTGGCTTTCTTCTTTTTCCACTGCATCCTCACCTTCTTCTTTTTATTCACTATCTTATTTTTATTCACCATTTGTATGTTCAACTTCCGATGATCCATTTTAAACATCTTTTTCTTCATCTTAACCTTGAGATTAATTATCAACAACTATGTCTTCTTATGTTTCTGTTGCTTCATGATCACTGTCTGATGTTGACTTTTAAGCTTATGTTTCTTCTGTAGTATCATCTACCTTTGTTTCTGATTATGTTTCTTATGTAACTGTCTCTGAGTTTTCATTTGTTGTTGTTTCTGAAGATTCTTCCGTTTTTTATTCCTATGTTAATTCTTGTTTAGATTCTTCAGTGGATTCCTAAGTCTCATTTTCCTAATGTTCTTTATGATCTGTATCTTTTGTTTCATCGCTTTCTTCATCAGCTTGTTCATTCTTATTTACTGTTGCTATTTTAACTTCAGTAGTGTCGCCATCATCATCAGTAGTTCCATTTTTAGATTCCTCAACAATCACATTTTCTTTTGTTTCTGGATCAACCTATGTTAAAGGTTAATCATGAGTTTCAACGATGATTTATTCTTATTCTTACTATTATTCTTATTCTTCTTAATGTTATTCTGAATGTTATTCTTAATGTGATTCTTAATGTTATTCTTAATGTTATTCTGAATGTTATTCCTAGTGTTTTTCTGAATGTTATTCTGAATGTTATTCTTAATGTTATTCTTAGTGTTATTCTTAGTGTTATTCTTAATGTTATTCTTAATGTTATTCTTAGTGTTATTCTTAGTGTTATTCTTAATGTTATTCTTAATGTTATTCTTAGTGTTATTCTTAGTGTTATTCTTAGTGTTATTCTTAATGTTATTCTTAATGTTATTCTTAGTGTTATTCTTAGTGTTATTCTTAATGTTATTCTTAATGTTATTCTTAGTGTTATACTTAGTGTTATTCTTAATGTTATTCTTAGTGTTATTCTGAATGTTATTCCTAGTGTTTTTCTGAATGTTATTCTTAATGTTATTCTGAATGTTAATCTTAATATTATTCTTAATGTTATTCTTAAATGTTATTCTTAATGTTAATTCTTAGTGTTATTCTGAATGTTATTCCTAGTGTTTTTCTGAATGTTATTCTTAATGTTATTCTTAATGTTATTCTTAGTGTTATTCTTAGTGTTATTCTTAATGTTATTCTTAATGTTATTCTTAGTGTTATACTTAGTGTTATTCTTAATGTTATTCTTAGTGTTATTCTGAATGTTATTCCTAGTGTTTTTCTGAATGTTATTCTTAATGTTATTCTTAATGTTATTCTTAGTGTTATTCTTAGTGTTATTCTTAATGTTATTCTTAATGTTATTCCTAGTGTTATTCTGAATGTGATTCTTAATGTTATTCTTAGTGTTATTCTTAGTGTTATTCTGAATGTGATTCTTAGTGTTATTCAGTTTACTCTTGTTGTTATTCAGTTTATTCTTATTCTTATAGCTATTCTGTTTTTTCTTATTGTTATTCTTATTATTCTTCTGTTTATTCTTGTTGTCCTTATTATTATTCTGTTTACTCTTGTTATTCTTATTCTTGTGATTATTATTCCTATTATAATTCAGATTATTCTTATTATTATTCAGATTATTCCTATTATTCAGATTATTATTCTTATTATTACTATTCCGATTATTATTATTCAGATCCAGTAGTTTCCTATCCATTAGTTTATTCTTTAGATTCTTCTTCTCCTTAACCTTTCTCCTAATCATCATCTTTTTTTTCACTCTCATCTTCATCATTATTTAAACCTTCCATTTTACTTACTTTAGCTGCGGACACTACAGATTCTACCTCTTATTATTGATTTTATTATTCATCAGCATTCTCCTTAACATCTCCTTCAATTTCATGACCCAATGCTACATATCTTTTATTTCCTTTGATTTCATCAACTATTTCTTTAGGCACTAACTTCTTAACCTATTTTCTTTATGGTTTTTTGGTCTCATCTTAATGTGTCGGATAAGTATAATGTTGGGGTTCATGATAAATGTAATCAGGAGGAGTTTCAACATCTTCTTCTTCAAAATAATAATACACTATTTCTTCTGGCTCCTCATCAAAATTTAACACTTCATCATCAGGGTCATTATCTATAATTATTGTTGGTTTTTTGATTTCTTGGTCACATACTCTCTTTAAAGTTTGAAGCTAACTTATCTTTTATCTCAATCCTTAAGTACGTTTTGCATATTAGCATTAATTTAAGTATTAGTGGATTTGTTCTTGAGTCTACCTCAAATGGGCTATGATTTTATTTGCTAAAGCAATCTTCTCCTCATTAGCTAAATTATGATCAATTATGAATACTTTAAGTTCCATTTAATTAAGCAACGTATTCAAGAGCATCTTCCACCTTGCAAGCAGCCCATTTGTTTTATGTAAATATGCTTTTCAGTGATTGGCTCACCTTACTCTAGATTGACACCAGCATTGTTGAGTGAATCACAGATATTGTACCTTTAGCTTTTTCTACTATGCTTATAACTTAATTAATTATTGCGAGATCCTTGATTAATTGCTCTCTATTATCTATAATATCAACCCATCTTGCAAACTCTGCTATTGTATATTCAAAATCAGTGTGGCAATTTAAATGAGAAACATCTAGATTTTATGCTTCAGTGTAGGTCATCCCTGACATTTTATATAAATATACCTTGAGTTCTAAGCTCTGATGTTTCTATTTTCGTAGAGATAACCACAACCATCAACAACAAGAATGTTATTAAGGTTTTCTTCATTTATGTTAAAAAAATATATGCTATAAACCGTTTTTTATTTGCTATTAAATTTTATTCTTTACCAAATGAACTTTTAAAAGTCCACCATATTTTGATCTAAATCCAAATTCAAACACCTCGCATCTTAATTCTCCTTCTCTGCTCCCTTATAAAATTTGGTCCAACAAATAATTTTTTATCTGCCAACATTAGTAACTTATAAAAATTTTCAATCTCTAGTAATTTAATATCGATTTTGACAATTAATAAAAGTACAATTTTGTTAAATTATTAATTTATCAAAACACCTATCAAATTGGACAACAAGACCCATGTCTAATATTGTAATTGTCATTTAGATAATTTTATATAGATTTATAACCTTTACAAAACAATTTCAATTTAATAATCTAAAATATTGACATATTTTATCAAAAATTCTATTTAAAATTCTTCATTTATATAATTCATTACAAACTTTTTTTTAATTAAGAAGCATTCAAATTTTTTATTTTTACTTACTTTTCATAAAAATATTTAATCTAGAATAAAGTTACAAAAATTAATGATTCATAGAATAAACTTGACTATTTAAAAGATACTCATCACACAAGTAAGTTCATTTTACTTTGCAATTAATGAAAATAGCTTTTTTATTTCTTTCAATTCAATCCAATCTATTTAAATGAGGAACTGAAGAGAATCCTTTGAAATCTTTTTAAATTATAGGTTGGTAGTTAAATTTGGTCTTATTAACAAATCAAGTAGAGATTTAGATATTTATTCAAAAAAAGGACTAGATGTAGAATAAACTTCAAATATGGATTTTTGGTGAAATAAATAACGATGTATAGACAAAGGTAGATAAGTTGATTTTCATTTCTTTAAAGTGATAACCTACAAGTTGATTATATAATCAATTTAAAATTTGAAGAATCAAATATTTTCTACGTTGAATGGCCTTGATTTAAGTAGAATTTAATTATTATTGATCATTGACATATCGGTATCAACAAAATGGCTAAGGTATTATAGTAAAGGTTTTACTTCATAGAAGTAATTTTTTAATTTTATCTATTTAAACCGAAGATAATTAATTACATATAGGTTAAGTGTGTATTTAATACATGAGTAATAAGTGTATTTATAAATTAACACATGGAAATAAAATTTGATATTTGTAGCAGATTGGTAATCATCGTAATTTGTGGACCAAAATCTGTTTTCAACTTTATTTATTACTTAATAGTTTGATTATAGATAATAATGTATTTTTAGTTAATTCGACAAGTTATGTTAGTTTAGATTATATATAATTAAATTATAAAATGAGACCAAAAGAATCAGATGTATATAAGAGAATTCGTTTGTTGGGACAAGGGTCCTTTGGGAAAGCTTATCTTTGTGAATATTTAAAAGATCACTCGTTGTGTGTTATAAAACAAATGGACATGAGATATTTAAATGATTAGGAGAAAAAAGTAATTTATTTTTAGCTAAGTAAATCAGGAAACCTACCGAGAATTCAGAATAATGTCTGAGTTAAAGCATCCAAATATCATTAATTTTAGAGAGGTTTACAAGACTGTAAAGGGGAAATTATGTATAGTTATGGATTATGCTGAAGGTATTGGGATCTAAATTAAAATTAGGTGGTGATTTGGCTTAGGTGTTAAAGAATACAGAGGGACACATACCTGAGTCTAGGATTTTGGACTGGTTTACTTAAATGTGTCTGGCAATAAAGCATTGTCACGATCGGAAGATAATTCATCGAGATATTAAAACTTAAAATATGTTCCTGACTAAAGACATGAGAATACGTTTGGGAGATTTTGGGATAGCCAGGTTATTGAACAATACAAGAGACAAAGCAAAAACGATGGTTGGCACTCCGTATTATTTGGCACCTGAATTATTGGAGAATAAACCATATAGTTTTAAAGGTGACATTTGGTCGCTTGGAGTAATACTCTATGAAGTAATAGAATGAATATTACAAATTAGATGTGTGCCAAGACTCCCCCCTTTACTGCTGAATCGTTGGCATCATTGGCTCTAAAAATAGTGCGTGGCTAATTTCAAGCCATTCCAAATGTTTACTCATCCCAATTAAGAACGTAAAACTAATCTTATAATTAAACAAAGATAGCCTTGTGAATTAGCTTTTAACAGTTAACCCTGAAAAACGACCAGCTGTTCACCAAATACTCAAGATGCCCATCATCACAAATAGAATTAAGAACTTCCTATCAGAGACTATGAAAAGGAGTGAATTCGATCACACAATATTGCACAACCAGCAGATTCATTTGTCTGACACAACTATTCCTTTGATTGATGACCAAGATGCAAAGGGGGACTTAATTGAGTAAACTTCAAAAGAGAATCAAGTTAAGCAATTGCCAGGAATCAAGAGTCCCCTCATTAATTTGTAGAAATAAAGAAAGAACAGTGATTTAAAGAAGCTACCTGAAATTAAATTGGCCAAACCTGAGAAGCCACCAATAACTAGATAATAAAGCAGTCGATAACAATTGAATCAACTTCCTAGTTAAAGGGTTTAGCCATCTACTCCTGAAGTAGGCATTCATAATAAATAAAAAAACGGCCGCTTTATTACAAAAGAAAGTCCTGATTCTTATTAGGGATCAGATCAAGTCATGGAGGAAGCAAATAAAAATAGTGAACTGGAGAGTCCTAAATTCTTTAAGAAAAATAGTGAGATTAAGCCTCACATCAAAAACATCAAGGGGCTTACAAAATTAGATTAAATCTAAAAAATTAAGCTTGGATTGAAATCTGAAGATGATGCCAAAAAACCCATTTATAGAGTTCATGCATAACCCAAAATGTCAGAATAATTAAAATAAAAGGAACGAAAGGTATCCGAAGAAATTGTTTCACATTATTTAAAATAAGAGGAACCTATTAATTAATAGCATCAACTAGAAAAGATTTCAGAAACTCCAGAGTAGAAACTACTCAATTAATCAACCATCAGTGATTTTCAAAATTCAGAAGAAAACATTGATAATAACAAAAAATAAAGTATTATGACACCTGCTTTCGAAATTCAAATAGATAAATAATTTCAAGCACCTGAACTTATTTCAAAGAAACCATCGAAATTAATCAAATAGTCAAATTCAAAAACTGATGAAGAGAAAAATAAGAAAAAAATATATAAAATAATTTATAGAGACCCTTTCTTAAGAAAGCCTCAAATTTAGAAACGAAACAGTGAAGAGGATATGAAAGAAATGATTAATGAACTGAAAAATGTTCTTGTAAAGAAATTACATATATAAAATAGTCGGATTAATCAAAAAAATCAGAAGAACCAAATCTAAAAAATGAAGTTGAATCTGAAGATTCTAGAATCTATTCGGAAGAATCTAGCGAAGATTTAAGAGATGATGTTGATACTCTGCCACCACAAACTTAAGTTAATACTTGGATGTAAAGTAATACCGAGCCAGTTGATATATCCCAATCTTAACCAGAACCGAGAAGGAAAATTAATAGTAATTAAAAAAGCTTGAAAGACAAATTAGTTGGAGAATTAGGACATCATTTTGAATAATTATTTAGATTAGCTAAATTATGCACACATTTAGAGGACTTGGGAAAACAACACTTAAAAATGGCTATTATGGATAACATTAGAATCGATGAAAATAGAGCAGAAACTTGTGCAACTCTCTTGGTTACATTAGCCACAATTGGTTACTGATATTTTTAAACTATATTTAGTTTTAAAGTTTTGGTTTAATCATATAATTCAATTCAAGTAGATATATATATTTTTGATATACATTTTTATCATTAAATTATATATGATAAGTTATATAACCCAATTAGTCTACTGTCTAATTTCAAGCTCTTTCAATGGTGAGAGACAGAATTTTTGATTAGACGTAATTGTTGATTTATTAAAACTGTTTATTGAAATAAAAAGAAATAAATTGATTTTTTAATAATTAAAATAGAAGCAAAATAAAAACTATGATTGACAAAGACTTTATGCAAGATCTGGAAGATGAGGAAGAATAGTAGATTGTAGAGGCAAAATAATAAGTTGAAGAAGAACCGACTTGTTCTTTACTTAAAGATAACAAATTTCTTTAGCATTATCAAAGAGTCTAAGAAGTATCTGCTTATCAAATCTAAGATGAAACTATAGACGCAAGTCATGAAGAATATCATTTAATTTTAAGATCTAATGAATATAGTACAATAATAGATTAAGAGTATTCATTTTGAATAAAATAAGGATTTTGAATATTCACAAATAATTGAAGGACGTATATCATAAAAAGTTTCCAGAATTGGAAAAAATTATCATAAACCCAATCGAGTATGTTAAGATAGTCCAATTAATTCGAAATGCTGTCGATCTATAAGCAATAGATTTTTCTAAGCTTTTAAGTGGTCAATAGGTTGTTGCAGTGAATATTGCAGCTAAACAATCTTTAGTAAGTTAGCTTTCAGAAGAAGACATCTCATTGGTCGATCAGTTGTGTCATAAGATTGAAACATTAGATAGTTACAATTAGAAAAGTAAAACTGTTTTATATTATTAGTCATTTGCTATATTGAATCTAGAATGAAGTACATAGCACCCAATGTCTCAGCCTTAATTGGTACATAATTGGCATCTAAATTGATGGCTGCTGCAGGAGGAATTGAAAAACTTGCCAATATGCCAGCAGGTAACATCTAAGTGATGGGAAGTGTTAAGAAAAATATGTTAGGAATGAGTAGAGCTATGCATAATAGAAACACTGGTTATTTTGGAACATTAGAGATTGTACAGAAAGCATCAGGGAAATTATAAAATCAAATAGTAAGGATGCTAGCAACAAATGTGGCCAAAGCAGCAAGAGTAGATAATATGAAGACATGTCCTAAAGGCAATGTAGGAGAGGATTTAAGAATAAAAATGATGAAAAGATATTAGAAGATTTAAGAGCCTCCCCCTGCTAAATTAGAAAAACCCTTACCAATTCCAGATGAGAACAAGAAGAGAAGAAGAGGCGGAAAGAGGTTCAGAAAATAAAAAGAAAGGTTAGCAATGACAGAAGTGAGGAAGTACGCTAATAGATTAAAATTCGGATTGGAGGCTGAGGATGAAATCAAAGATACAGGAATTGGGTTGGGAATGTTAAGTTAAGGTATTGGTAAAGTAAAGTTACACATCAAGAAGGATAAGCCAATTGGGCTCAGTAAAAAATTGCAATAAAGGCTGGCATAAGCTAAGACTTAATCCGGGGGTGGCACTGGAGGATTAACTTCAAGCATAGCTTTTACCCCCACTTAAGGAATTGAATTAATCAACCCAGAGGCTGGATATTTGTCAAAGGTTCCTGATTAATATTTCAATAGAGAATCAGGGTTTAGAACTGTGTTAAAAAAGGAAAGAGAATTTGGAAGATAGCATTGATTAGTTTTATTAGTTTAATTTTAAAATACATATAAATAATTAGTATTGTTATAGAAGAACAAAGTTATAGATTAGTTTCATTCAAAGCAGTAAAAAATGCACAAATAAAGCATAATCTTATTAAAATAGGTTAATGGATGGCAATGTTTTGGTGGTTAGTTTCAAAAAGAGAGTATAGTTTATTTCCATAATAATAATTATTAATTTAAATATGATATAAAGTTCCACTCGTAACCGTTCTGAACAACTAATTTATTAAAGAAGACAACAAGAATAATAAGTGGGCAAGTTGAGCACTAAGTTAAGATAGGAGCAATATGAAAAAACCTTTGCGGCTTGGGAGAATAAGGGAAAGGATGTTGCCAATTAGTAATACATGAAGAATAGGTTTGCAAAATATTATATAAAAAGACTGCAATAGATAAGAGCTGAGGCTGAAGAACATAAAGGCTAAAGGAAATAAAAATTGGCTGCTTTGTTAAATGTTGAGCATGAATAATATCAACAAGAAATCAAAGCAATGGTTGAGACTCCAGAGTAGGTTAAGGAGAGAATGATGAAAGAGGTTGCGGAATTGAAACAAAGAAAGGAAATTGAGAGATCTAAGTAGGCAGATGCAGCATATGAACGAAGATTTAGAGATAATGCAGATGAACTCAGATTAGTAAACTAGCAATTTAATGAATAACAAGCTGTTGCTTACAGAAACATGTAGATGATGGAAAAGTAGAAAATGTTAGAAGACTAATATGAAGGTATTATAAATGAGCTATTTGAAACTAGAGGAAATGATTTATGCTGAATTATACAGAAGAGAAATTGTAAAGAAGGAGAGATTAGAAAAGGAAAAAGAGATTTAATAGAAAGCTAAAGTAGATGAAAGGAACAAAGTTTTAGGTATTCAGGCTTCCATGAATGTCAATAAGTTTTAAAGAATCAAGGAAGAAATTGAACAAGAGAAATAGATGCTTGTAAGATACTTAGATTTTAACATTTTAGAGAGAAGAATGGAAGAGAGAAGAGGAGAGACATAAATAAAGAGAGCATTAATATTTGAATTATAAAAAGGAAATTAATTAAGAAATTGCGTTAAATAATGAATAATAAAAAGAATATAAAAAATAAATAAAGTAAGAAGAGAGGAAATAAGATAAAGAAATGATCCAGTAAGTCTTAGAGAGAGAAGAAGCCATTGCTAGAATGGAATAGGCTGAAAAACAAAGATAAAAAGAAGAAACTAGATAATTTCTACTTAATTTTAAAAACAGAACAAATGAATATAGTGTAAATGATTAACTGAAGGAAAGGTTGATCAATGAAGAGAATACTCGTTAATGGGAAAATAAAGAGGCTAAATGGAAGGCTGAAGATGTAATCATGCAAGTAATTTTAGGATGCTAGAGTTAAATTAATGTATGAGGTCTATGCTTAGAGAGCAGAGAATGTAGAGTTAAAGAAGAAAATAATCGAAGATGAAAAAAATATTAAATAGTAAGATAAGGTGGAATTATTACGATAGTTGGATTTATATTAAAAAGAATTGGAAGAAAAGTAAAGAATGGAATAAGAAGTAAATTATATATTAATTGAAGAAAATTATGCAAACTAAAAACAATTTGTTGAATCAAATGGATGAGAAGAAACAAAGATAATAAATGTTAAGAGATAAAAAACTACAAGAAGAGGAAGCACTTCGTAGGTAAAAGGAAGAGTATGAGAAAAAAATAGAAATGGAAAAAGCAAAAGGACGTGCTTTGCTTGATGATCTTAGAAAATAAAGACCTTATTGAAATATTATAATCAATTCAAGTATATTATTTTTAGAGGCTTTTGTCAATAGTTTGTTAACATTACTTCTTTTGAACTTTTATTTCTAAGAAAAGACTTCTTATCCTTCTTTTTGCATTAATGATATTAATTATCATGGCAAGACTATTTAGTATTCGAAGTTATCCAATTTTGTTGCATTAGCAGTTAATATAAAAAATGATTAAATTAAATTATTTAATTATTGGATATGTCAACTCCTTAAACAAAATCAAATTTGGTTTAAACTTTTGGTAGAAAGAAGAATGCTGTAGCTAGTGCCAGCGTAAGAGAAGGAAAGGGTACTTGATATAATTTAATCAAAGGTTTGGTTAGAGTGAATGGTGCTCCAATTGAATTAGTGAACCCAGCTCCCTTGAGACAAAAGGCTCTTGAACCACTCTTACTTCTTGGTTAAGTCAGAACAGGTAGATTAGACATCAGAGTCACTGTCAGAGGTGGAGGAACAACTGCATAAGTTTATGCCATCAGATAGGTAGAATGGCAATGATATATTGTATAGGCTATTAGCAAAGGCATCGTGGCATACTACTAAAAATATATAGATGAAACCTAAAAGAGAGAAATCAAAGATCTTTTATTGCAATATGATAGAACACTCTTAGTTGCTGATCCAAGAAGATGTGAACCAAGAAAGTATGGTGGTAAAGGTGCCAGAGCCAGAAGACAAAAGAGTTATAGATGAGAATTTAATCACAGTACATTAAAAATAATATAAATATTAATGGAATTTAGTGCAGTTAGAGGATTCAATTAAGCAAGTCATTCTTTATTTATCTTGCAAAATTTTTGACATTCAAAATGTTATTACAAAGTTCATTTCCTATATTTCAGATGTCGATAGTAAAATAAAAAGGATTGGTAATTATAATAAATTATTTACGAGTTGAATTTTTGTATATATGCATTCTAATATGATTCCCTCAAAATTTAAGCATTATGACTCTTAAAAATGTTAATATATCTCTAATTCTCTTGATGATCATCATTCTCAAAATTAGAATAGATAAATTGAAAAACGTTATCATTAAGAACTGCATCATAATTTATAACTTACATGCACCTTATATGGTTGCATAAATCAAATATAGTTAATAGAATTGTTACTTAAATTTTTCAAGGATGGTTAATATATTTGTTTAAATTGACTATTATTGAGCTTCATAAATTCATAATAAACTTTAAATTGACTAATATATAAAATAACAGAGACTTCCTTTATTATGCGATAAAATTCATCAAAATTTATCCATTATATCAAAGTCCCTAATCAAAATTAGTCTCAAAGACTAATTGATGAATTAAAATCAAAATACTTTATCACGTAAACTTTACAAATTAAGAATTGAATTTACAAGAGTACTAAATTGTTATCCTGAAAGAACATTTTAAAAATAATTAAAAATAAGGTTATTAAGGTTATCTAAATGAGCATACCATAATGAATTGATGAATTATTTGACAAGTTTTCAAGTACCTTTTCAGATTACAAGCAAATCTTCCCTAAAAGTAGAATTTATTCTTTCATCTCTAACAAAATTCTTAACGGAAATGTCTAGATTGCCTTTTAGTTCTTATAAAAGGATATCCTGAGACTTAATTTAGATTACTCTTTATAATCAAACTTCTTCAATTAAATGCTAAAGGAAGAAATAGATAAGCTCAGAAAATGTGATGCTTAAACATCATATTGACTTTAATTACTTTTTATTATTTTAAATATACTATTTATAATGAATTAGTATTCATTTTGTAGTCCAAAACCAAGGTTTATGCAAGTGAAAATGGATGAGGCAGAATAAAGAAGTTGGTCTAGAGAATACAAAAAGAGAAGCGACTTTTTTTGTTTATCCTCAAAACCTTCAGCATCTAGACCATAGACAGTTGATTCGAAAATTGAAGGAAATAAGGCGATAAGATGTAACTCTAGAAAATAAAGATAACATTCATTATAAGAATCTGAGATAGGATGCATTAGTTAAGATGTTTAGTTAGTTGATTATTTAGTATTATTTATAATTAACGTAGTTTTAATTAAAAAATAGGTAATAAGATAGATATAAAAGTAGAATCTTAAAATTACATGAAAAAAAAACAAGAGTGTGGAAAAACTATAAATTTCCAGAGTTATTTTAAAGTATTAAAAACAGAAATGATAATTTTGATCCATTGATTATATTTGATAAAAAAAAAGAACCAATTCTGAATTATATTGCTTGATAATAATTTAATAAATTTGATGAAAATTTGGAAGTTTATATTCTCAAGTTTTAAAGAGTAAAATCAAATTATGTAATTAAATTCTTTTTTTATTTTTAATCTTATTTTTAAGAATTATTAGAATCAAAAGTAAATATAAATCAGTAAACTAGTTTGTTCAAACTTTATTTTTACTATATTTTAATAAGGAAGAATTTAAATTATTAATAATAGCAATTAGAATTATTTGCTATTTTTGAGTAATCCATTTCTAAGTAATATAATTTCATTTAATCTTTAACTATAGTAAAGAATTATTATCCATTCTTAAATTTACTTTATTTTAATATGTTATTAAGTTTTATAAAAATATTTTGCTCAATTATTGTTTTGAGAATCATATTCGAAATTTAATTACAGACTTGGTTTGCGATTTTTTAATTAAATTTTAAGAATCACACTATATATTTACGAATACTTACTTCGGATCTTAAAATACAACCGTTTCAAACTAAAAAAAAGGGTATAATTGTGAATATCTTGTAGCAAAGTTTTCCACTCCAAATTTTGTGATATATCCTTTGCAATGCCAGGTAAATTAAATTATAGAATGAATTTTGTTATTATAATAATAGAAATTAGTCAGTGTACTCAAGTATAGTGAATTAGATAATGGCAGTGAGTAGCCCATTTCAATTTGTGGCTGTTTATCAAATTTAAAAGCAAATATAATTTTTTCCTTCCACACTGTCCTTAATCTGAAGTTGCTTAATGAGAAGTTTGGTAAGCAAATCCGCGTTGTGACCTGACTTTTACAATTTTATGATATTTTGAGAGCATCTAAAAAATATGATAAACAGCAATTATTCAAAATTTTTATATCTATGTATTATTTTGTTATTATATGCCCTTTGTTTTAAGCGTTGCCAATAAATGCTGAAAAGGAATTTGTTGGAAGCTAACGAATTCCTGCGAAATAGTTCCATCCTTATTCATTAGGGTTCTAAAAAAACAATGTAAAACTTGTAACTTATTATGAATAGGTCAATTAATAGTAATGACTAATAGATAAACGACATACTTTCTCTAATTTTGATAAGTAAATGAATTTATTCTCCCAATTTAATAATTTTATTTTCCTCTTTTTATTATCCCATTACCAAATCCAATAGTGCCAGGTTTAATTCTTGTTATAAGCAGAGATACTGAGTTTTAGTTAAACAATTAATCTATAAATGAATCGTTTATGAAATATGGAGACAACATTTCTTATAATGTTAAAATAATAATAAAATTAATTCATCTAGATATATTATGTTTTAGTAAATATTATTCATTCAATAATTTTGATTATTAACAAAATTATTTTACCATACTTCATATTGATAAGAAGCTCTGTGATAAGTTATAATATAAAATAATGAATTAGCTTAGATTTAATGAAGTTATTCAACTACATTTTAGATTAAAAATCTGCCTATACAATAAAAAGTGTACTAGGTAGAATTCATTCTCCAATATATTCTATTTATAAACTGTTAAAGATATAAATTAAAAGAACTAAGTTATTGAAGGTGATGATGAAACCAATTTAATTTATAAAATTAGGATATAAAACAAATAATTGAAATCTATTTGAATTTATTTATTTTCGATTAGTAGTTTATCAATTTACTAACTAAGTTTTTAATTAGCGGTGTAAAAATATGTCTAGTCTTTTGAGAGATTATTGACTTAACTTATAATAGAATTATGAATAACGAATTTAGTTATGTACAGAGATAATCAAAAGTAATTTATGCATTATTTAAATAATCATTTTGTAATAAAACTATGAATAAGAAAATCTAAAACAAATATGATAATTATTTAAGGACTCTAAGATTAAGAGATCCTATTATATTAAATGACATCAACTTATAATTCCATTTCTCTCTTGAAATCACAATTTATAACTTATATAGTTTTTAAGAAACAGTGAAGAAATTTTGATTTTCTAAAATCTAAATAATATTTAATTTTGATAAAAATGAATATATAAAAGAAAATAGGGATATAAACATTGTTAAATAACGAATTTATATGGTATATTTGAATAATGAGTTTTTTTTATTTTTAATATTTGGTATTTCTTAAATTCTTATCATATTATAACATGATCCAACTGAAAACATTAAGTTAATTAATATGATACATCAATTTGACAGAATGGTTATATCAAATTACTGTAGTAATTAATATTTATTATAAATCAAGAATGTTAACAAAGTCCCAATAATGTATTTATTAAGTGAATTAATTAGTTTTTAGACAGATTGATCTGTTCGGACAAAGCATTTCCCTAAATATGAATGGAGAAGATCTATATAAAACAGGTGGAGGAGGTTTTTTATCTTGTATGATCGTGGCCATAGTTGCTATATTCTTTTAATCAAACATAATAGATTTCTTAGGAAAGACTAATATCAGCGCAGACTCTTAAATAGTATTTGAGGAAAACCCTGATAGACTTAAATTTACATCAGACAATTTTATGTTTGCTGTTGCAATCGAATAGAGTACAGCTTTCAATACAAATCCATTTTTTAACATTTCAATAAAAGCAAGGTAAATTTATTTAACAAATTAAGAACATATGTAAGATTGACTAATGGAACAACAATTAAATACGAAAATCTAACTAATCTGATTCCATGTACTTTAGATAGATTTCAAAAAATATTCGATAAATATGATCTTAATTTTACAGATCAATACAATCAATTAGGATTGTCCACATGGCTTTGTCCAGAGTATTTACTATATAAATTACATAGCCTTAACTACTCTTTAACGGTAGGTGGAAGATATTCAAGCGAATATTTAGACTTTGTCAAAATCGAAATAACCGATTGTAAAAATGATACTTCAAAAAATGACTATTTAACTTGGCATCCATCCTGTGCATCCAAGGATGTAATGGATAAATGGTTGTCAAGCGAAGGTTCTTATAGAATACGAATGTAAATCAAATATTTTTCATGTAGATATATGACAAACACAGTGGTCAATCCATCAAAGCCAACAGATTACATACAGGGCTATTTGGATGATGAAGTCTACTTTTAATTTGTTCCTTTTAAGTTATCTAGGTAATCTGATATATTTTTTAAAAAATACCAAATAAACACTGATGAAAGTTTAGTTCCAGTATTTGATGATGAATAAGTTGAGAATGTATTTATGAAAGAACCTGCAGATTTTAGAGATATTACTACTCTAGGATCTCCAACAGATAAATAATATATAGCATTGTACTTTCGAAGAAGTCCTTATACAAAATACATAACAAGATCATTTTAAAAAGTAGATGATCTTATGTCATACTTAGGAGGGTTTGTTAATATAGTCGTTGTCTTTTTGGGATTCTTTGTAGGTTTCTATAATAAATAACAATGTATTGCTTATTATTCAAATATTTAATAGATCTAATAGAACTTGCTAATAAAGTCTATGATTTTAATTTTGACAACAGCAAAAATCCCTAAAAGCTATAAAATGATGATTTGGTTAAATAAATCACTTAGATTAGGAAAAAGACCTAAAAGTTTAGAGCTTTGGAAAAAGTAGATTCAGGTTTGCATCATAGAAAATCGATAACTTAACCTTTATAAGATGATGAAATAAAGATACAAGTTTTTAATGAAGAATCTCCTCATAATTCAATGAACTAAAAGCAGTTGATCAAAAATACATCTTCAGAAATTAAGTCAGAATTTCAAAAATAACAAGAAGAAATTATCACTAAACTTGGTTTTAAGAGTCGGAAAGAATACTTAACATCTTAGATTTCTTAGGTTCTCACTAAATCTAGGCCTATTTAATTTACTTTTAAATTCCTTTGCCATCAAATGACCGGGGGAAGATGCTTTAAAGACAATACATCTATACTTCTTATGAAGGCTGTGTAAATTTTCAAAATTAATTATTTAATAGGGATAAAATAAATTCTGATATTGATATCTACGTTATTTTGGAAAAAGTCAAAGAAATCAATCTATTAAAAGAATTAATGCTAGATAAAAATTAATAAATTCTATTTAATTTTGCTCCCAAATAGGTTATCACTCTTAAGGAGGAAAAAAAACTGCCTAGTAGAGTAGAAGTCTATACGTAATCTTCTATTATAAATTAGATAAAAATTGACAGAAAATTCGAATTAATCAATGTCAGTTGGCAATATTGCATAGTTGGCTATGAAGAAACATACGGATGCTGTGAAAGCAGCTATTCCTGTATCTGTTAAAGCATATCAAAAGCTATATAAGGTATATAGATATTATTGAGAAGGCTTACGATAAAATTAATGATCCTTAAAAGGAATTAGGTAGAGTAAATAATATACTAATTGAAAAATTAGGGAAAGAAATTCGAGATATTTTTGAAGTCTCTTAATTCATAGATTTTGATCTTGTGGAATAAAAATTGAGTCATAGAATTAAATATATACTTAGAAAGAAGGTAAAATAATTGAGGCAGAACAAATCAAAATCTATGTTCAAAAAAGACTTTGATGAGGAATCCTCGGATAATGTAGGGCTTTTTAGTTAAGAAAGGAATAAACCTGAAGATAGTGAGATATTGCAAAGAGAAATTTTATTTCCTCATCGAAATTTATGAAATACTGAAAAAGATGTGCTTATTAATGCATATTTATACAATATTATATTTTTGACTATTTCTCAAATCAATTCGACTGAGTCCAAGATGACTTTGCTTTCTTTATTTGCAACACTAAGGAAAAGACTTAAATCACTTACATATGCTTTTGCCATTCTAGAAACGTCTTTTTGAATGACAATATAACCTTTGATAATAAAATCACTTTACTTTATGTTGGAATATTATTTTCGACATATTCAACTGCTTATCTTCCCTTTAGAGTTCTGCTCAAAGCTTGCTTTGCACAATACCAATTGATGTCATGGATCTCAGCTCCAGCTAAATTCATCGCCCAGGTTTATTTATTTTCTTATTTTAATCTAATATATACATCTAACTGGATAGGCTTTGAAAATTCTTTAATAGTATGGGACTGGCCATTAAGATGTCGACATAACTCTATCGACAATAGGTCTTTCATGGATAGGTCCCCACAAGGCTCCAGAAAAGCATGCTATTGATTTATTATGTGTGAGACGAATCATTTTAATTATTTTTAATATAAATATATTAACTATATAAAGCTCAAAATTTTTCATTTGTTTTGTTATCAAAATAGGAATTATAGTCAAGTCTAGTAAGCAATTAAAATAATGCGGTTTGGTTAGCACTTTTGGCCAACAATTAAATCAATTTAAACAGAGCAACAAATTAGGTATCGAATTCTACCATAAGGTTATAACATTCTTTATTAATTAATTAGTGATGCTACATTTCAATCCTGTTAACTAATTCAATGTATTTATGCACAAATTTGATTATCTGAAAAATATTTTTAACAATTTGTTGCAGATTTAGAAATAGTTAATTAGATACAGATTATTCAAATTCATCCATTATTTTTCTTATCAATTCAAAGTTGATTTCATTTTGCATTCTTGATATCATTTTTAGTTCATTAGACTGCGATGATATCCATTTAAAAATAGTGATAAAAAGCATTGACAACATGCATCAATTAGGTATGCATTCCCAATACAATTAAAATAATATTGAAGTTATTAATTTAATTACAATCCTTTTTTTTGAATTTCTTAGTGAGTTTAATCTCTACTTACTATAATTCAAATTAAGCATGTCGAATAGGGAATAAATACCTAAAGAATAATTGGAATTTCTCTTATAAAGAAAGTGTGATAAGCAGAGACAATGGATAGTCTACTTAATACTTTAATGTATGACCACTCCAAGAAACATCATTTAAAAAGTTGCTTCCTATCATCTTCAATGTATATAAATCAACAATTTAACCATATTATTTAATGCCTACAATACATAGACTGATTTCTAATTAAAAATATTTTTTAAATTTAAATGCTACTTTTTTCCATTAAAAAGGAGGTAGTATATTAGTTTTGCATTGAGTGTCACTTTATGTATCAACTATAATTAAAGATAATTCATCATTTTAATAATTTATTTTTAAACTATGCAAGTCTCCTTTAGAAAAATCAATTTTATCAAATTTCCATTTGTAAATTCTTTCTTTCTTTAAATTTAATTTTTGATTCCACTGATAAGGAAGAAACTTTTTATTGATCATATTTTAATTTAATAAACACTCAATCCTGACAAAATAACAGGACTAAACTTGTACTTAAATCCTATGGAACCTATAGAATTGAATAAACCCTGATGGTTTTGATAATTATTATTTGAATTTAAAAACTATTTGTAATGTAAATCGATTTTCTATAGATTATTTCACATCTCTGAAAACTCCACTCCAATCTTCAGGGCCTCTTGTAGGACCCATTCTCAAAACATTAATTGTTTAAACAACATTATTTTTAATCTATAAATTATTTAAAGATTAGAATGTCTTATCTTCAAACCCATTATAGTAAATAAACATTTCCATTTTTTCAGTTTAATCATAATCCATTTTATGAAGATTAAAGTTTAATTCTTATGAGGTTGTTATGTCTAAGGCAATTGGAGGATTGATTAGGAATCAGATAAGAATTGCTGTATAAAATTACCATTATTAAGGAGTATAAATAAATAAAAGATTTTTAAATGAATAAATAATTCTTGTTTATTAACAATTAATTAAACTAATTATTCATCCACCTGTTTCTGCAATCAATCAATAATTCGGTTAAAGGTTAAGGAATCATAAACTTTTATCAACTATTAATGCTCATTAATAAATAATTCTTGTTGTCCTTTCAACACTTTCACAGCTTTTCCTATGAATAATATTTTATCAGCCATTTGTTAAGTAATAAAATGTAATGGTATCATTTGGATATTTAATGTGAATGAAGTATCCCAATCATATTCATGCTAAGCAGCTTCATTGATCTCATCAATTCTTTAGATTAAGAACTCATCTAATGTGTCTAAAATTTAACCTATCTACAACCAAGAGGATAATTATTAAAAAAACTCAAATCAAGCTAACAAAATATTTTAATAAATTAATGGGAGTCTATCATTACCTGTCAGAGTTCTTTCATAAAGGTAATCAAGTATTTATCCCCCGCACATATTGTGTTACTTTATTATATTTATGGATGTATGCAAATTTAATAGAATTTAATAATATGCTTTTAACCTTACATTTAACTATGATACTATGAACATTTTTTCTTTCAGGTACTCTTATTCTAAAATTAATATTGTTTTCCTATAATCGTTCCAACTATTTTCAATTCCATAAACCAAAGCCTAAAGTTGGAGCCTTCCTTTAATATAGCTGCTTTTTTCATCTTGGTTTAACAAGATATTATCAATTTGCTAATAATGACATTCCAAATTCACAATTTGATTCAATTAAACTATTTCAGGTTTTGAAAAAGATTCAAAGATTCGTCTATATAAAAGGGTGAGTTATTAAATTATTTGATGAATGAGCCTGGTTTACCTAATAAAGAAAATAATAAGTCGTGTAGCATAATTTAGTTTTCTTTTTAATAATTTCTAATTATAATTATACAAAATAGAATTAGATGAAATCATTCATATTTATTGAATATTACATTGTAAAAATACAAATTTATGTTATGTAGACAGATAAAAATTAGTTCATTATTTTGACAAAGAAGTTTATATTCTTAATACAAATATCCAAAATCAATTTATGAGCTTTTATTAGTCAATATAGTTGTGTCTGTATTATTTTTACCAGAATTTAAGCAATTTTTGAGTTTTTTGTAATTGTATTAGTTTAGATAAATATTTAAATAATGAGTGTGTGTAACAAAAATTATTTATAGGAAACCTTCCCACAATATGTTGATGATTAGCTAAATAGAGTTGCTGAGGAAGACAGGAACATGGATAAGTAGATTTAATAACTTAATAGAGATCATAGAGAATTTTTAACATAATTGATATTTTGAGTGAACTTAAGGTTTTATCCTTTGGGTTAGCCACTAAATTGAAATCTTAAGAAGGATTTATGTTATTCCCACAAATTATATCTGAAAAGTACATAATTGAATTTAAAGATATCAAATCTTGTAAATTGAGAAAGAACGAACCCTCTTATTTTTAAGCTTGGGCATTTGTGAATTTAGAATTAGTACTTTGTCAATATATATTTAGATCGATATGTACAAGTTACAAACATTTTTGCGCATTTTATGTATTTTAGCATATTTTGAGTGCAAAAAATATTTTGAGTCTTTTCTTGTAGATTATAAGTCCAAATATGAAAACGATCTCTTTAAAGTGTTTTTACTGTTGTAAACACAAAAAAAAGAATTTTAAATAGAAGCAGATAACTTCTTTCTCCAATTAATTGAGAAATGTGAATGTAAAAATAATTAGTTCATTTCATATATGACTAAGTTCTGTAAAGAGAAGAACATGCTAAAATGCTTGGGATATTTGGAATCAATAAAATCAACAAACAAAGTTTCTTCTGAAAAACGTAAGGGTTTTCAAAAATTTAAAGAAGAACTAGTGAAAAAAGAGTCACTGTAAGAATCACAATAAACCTCTCAATAAATTGTAATTTAACCTTAAAACACTTCCTAAATCATAAAGAGACATTCATCAATTTTCCCCAGGAAATCATTGGATTAATAAAGTCACTTGATCTAATTTTAGGAATCAGCAAAGGATTTGATAAAATCAATTGGAATGAATAGACCGTCATTGACAATGAGAACCATGAAGGATGGAATCAATCACAAATATAAGGTAATAAAGTGTTATTTATGTGAGTGAAGCGTGAAAATGACAATAGACAATAAAGATATATATAAAGTGAAATAAGTTAACAGAGATAATTTCATGAAGAGGTTTGCCGAAAATTGGAGATAGTACAAAGGAGGAGAGTTGCTTGTTGGAATTCAGATTGTTTGGCTCCTGAAACTCCTGAAATTTATAGTGATTGATTGTGGGGGGAATTGATAATCGTATAAAGTCGTTTTTATTTAATTAATATTAAAATCATGAAATCCTTAATCTTGATTGCCCTCATTGCTGTAGCCTTTACAGCCCGAGTTTAGGAGAGAAACATGGCTAAAGTCTAGGCTGATTTAGCTAAAAGCACATACGGAAAGGCATTACTTCATTTGGTTGAGTTACACTCAATGGCAGGTGGACCAGTTTAAGAGTTAATCGATGCTATCGAAGAACTCATAAATGACTTAGAGGAGGAATTGGAAACATTAGAATTCAATTTCTAAGTGAGAACAAACGAACATAATGCACTTGTTGTCTCTCTAGAGTAAGACATTCAAGATGCAGTTATTGGTATTTCAAAAATCTATGTATAGACGTCAACAACACATAAGACACACTTGATAATTTACTTTATCCAAGAAGAAATCAAATCTAAAGCAAAATTGATACCGTTATTGGATACTAAGAGGAAAACAGAAAGAACTATGATGAAGCAGTCCTTGTCAGAGAATAAGAGCATGATGCATTCGAAGCCTAAGTTGCTGAATTAAATGATGCCACCGCCTCAGTTGACGATGCCCTTGCCCTTCTTTCCTCATTGACCAATCCATCATTATTGTAAATCAAGAGATTCTAAAATACATTGAAAAACATTGAAAATAAATTAAGATCAAGATCCAGAATGGCTCCAATGATCAAAGCTCTCATCACCTTAGCATCAAATTAAAACTTTTCAAATCAAGATGTCTTGAAATCTATTGTCGATGCTCTTAATGAGTTCAGAAACGCTGTTGTTGATTAAATCAATGATTTAAACGCCTAAGAAGCTCCAGATGTCATTGACCCCGAGGCTTACCTTGAAAATTGGATGAAGAATTTTCAAACTTCGGAAGAAAAATTGACAGAGCTACAGTAGATTTGACTGCTACCAATGGTACTTAATATCAAATAGCTTTTAGAAAAGATTGACTCTATGGTTGAATTCAGAGACTAAAGAGCTGCTGATTAAAAGCAATACACTGCTGAATTAGAATTAGCAACCCACTATTCTCAAGAAACTGATATCTACACCAATACCAAGAATGAATTCACCAGAGAATTAGGAGTCAGTGAATAAGCTTTATCACTCGTTTAAAGTGTTGATTTCTCAAACATCAAGGTTTGATATTAATAAAATATACACATCAATTATTACAATCATATGCTAATATTTATAGATTTCTTGTATAAGGTGATTTTATTCTTCATTTATGATAATTGAGTAATAAGATAATATTCTATAATAATAATTAATCAAACATTAAGTTATTACCTACTAGAACTTTTTGGCATTGAAGTAGATGAGTTATGATGCTTTCGTTGTTTGCTAAAGGTTTTCCCTTCTGATTTTGCCAATTTCCGATCTGATTATGGAGATTGTTTGGAAGATAACAAAGTTTATAGTAGTAATTTTTAATTTTTCAATAAACAAATCTCATCTTTAATTGTTCTTTTTTCACTTTCAAATTTTTATGCAAATTCAAATGTCTAATATTTCAATTTATCTATTTCATTTCTATACAAACTCAATAGCTAATCATCATTCTACGGTTAAGATGTTGAAGATCTAGTGGGAATATTGAGAGTTCTAACAGTGCAGGTTGCCTCTGAATCTAGTTCATCTGCTGTTACTAAGGAAGATTTTTTGGAATGCAAACCAAGCAAATTCTTCTCACTTTTTTGTTTTAACTATTTTTGGACTCTTAATTTAATATTAAGATCATAAATTATATCATCTTTTTATTTTAACTATTTCTTTAGCCCTTCAATAGCGATATCATATTTTTATTTTGCCATCTTCATCAACTTTTCATGCTCCTATTAGACTTACATGAGGAGATCTTGAAATTGCATTTCCTTCTTGAAAAACTCCTATTGTTGTTGGAGTAATTTTTCGTTTAGGTGTTAAACTTACTTCAACAATTGATTTTCTTGCTGTTGGTTAAATGCTTTGGCCTTGCTGTACTAATTTAATGAATCAGTATATTCATCTTGTTCTGTTTAATTTTTGTTCGAATTCTAAAAGCAAGGTTACAACATCGATTTTATCTGATCGCTTGGACGAATCTATGCCAACGATTAGCCAGTGTATTGAGAATAGACCAAATCATCGACTGTTTCTTAAACTTGATATTGCTTAGGTCTGTTGTTCATTAAGCAATTATTTATAAATATGAATGCATTAATAACAATAAGTTAATATGGATCCAATCAATTCGATTAACAAAGACGATGCTTCAGTATAAGCGAGAGCAAGGAGGAGAAGGAATGATCAAAGTAGTAGGGATTATACCTGTGGGTGTGGGAAGAGCTATTTAAGTTATCCCGCATTATACACGCATTTGAAGTATCGCAACTTATATACGGAGGCAAAAACATCAAGGAAGCCCACCTCAAGGGACCACTCAACCTAATAATATGAATCCGAAAGCAAATAGGGGCAGACCCAAGCGAGTACGAATGACTTTATTAATTCAAGTTAGATGAAAATGACTTGAAGGAAGGAAAATCAGATGATGAAAGATCAATTAGCAACAATGAGCCAGATGAAACCATTGAATAAGTCCTTCTCTTTTTAGATAGCATTGGCAATTTCAGATCTGTAAGACTGCATTATGAAATTTCAAGGGCATGAAGTATGAAAAAGAAGAAGAAAAATAAGGCTATTTGTTGACTTGCTTCCCCAAGGATTATTTTAGCAACTCTCAGGATTATTAGCCCATTTATAACAATATTAAGGACATCACAAATGAAAGAGTAAAAAATTGCGGTATAATTTCAAATAGGTAAAAAATCCAGATCAGGATCCTCTTATGAAAGAGGAAATTGATAAGGACAAAAACATTAAGAAAACTTAAATAAATAAAATCTTAGCCTATTTTCTTGTGGCGATTGGCCCATTATTGAATGAAGATGCTTACAAGGAAGTAAGATTATGTTTTTGATCAAGATGGCTACATTTATTGTTCTATTCTCAATCGCACTTAATGAAGCGGGTTATCAGGCCCTCTAAAATTATGAATAAGAATAATATCAGCAAGGAGATACTGATAAAAAGCCTTAATCACTAGTCAAACAAGGTATGGATACATTTAGTATCAAGACTAAAATTTGAATGCATATTGCGAAGAATAAAATGGTGAACACATTTTATTAATAACAAATGAATTTATTTTGTCATTTTTACCATTGAACTTCCCTAAATTAGGGAACATAGAAAAATCATTTAGAATATTTGGTAGTCCAGATGAAAAGTTAAAAAATGCTGTTTATGTTACTTAACATTTATCTTACTGGTTGTATGCTATGAAATTTACTAACTCAAGATTAGCTTTATACACAGATGATGATTAATGATAAATAATCATAATTGTTAATTTGATATATTTCAATTCAGCTATTCTTTATAAATTTTTACCATTAGGTTTTACACAAAATCTTAACTATAATCCCATAGTAATCTTAAAGGGATTCCTAATAAATGATTTACAATCATCTTTATACCAAATCTGAAAAGAGATTATTATCTTATAAATATTTAAATTATATAATAATGTCTATATGGAGAATAAATCAATTTAAAACCACTGAGTTTTTCATTATAATGATAAATTTTCACTCTGACCCCATCTGATTGGTTATCCATTCTACCAAACCCCTTTTCTCACTTTGTTATTATATGTAAACATCCCTTCCCCATGTTACTTTCCATTTTTCCATTTCCCTTTATAAATTCTTCCATCAGACCAATCTAATTCTCCATACCCACTTCTTTCATCCCTTTCAAACTAGAACTAAGATAATTTACATACATTTCCTTTGTAGGTCTTTCCATCAGGCCATGTATAAACTCCCTAGCCATTCATTTGATTCAACATCCATTCTCCATTATACTATGAATGAGTATGAAACTTACTTTCTTCCCATCCTTCCAGCTATATTCTCCATTTCCATGAGGCATACCATCAAGTAATTCACCTTCATATTTAGAACCATCAGGCCATTCAAAAATACCCTGACCTGTTTTTTAACCATTTTAATAAGTGCCCTCATACCTTTGTCCATTATTCCATTATTCAATTCCTCTCTCAATATCATGTAATTTATTACTCCATGTTGTTTGTCATCAACCCAATCGCCATTATAAGTTGTTCCGTCAATCATGACGTACTTTCCAACTCCCCAAGCCTTATCATTTATCCATTGTCCTTCGTAACTAATATTTAGACTGAAAGAGTACTAATCCCCATTAGGTAAGACCATTCTTCCGTATCCATGCTATTAATCATTGCTCCATTCCCCCTCATATATTGATCCAAAGGAATTGAGTTATTTTCCAAAACCATGCCTCCTGCTATCCTGCCACTATCCTTCGTAAATCATTCTTATTACTATGTAATATATACCCGTCATCAATTTAAACTGGACCAACATAAGTAAGTGTTTGATCTTTACTAATTGGAAATGGAAACGGACCTTAAATTGACCAGAATAATTACCTAATGAGTTAAATATCTTTATAGCAAGTGAAGTTTATTCATCAAAAATCTATCCTATTAAAGAATGCATATATACATTAGCATTATTAATCAGCACTCCTCTATAACTCTTAATGCTTCCATAATTCTCTTCCTGTGCTAGATTTGAATGCTAAGCCATACATCGATTTTCTCAGATCTGATTGGTGAACTTGGAGTTTCATTCGATTCTTTTATTTTAGTTTGCACTCCAATCTCCAAATTTTCATTATTTATGTAGATGGGAGCTGTTATTGCAGTAAAGGATTCCCTTTCCTGTGTAGTATTTGTACAACAAGTTCCCATTTTGTATTTTAATTATATATATGAAAAAAAATTCACTCAAAGCTTTCAATCTTTTATAACAACCTTAAAAAAGAATGAAAATCTAATACCTAATACAAATTGCTACTTGCTTTTCAAGAAACTAATGGAAGATGTGAATATTCAAAAACATTATGAATAATGAACTTAATTCAATATATTATAATCATGAGGATAATTTATTAATTAAATTTATTAAAAATATTTTCTGCTGAAAATTCTCCAATTTCTAATATTTTATTAGATAGTCAAATTGTTATATTTTAAAGTCATTAAAAAAATGGGAATAAATTTAAATTGAAAGATTATTGATTTCTAATTGAAATCTTGATCATTTAAACTTAATTTAAAATTATCTTAAACATATTTTCAGAAAATTAAGAAAATTGCATTTAAATTATTCATTAAAATATTGGTATTAATACTGGTTTTCATATTCATTTAATTATCGAAACTTTCAATCCATATAACTTAACATAAAATTTAAAGCTTCCAGAGGTACTTCCCTCAATGTGAAGGTATTCCTAATGGGAAAAATATAATTTACTGAAAGTTCTTATTTTCTGAATGACAACAGTCTTTTCTCAGCCCTGTATTACAAGATGTACTCCTAGTTTAATTCTATTTTCAATGATCCTTGCCTTGCTTTTTCATTTTTATACAACACTAATACATTAAATATACTCATACTTCCAGATTACTCCAAATAGAGATTGTAGGTTCCTAGTTTTTTACCCTAATCATCAACGTTTTACATTCCAATTGAGGCTGTCTTTTTATATAATAATTATTTTTACAAGAATTTTCTCAAATGGTTCTGAAAATCTAAATTTGACCTTTGCATTATCATTTAATGTAAAAGCACCTTCTACCAAGGCTACTCCTTATTAAATACATGAGAATTATGTGAACCTCTATGAATATTTTAAGTGTTTATCAGAGTTTGTTATATCAAACTTCTTGCCCACCATTTTTGTTCTTTGAGATGATTGATCAACCTATATTTCTTTCACCTTATTTTGAGATAACTCAACAACATTTGGCCTATCTTGTTTCTCTTAGTTTAAATCTTAAGTATCAATTACTTTTATCTTCTGAGGATTACTTTATTTAATTTAAGTAGTTTCAGATGGAAATAAAAATTAAATTCTATCTTAATTATCATTAATGGCTTCGGTTTTAGTATTGTAAATTTACTCAAGTTTTTATTATTATTCTTATTATAATTATAATCCTTATTGGTAGTCTTTCTATGATTATTCCCAAGCATATAATTATGGTCTTTATTATTAGTTTGAGGGGCCTTTATACCATCTTAAGGGTTTATTTTATGGATCTTCTTATTGAAATTAATGCATATCTGTATTCTCTTGTTATTGTACGTATTTGTAATCGTATTAATTTTGATATGTTTAATTAGAGTTGAAATTAAATTACATATTGTTTTAGTAAAAAAAGTCCTCTTACTATGGTTTTCGGGCATCATTGTAAGAATATTAACTTTCTTATTTATGGTTTAGCTCTAACTTATCAATAAAATTCAATATTTCATCGGTAATTGTATTCAATTTATATTTAACTCCTTCTAAAAATGTATTAACTAAAGATTAGTTAGATTATCCAGATTGATTATAATATATTTCTATATACTTTTTGAGATTCCTGTCATTTTAATTGTTAGAAGATAAGCTTTCTATTTACTCATTATTTATAATTTACTCTTGCAAATGTACAAATTCAATTATTGAATGATTTTAAAAAAGTTAAAATAGAGACTTAATTCTTTAGTTAATTGATTACTCTTCTTTTGCAATATACTCAGATATATTTTACTCTATTGACACTTTAAGCTTCTGGTTGTTTTCTTTCAACTTGATATTAACTTTCTTCTCGAACTTTTCTTAAGTATAAACTTTGTGTTGATATTGAAAATGATTCTATAACTCATTCCAATTTGTTATAACTCTATTGAATTTACAATCTTTATCAATGCAAATTAGGTTTGATTCTAGAGATTTCATTTATAAAATAATAAATTATTAAAATCCTCAAAATAAACATAGCTTGACAATTAATATGTATCAATTTAAAATCCAGGATAATCTATAAATAATCTTAAGAAACTTAATATAAAAAGTCAAATTTTAATGATAGCTCCATTATTTTATCTACAATTAAAATAACTTCTAAAGTGATACTATAAATAACTTTTAGTTATCAGAGATTCCCTTCGAATATTTGAGACAATCTACATTAGACTAAATTTGAATATACATTCCTAATAATATGACCAAAAAATATTAGGTTTTATATTCGCTCAACATAGAGTCATCTGCTTATAATAAAAAAAAATATATAAAGTAATAAAAGAATAAAATTAAAATATAATGACATAGATTAATAGAGTACATTTATATTTACTAAACTAATATATACTTAAAATATTAAAAAGCATCAAAACCTTTTTTCCACTAAGGCTTGTTATCTCCAACTTTCACTAAATTCATTCATTTAAGCCATAAATTCATCTTAGTACCCTCGAGGTGCTTTTTTTTTGACTGGATTAAGATTTAATGATATGCCGTTTTTGTATATAGGTTAATTCAAGGTGGAAGGATCGACTAAAGATAACTGATAAAATTACCAAAAGGAAATGAATCTTCTTCTGAACTGAATTTCAATTACTCTTCATCAACAGGCTCATTTATATCATGTTTCAATTTGCATGTTTCTACATTATCTTGATGAGTGAATGGTTTAAGATTAGTATTGATTTTATTTTAATCTTTCTTTTTTTATCTCAATGTATTTACAATTTGCTGGAAATCTTCATTTCTTGATTTCTGAGACTATTACAGAGAAGTCTTCAACAACAATATTTCCTTATTTTTAATTTCCATGTCTGAATTAAGATTTAGAATATGTTAGGAGAGAATATCGATGTCAGATTGTATTTTGTTTGCCAACAGTAAGAAAGTTTTTTTCAGTTCGGCGAAAAGAACTATTTTGAATGGCTACTCTAATTGTTCCATGCGATCAAGAATGCGAAGGAATGATGTAAATGTCAATTCTTTACAATTGGCACATTCAGTAGTTAAGCAAGATTCAAGCACTTTACTTATTCTAGTATAATGCTTACATGTTTTTAATATCCTAGAAGCTAGAAGCATCCTCACAAGTATTATATTATCTGATACGCTTCCCTAATTTCTCTTTTAAAGTAGTGACCACACTATTCTAAGTTGGCGAATATATTTCTTAACACACAGAACTCATTAATCTTTTATGCAATTATTGATAGTGATAGTTGTTAGTTTTCATTATTGAGAGGTTTGGACTCGAGCGGTGTAAATTTTTTTATGATTGTCTCTGTATTTTACTAATAATTTCATCCAAGTGAGAAGTCTTCTTCATTAATTTATTTATGAATTGATATATTCATTTACGTACGAATTCTTTTACTTTCAAGATACATCCAAGTGGTTAATAGATTCAACTAACCTTGGAAATCATTAAAATGACATTGTAAATCCCTTTCTGATCTCTAAAAGATTCCAGATTTCCATTAATTTTAATGCTCTTTCATTTTACAATCCATCAGAATAAATCATGCTCCATATTATTCTTTATAAATCGCATATAGAATCTAAAAGATTACTACTACTTAATCTATATCAAATATATTTTATTCTAATGGATTACCGTTTGAAAAAAGGAAAATTAATTATTAGAGTGCTAAATGAGGATGAATCCATTGATATCATACAGGATCATATATTATCTTTTTAGGTGCAAGATTAAGAACACCTATTATATATTTTGATTAATAGAGAATGGAGACTAACTTATTTCTAGTTTATTTAGGAGATACTTAGAAGGTATTTAGAAGGAATCATAAATCATTTAATTGAAAATGAACAGGGTTATAAGCAATCTAAAAGCAAAGATTATTAGTTAGAAATTATGTAGTTAAGATTGTTAATAGTTTGTGAAAATAATTCTATTTTGAAAATTAGAATACTGAAATTTAAATGAAAAGGTATTTAAGTGGAATTTTGAGTTAAAGATAAAAAAGAAATCATATAGGAGTCATTAGAAGAATATTTGGAATTATTAAATGTAAAATAGTTGTAACTTTTAAGAGTAAAGATAATTATTCTTGCAACATCTACCTTGAATGAATAACAAATTATGAAAAAAAACGAAATAAAAATCTGTTCAAAGAGTTTCAAGCATAAAAATGGATTAGAATTAGGTATTAACAGATTTATCATTGAATTATTAAAGGTTTAATGTTGAAGTAGAAAGAGTAAGATCTTGAAAATTAAAATTAACTTGAAGATTGTAAGATAATACATATTTAACAGATATGGTCTGATAAGCAATAAAGAACATATTCAAACCCTGATTTTAAAACTAAAAAATAAATTTAAGAATTGTGTTATTCACTCTTGACAAGTGTAAATTTACTAATAAAATATGATGAAAAATAAAATAAATAAAATTAAAGTTTTATATGATATTTAATCATTATTCAAATTACATAGGAAAATATGATAATATGAATATTATATATAAAAATATATATTTGGAATCCAAATTTAGTTCTCTTTTTTGCTGAATTATATTATTTCTTTGAAAATTTGAGAAGTTTTAATCCTCATTTTATCGTCCTACTTCCCTTTCTATAAATACTAATTTTCCAACTTTTTCGATTTAAATCAGATTTTTATTACATAATTAAACAATATTAAATATAGAAAACAAAATGAATCCTTGCAACTATCAAAACTAAAATACTAATGGTATAAACAATTTTGCTTACTTTCATCCTCTATAGCATTACTAACTATATTTGCATCCATAATATTCATAATATCTATAATATTACTTTTAAAGACATTTAAACCCTTATGTTAATGAAGAATTTCAAAGCAATAAGCCATAAATTGAAGCTATCACAATTTACAGTGATGATGAATAACCCATTGTGAAGCCAAAGGAATAAATTTAAAAGGTCACTCCAGTTTTACAAATTAACAAAGGATAGTAGAAGCTTTTGAACCTCGATTAATTACAATTATAAGGAAAATTATATGATAACGAATCGAGTGATTCGCCTTTATTATAAAACAAAGTCTAAAAATGTTTAAAATATCAAAAATCAAAAATATAAAATAAAAACGAAAACCTATAATCACTTAAGTTAAAAAAGAAAATACTCAAACCATAAAGATAACCTAAAAGCTCAAATCTAAGCATAATAAAATAGATCTAGATTGGTAAATACAGATAACAATATAAATTTAATTAGTCAAGTGTTAAAACACAATTAATAAAAGTTTACACTAAAAATGAAGATGAACGTAAGATTTATTTTTAATATGAGATAGTGTAAAAATTAAGAGAACTCTTGTTGATTAATTTTCCAAATTCGAGTGATGAAGACGCAGTCAAATTATTAAATGTAACTGGAAAATCATATGAAAAAGCAATCGATTTGATTAAAAAAAATGAATTACTTGTTTAATATATCCTTGAAAGTAAATTTTTATTAATAATTTAGCAAATAAAAATAATGAATATCTTGAAGATGATGATAAAACTACTAAATGATCTTGATTTTTTTTTATTAATTTTTACATATATATATTCAGTTAATTTGAACTATCAACAAATTATGATACATACATTCAAGACTACTCTCAGAGGATGGCATATATGCTATAGAACCAATAGATTCATAATAAAAATATTATAAAAGAATAAGAATTATCTCTGTTAAATCAATAGGAAGACTATTTTATAATAGGAGATTGCAAATAATTAATCATAATTAATTTGCAAATAAATTTAAGTATTCATTTTATAGAAAAAAAATGGAAAAGATTAGAAGTAATGACTCGTTGAGGTTTCAATTATTTTATTCATTTGCTAATAATAGAGTAAGGTTTGAATTTTCATTTAAAAATTAGTTTAACTATTTATTTATACAGATCTAATATATAATATTTTTGTCTATTCTTAAATAATAGTAAATTATTAAGATTAAATGGAATACAATATAAATCTCATAATTACAAGATACTTAATTTATCAATGATATTAATTTAATCAATTTATTTCTCTTTGCTTGGCAATAAATGCTTTGATTTATTTGATGTCAGTACTCCATTACCCAAATGGAATTATATGTTATAAGTAAGCGTAGAGAGAAGGTTTTAATGATTACTCAGTAATTCCAATTAAATATGTCTATTAATATTTTGGATGTTATAAGACTATATCTTATTCGTTCTTTTGTACAATGTCAGCAAAATCTGCAATTTCTTAAGGTTTTTTGACAAAGAGCATAATGTAATAGAATTATTTACCTTATTACAAATATTTTTTATAAAGTCTTATGACATCAGCAATGTCCAATAAAATAATTGGTTCTTTTATTTCTATTGTATCGTAAGCAGAATTTCCAAAGTTATGAATTATGTCTTTCGAAAATTTCATTTCAGGAATATAACATAAAATCTCATGAACTGTTTTAGGAGGTTAGATAATATTGCACCTATGACTCCATTTTAAATAAGCTCGATTATTTCTATTGGTTAAGATTGAATTATGAAAATTTACTTAACATGGAGCATTCTAAAGATCACAAGTTTTATCATTCCTTCTAGGAAACACAACTCTATTGCTCCTTTTAGCAAGTCTCTTTTTTTTCTTTAGTTTCTGCACCTCTTTCAATAGATTTTTAAATTTCTCTTTTGCCAAATCTTGCAATTTCCTCCCCTAGACTTAAGGTGTAATAAAGGATGGTGGTGAGTTTGTAATGCTATCTGCATATTCCTAAAATAATTTCATAAATAATTATACACTGAATGCGCATTTAACATTATTATCTTAATCATCAAAATTAACTTTATCTAGAAGTCCTTTATCTTTTGCATCTTCTAAAGTTGTTTATAAAATATGGATTATTTCATCTCTAATTTCAGGGAATGCAATGGAAACTTTTAATTAGGGTGATGCATTCTATTATTCTTTAATAGCTGGCAAACTTTTTCTAGATTGTGAATCCAGTATGAATTTAGTAGGTAGAATTTACACTTTTTTTTCCTTCCATTAATAGTGACAATCATCTAACACACTTCTTGTAAATGTGAGATCAGTAAATTACGATATTTATTCAAGTTTATTACTAGATATCAAACTCAAGAATGTGAATGTTATTATCACATTGTCACCATCAGTTTAAAAATTAAATTCCTTCTAATTTTGTTTCATTAATTATTTGCACTTCTTCAAACAATGTATGAGCCACTCTTCATTAGGATTTAATTTATTCTCGTTGACTCCAAATACTTATGAATATAATTTAATTACTGATGGTGTACATGTGAAATTGAAAGTGAATTCAAGATCATATCCTGACTTCTCCTGATTAATTTGCTAAATCATACATTTAATAGACAATTAACCTTTTTGTTTATCACAAAATTAAGTCGATGTTAGGAGTGTCTACAAAATGAATTATAATAGTTTTTTATCTCCAGCCACTATTTCTGGAATTCCACTTTCAAAGTTCAAATTGATAATATTAAAATGATCATACAATTTAAGAACCATAAAATCTATAATATTGCAAATAGTAACTTTTAAGTAAAACTGTGATACGTCTTATTAGAAATTACTCGCTATTGATTTTACTTAATGTTCTAAGTGAAGACATTCTGATAAGCATTATCCCAAAACACTTAAGTCAGACTCTTTAATCATTCGAAAGGCTCTTAAATTGTTCCATTTCGTATAATCTTAATTTAATTGCACATATAACTTATTTATCTATTCATACATTTATTCGAAGAAGCAATTCTCTTCACTACTAAAGTAGGACTGAACTAAGATGAAATTTCCTTACCATGGCTTAATGTAATAATCGATTGTCTCCTTTTATTAATTCTCCACTTATATTATACCATAGTATTTCCTTTTAATATAATCTCTTATTAGGTTTTCTGATTCTTGATTAAACTTTATTGACTTATTCGAAAATAATTCATTGCTGTTTTCGTCTAAGTAAAGAATGTGATGAGGTAGATTCAGAAAAATGCTGTCCTATTCACATTGATGTGAGTTGATATTGCATATTTTGGAATAAAGAAATCTCTTTAGGATTTCAACAGCTCTCAAAAGGGCAATAAAAAAACAAAACAAATAGACTTGATTCAATTGTCTAATGATTCCAATTTAAAATACTACTTACATTGGCCAGTAAGGCACCAAAATCAAATTCGTGATGCAGGTAAAAATATGAGATGATATACTATTATAGTTTATATCAATTTATTATCCAATATATAATATAGCTTAGATTAGGAATCTCCATTTGTGCTTGTTTTTATAATAAAAATATGATGACAATACAACACTTATGATTGTGATATAATTACAATAAAACACTATCTTAACTATGACTATTCCTGGAAATAAGTAAAGACCACTAAATTTAGAAAGTCGGAAATTTTGTTCATGTTTTTCATACAAAAATCGTCCTGTAGAGGATATTTAGTATTTATCCATTATTTAATTTTATAATTGAAATTTACTTAAATAAACAATCTTATTTATTGTCTATGATAAAATTAGACCTTATGCAATACTTTTTATATTTTCATAAACTAATTGATGATTTATTATTGTAACTCAATGCAATTTTAAATCAAATATTAGTTCTTAGTATTAGAAAGATATATTATAATACGCCTTACAAAAATTAATAACTCCAGGTAAAAAGTGTATATTTAAAATAAAATTTTTAGTTTATTTATCTAAATAATTATATAAGTTATTATTAAAATTAAATAACCCAAAGATATAAATACAAAGTTCTATGATATATTAAATTTTGGGTCTTAATGAAAGAAGATCAAAATAATTACAATAATATAGTCATTGTACTAAGTATTAAGACTAATGATGTATTATTACCAACAATCTAAACTTCTTATCGAAAATACTTTTTTTCATATCTTTTAATTAAATAGACCTGATTTAGGAATAACTATAAGGAGATAATTTTGATTTAGAATTTCAGATATATTGTAATTGATTTACCTGTAATTATTATTTATCATAAATCAGATATTAATCATCTACTAAGATATTAATTGATTATTGATTTAAATATGAATTATGAATCATTAAAATTCCAAGATGGGGTTTACTGTTGAAAAATAGCTTCTATTGAGTTTATTAACGAAAAATATTTATAGATTAATTTGCTATGACAATAACTAAAAGTGCGATAGTATTACAAATCATCAGCATTTAAATTATTTTATAGTCTGTTTTCTTCAGTCATTCTCGGAATTGAAAAGTAAATAATAATATGCATTTATTATTAGTAATTCACATATAAATGAAGTTAATTAGGTTATTGCTAAATATTATTTTGTAGCCCATAAATTGGATAATTTTATATTAAAGAAGTTTGAAAACATAAATTGAAGATCTTAAAATGGTATTAAATAAAGCTTGTTGAAACAACAACTTCCATTTTTTCAGATAGAAAGTGGGATGTGTAATTGTATTAAAATGATTTTAGTTTTTAAAAAATTTTAAATATTATAATTACATGATTCCTTTCTTAAATTTTTATGATAAATCATAAATTGATTTACCCTTATATATATCAAGAATTTGGAAGTAGTTTTAATATTAATGGATATTATTTAGATAAGTCAAAATGAAACTTTTAAAATTTTAAAAGTTATATATTTTTATGTTTAACCTACCTTAATTTAGGCTTTAAGAAATCTAAGCACAAAAAGAAAGAAATGGATTAATAATTTGAAGATTATATATATATTTTATTTGATATATCTTAAATTCACAAAATGAGAATTCAGATTGACTAAAATTGCTTCAAATACTCTAATCCTTTTTATTTATACTGCTCATGATTCACTTCAATATATTTAAAGCCAATGCTCTCTAAAAGTTATTTCTTTTTCATAGTCCATCCATCTAATTTATATTATTTTTCTGGCCAAATTTATAAATAGTGTTTTGGTCCATTTATTTCAAAACAGTAATCACCTACTTTAAAATCTATTTAATAAGGTATTAAATTTTCGATATTAGGAATTTCTATGGGATCATATTAATCAGTAAATTTATAGTCACTTAATTTGGCTTATTATTCTAATCTTTCAAAATCCAATAATTTTTTGAATTATTCAATAATATCTAATTCCATCTGACTCCTTGTTATTTATTTCATTTATAAATGGTATTTAGCTAAACTTATCTTTGATTCTTAGAGTACTTTGGTAATATCTTACAAGAGATCTTAATTAATTTGATCTACATGTTTCAATTTCATAAATAAAACATGTAATTAATGTGCATAGAATGGTGATTTAATATAAAGTTCGTGTTAATTTTTGATGAAAGTATTATAATGTTCTAATACTTTTTAATCGTATTAATATTACAATAAGGATGTAGCACATCCTACAACAAACTCAGTATTTTTAGATTTATAAAATTATGTAGTTATTGCTTCCAAAATCGCTGGTTTTGGTTCGAATTGTAATGTGAGCAGAGCTTGTAGATAACTCAACATATTCTTCTCATTAAAATCTTTGATTTTAAGATGATCTTACAATTAACAAATGAAGGTTGAGTTGTATAATTTATTAATAATTAATCCTGAATAAATTAGGATTACTTAATCTATAGTTAATTCTTTGTCAACTAATTTATTAATCAACTCAAAATAAAATTCTGTATCCTAATAATTTAATCTACTAAAGGAGTAAAATATTTCACAGATTTATTAGTTATTGAATTTTGTAAAGTCTGTTGATTTTTTGATTATATGTAACAATTTGGAGACTTCTTTTAGATCAAGTTTGCTAGCTTAACTCAAATAAAATAGAATAATAGGGATTTTATTAGATTCTATATAATCTATTTTTTTCATTAAGATTGCTAATACCTTTTCCCATACATCTGACAATTATTTAAATTAATCACTATTATTTTATTATACTGACATATAAAATTATTGAGTTAACCTTTTACTTAGTATTCCTAAACTTGGTATGAATTTTACAATAAAATCTACCCACTTCAATTAGTTTAATACCTATCCATAGGCAAAATACTCTAAATATGTTGCCAATTTTGGAGAATAATCTTCTATTCTAATTAAGGATTAGAATGCTATGACTAATGAATCACTTGGATTTAAATGATTTTGCATCAATTGTCTTATTTTGGATTCAATTAATTATAAAACTGGATCTCTTAATTTTGGATGTTCATGATGATGATGATGTTGTTTATTATTCGGATTGTGATGCAAATCATTATGATTTTGTACATTAGTTGATATTGTTTCAAGTGTTTTTGCAAGAATAAAAAGGTTGTTTTCTGATTCAACTAAGAAATGTATAACTTTGTAATCCTAATCTTACAAATAGAAATTCTTGCTCGTTTTAGTCAAAAAGTAAGCTAAACTATTATAATCTATCAATGTTTTCAATATTTTCTACTTCTAATTTGTTGTGTACTCATTGACTAAACTGATATAAATGTTGCCTATTAAATTATGAATTTAAGGTGGAATTGAGATAGGTGGAGATTTAGGATACTTTTTAACAAAATTTAAGATTGAACTAATGTGTTATACTGAAAATTGAGTTTCTATCATATTTTTTTCAGTGAATGATTAATTAATAAGATCCATAAATTATTATTATAGTTTTTTTTATTATTTCTTTTGGGCACTTACTATTAAAGGATTTTGAAATAGAATTTCCAGAGTATCCATAACGTGACACATTTGTAAAGATAGACCGAGGTATTCAGTATTTAATTCTTGATTGTAAAACTGCTTTAATTAATGCAATAGACCATATATTGTAGCCAATATTTCATGAATCAATTTGTTATGTCTTACGTGTTATGATAGATTGATAAGTTTTGGTAATTGAAGCATTATCTGTTGATTATATATTTGGGAGTCGCTATTTTATAAGTTTATAGCCATCTGCTCAAATAATATAGAAACATCTTTGATTTTATATTTCTAATTGAGTTTGTTGTAAATGATGGTCTCTGTAATTGTTATTAAATGCTCTTCAGAGAACTTTTGATAATTCTACATCACCACATCAAGAATTGTTTAATTCAATTATCTATTTTCAATTCTGTTTATCGAGAGTGTTAATAACAGTCCTTTCAAATATTCCAAATTGCTCTCCACTTAAACTAATTCAGTTGATCTTTATAATACCAATTTCAATAGATCTAATGGAATTATTTAGTTAGTTTTATATGATGTATCAATCACACCTATTAAGGTGTTCAAATTTTGAACCTGATTGATATTTTCTTTTAATTCCAAATGTAAATGCGATTTTACAGAAGCTGACAAAAATTGATTGATAAATGTCTTTTCATGAAATCCATATTTTACCACAAATCGCAGCATTAAATTTAATAAAATGAATTACAAAAATAAAATGGCTAAAGGGCATCAGCAACCATTAATCCAAATTACTATGGATTTAGGATAAAATAGATCAGACTAATTGATTATATATAGACACACAGATCCCCAATAAGAAGCATCTGCCTTTGTTACAAGAAATAATCTATAGCCAAAAATGATACAAATAATCTCCAATGGCATCTTAAAATAAATGAAGGCATATGACGAAATGAAGATAGTCACGTATGTAACCTATTCAATTATTTAAGGACACACGATAACAACCTAATTATTTGCGGAATTTAAAGTAAAATCATCTAGAATTATAATAAAAATTAACAACTCCAAGTCCTAATAGATTGAAAACAAGTCAGCAAAACCTAAAGATCTCCAAATCACCCTCTAATGTTTAAGTTCATGATGACCTACCAACTGATAAAGTTGTCGTAAAAAAACTTTTTAAACTCTTAGACGGAGATTATGATGGTCTGATATCTGCCAATAGAATCAATTTATAGAATATTCCTGTTGAACTATAAAACAAGGTAAAGGTTTAGATAGATAAATATAAGGTGTTAAATAAAATTGAGAATTCATCAATACCATTAGAGTTTGAGGATTTCTACTCAAAATTGAAGCAAGATCCTTAAGATGAATATTTCTAAACCTTGAAACTAATTAGTTCAATATTTAATATACCTAGAATTAAAGTGTTAATATGATTTATAGAAATAAATAAATAAAAAATTAATATAAGACATAAGAAACTGTTTAAATTTATTAATGTTTAATTTTCTTTATAGGTAAATCTCTTAATTTTCTTTTTCAAACATCATGAATTGTTTTTCATTTATAAAAATGAAATATTTCATTTTGTAGAAGGAAGTGATAAATCTTATATATTAAAATTTTGAGAGTATTTTAAAGAACATCATCATAATAAATCATATATCACATTATTTTCATCTACCAGAATAAAATTTTGCTAAAATTTTATGTAATAAGAATAATAAATATTAGTGCAATTATTATCAGCTTCCGATAGGATACCTGAACTGATTTGTAAATATCTATAAGAAGTCCCGTTTCTTAGATAATTTGATTCAACTCAGGGTCAAGGATTTATGAAAAAATTGGCAGCCTTAGTCTAATTTAAGATTTATCAACAAGATGAGATTATATTAGAATAAGGGAGACCTGTTAATTCATTATACTTATTTATGTATGGATTAATAGGAAAACATCAAACGAAAAGAGATAAAAACTACGAGATTATCCCAGAGAAAAATGCTATCGGTGAAATTTATTTTCTTACTCGTTAAGCGTGTAAGCATTGGTTTTCAGCATTGAAACCATCATTAATTTGTTATGTAACAAAAGACAATTTCTATAAAATTGTGAAAAAGAAAAATATCACAATGTCTTTATTGAATGAATTACTATAATATCCATTTTTCTCATAATTGTCAATAAGGTATAAGAATTTAATAGAGTAGTTTCATTGAATAAATATGCTAAAAGAGTCAAACCGTAAATTACATCAATCATTAAATTGTATTTGATATTGATCAAGAAGCAAATAATTGGTACATTGTCTTGCAAGGAGAATTCTAGGTATTGTTCTAACATTAGAAAAAATTCTATCCTCTGATACTGTTGTCCTAAGGAGATTACTTTGGAGAAATAGAAATTGTGTTGAAATCTTTACGTCAATATAGAATACAATGTATTAGCAATGAAGCCATTTTATTGGAAATAAATAAACTATCATTCTCACAATTGATGATCTATGATACCCAATTTAAGATTATGATCAATCAAAACGTTTAGAATAGGATTAACTCTTATGATGAAATCATCAAACAAAATATCTCCACTTTAAGCATTCCATTATCTAGTAGACGAAGTAGATCCAAAATGCACCTTAAATCTATACATGTCAAAATAAAAAGCACTGACACATCAATAGAACCGAATGTTTAGGAATTTTAGAGTGAGAGAGGGAAGGCTTTGCTAAATTTGATAGAATCTAAAATTGTTAAGAAAGAGAATAAGAAAACCTTATATTAAAGACTGAGAGAATAAGATCCAAGATTGCTTCAATTTCTAGAAAAAATGGAGGAAATCAAGTAATAAGAATGATAAACCTCAAAAGAATTTGAATTAATCAAACAGTTGCCTTCTATTTAATCAAATCCTCTAGTTGATTCTATTCAATCTTATTCTAATACTCCTCTATTTTCTTTTAAAGGAGATTCTCCAATAAGAATAAGATAATTGACCAAAAGCAGAAATAAAAACAGTAACTCTTCTGTGCATACCTTGCAATAAACCTAAGAGATTTTAACCAACATGGGATAAAAAAAATATTTAAAACTGCTATTCCATAAAAAAGAAACTTGAAAATTATTTGAATAAATATCTATATATCAAATTAATGACTCATATGTCTAAGTTCTAGGTCCTTAACTTGTTTTAAGTTCTAAATAAATTTAGATGAGATACTTCTAGAGGAAGATTAACTGGTAAAATTGCGTTTGACTTGTTCTTAAACTGCTAATATATTGAAATCATCATTTGTTCCTGAATTGATAGATGATAATACTTGTTCTTCGTTGTAAATTGTCTCTATATTTTTTAACTCTTTCAATATCATTTACCCAGGTTTTCTTGGAGTAGGCTGAACTAGCCGATTGTAAACGCTTTAAAATGGTTTAGTTCTCTGAGCTTATCTTGACTTGTTCCCTTCTTCTTAATGCTTCCAATGAACCATGTGTTGGAGGTTACTTCAATGCGCTATTTCTCTATTGGATTTCCATCATTTTTCTGAGCAATTTGCTGTTTTTGTCCATGATTTCTTAATCATTGGCTAAATCATATGCTCTAGATCTTACTATTTGTGTATTTGTTGACTAATCTTGATATCGAATGTCCTGGTTTCCATGGTTATGCGTTGTTGACAAGTGGCTTAGAATTTTGGATATTATTCAAATGCATGAGTTGCTCCTTTACATAATTAATGGAAGTATAATACTTGAGCTATTTTTTTTTTGAAACATATAGGATTAGAGTAAATGAGGTTCCACATTATAAATAAATTAAATGACTGAAGTAGAAAAACAAAAATTTCGAAATGACTCAGAGTTTTATGAAATTGTGCGAACTTTTCATGAATTGGTGACAGACATCAATAAAAGTTAGTAATCATTATATTAGGTTTTCACAAAGGAAAAAAGCAATATCATAAAAAGAATAATCATCATCTGAAATAAGCCTAAATTCAGAAAAAATCGAAACACATTTAAAAAAAACCAATCAAATTGGAATTTGGGAGAAATCAATATCACTTGAAAATAGCATATAATATTTATTATTTGAATTCTGCATCAGATAACTCCCTAATCTCAATGGACAAATGGAATCCTCTTCAACACTCTATGAAAATAGTTAAACAACCAGAAGACATAGATTCTAACAAAAAGTATGTTTAAATAGTAGAATAATAAATAGAAAAAAAAGAAGCCTCTTGAAATTAATATTTATATCACCTAATAAACAAAAACTAAGCAAATATATAAAGGCAGATTTTAATATTGTGATCATCTAAATGTGAATCCTTTGAACATTCTATAGATCTCCTCATTACCTTTATTTCTAGATCTAAATCATCGATGATATTTAAATACTATTTTTGATAGTTCAATTTATTTCAATCGATAACTTCTATAAATATACTTCAGAATCACTTTCTGCCCAGCTCATTTGCACGCAAAGAATTAGTACTTTCAATGATCTTGAATTAATTGAACTTCTATTATCATTTTTGTTACATATCTTTTACAAGTTATAGATTTATTTCTAACATTGATAAAATAAGGTAAGCTAATGATACTCACTATAAGTATAATAAAAGGGTCCATTAGAACTTGTTTGTCAACTTATTTATTAAGATTTCAAAGGGGAAATAATTTAATTTTCCTAAGAGTCCAATCTTATATATTGATCTATTTAAAAATAATAGTTTTGATAATAAAATTAGAAACAGATCAGAAAGAAAACTCAAATTTAATATTTTTTACATTTGATCTATTCAATCATTTTTCGAATATTTTAATAAAGGGTTGTTCTGACCCTGTTTCGAAAATTTCGATGGTTTTATTTAGGGTGATGGCTATAGTATACTAGATCTTTTAGTTGGGGTACCAATAGTCTAAGCACTATCGATAGACTCAATTTTCCCTTTAATTAATGGTGATTCAGCTCCGAATGCCTTTTACGAATCAATTTATTTTTGTTATTTAATCTATTTTTACATAACTAAACCTGGAGATTATTTAGGTGATTATAGTGGAGAGTTCATATTTCTGATTGCATCAAATTTTGAATATCTAAAATATATTAAATATTACTCATCATTGATTTTATGCATCATTGATTAAATTTCAATACTTTCATCAATTTCATCGAAATTTTAATCTTGATTTTCTGCTTCCATGATCTCTTTAGCAGTTTCAAATAAAAATGGATGATTTAGACATCTTTCAGCATTGATTCTCTTATTTGGATCTCTCTCGAGCATTTACTTAAGCAAATCTATAGCATAACCAGGAGCATTCTATAACTATTTGATATCAAAATCTATGTTTGCCTCTCTATTCTATTTGACTACAGTAGAATAGCTTTTTCCATTAAAGGCAGATTTACCAGTAAGCAATAAATAAAATACTAATCCAAGACTATAAATGTCGCAGATAGATGAATATTTAGATTTCATATCCTTGATGTTGATAACTTCTGGTGCCACAAATCCTGGAGTTCCGCATCTACAATACAAGTAAACTGGCTCATTAACATAGGTGGCCAATCCAAAGTCAGCTATCACGACTGATTCCATTTTTCTAGATAACATGGTTGAATGAATACTTTGGTTTCTTGAACAATATGTTTTCTAATTTCAGATCCCTATGCATAATCTATTTCTTATGCATATCTTAGAGTCCTACTAGGATGCCCACAACTATCTGTTATATTTACTTAGTATTAATTAGGACTTTATCCTTAATTAAATCATACAATGATCCACCTTCTAATAGTTCTAGACCCACGTACAAAGAATTATTAGTCTCATAAACTTCATATAATTTCATTAAATGTAGGTTATTAAGATTTCTCATTATCGTCAATTCATTAATTATTGCATTTTTTCCATTTTCTTCAGCATAAGCAGGCTATTTGGCAAAAGCTTTTATTGCCATTAATTGGTTGTCTTCTATCCTCTCAGCTTAATATACCTTAAATAAGATAATTAAATACAGATGCAAAGTTCCCTTTTCCAATTTTTTTAAAAACTCTGAACATACTATGAAATTACCATTAGTTAATTCTTTCTCCAAGAAAGGATCTCCATTCATTTATTTGTTGTGTTTTTGCATTCAATCTCAACTTGACCATATTTTCAACACAATCTCTCAAAAATTGCAAGCCTATAATCGGACCTAAACTATCGTCATCCTCATCTTTTTTTGGAATAGGTTATCTCAAAATTTCAAATTTTGTATCAAATTCAAGCTTTAGGCACTTGTTGGGTTTGGACGCTTTCTAAAATAGCTAACAATCAGTTACTTTCGATTAAAGTATATATTGATCATAGCCATAAAGAACTCTTATCTTTCCATTTTCTTTGGTAAATTCGCCTTAAATGTACAATCGTTCATTGTTGACTTTAAAATCATTTGGGATGGGGATCCAAAGTTTTTAATACATCAAAATTTTGAATATTAATGAATAAAGTATCTAAATATATATCACGATTTGAACTTGGTAAATACATATTCTAATAAAATCAAAAAATTAGGGAATCTAAAATTATTTATAAAGCAATATTCTGGAACAATATCAAAAATATCTATATATATATTGATATGGCAAATTAAAAATTAAAATTTAAAATTATCAAAAAATAAAACTAATTCAAAACTTTCTAAAAGTTTGTTGCGACACTTTTATTTGGTGAAAAGTTGGAATACTTCTTACATTTAAAGATTATTTCATCTAATCCATCTCATGAAAGTACTAAGTTTATCTAAACTCTTTCATTATGTATTCGTCCCTTGTGGACTCAGATACTAGATTTTATTAGAAGGATCCTAAAATCTAACCGATCTCAAATGGCGACTTTCCTTGTAGTTATCTGACCAAAAATATGTAAATCAGACTTTTAGTGAAATCATTAGAATTTCGAACATGCTAACTAAAATTAAATATTATATAACTTAACAAGATCCACAAAAACAACATTTGGATATTCATCAATTAATTATTCAATACATTGATAATCATCTAGTACTATTCCACCTAATAAGGGTACTGGTACATTCAATAATTCAATGTTTTTTGGAGGGATTGAAGCCACCATCTAATGAATCCATTTAACGTGTTTGAGAAACAGCATAAGAATTGCTCCTAATTATTAAACATTTTAGGCCACAAATATCACAGATCTCTCTAAAATGATATTTATTGCAACCAATCCCAGACTAAGAGCATTGTTTAGTATTTTTAATTATTTCACATGGTACTCATTATAGTCATAATAGGATTATGGTATTTATTTACTTGGAATTTATATAGGGAGAGTTTCAAAAAGAGGGCATTTTTGAATGTATTATGTGAATGTCAAATTGTTAAACCTCTCTTGTTTGGCACAATCTAATTAATTGAATTCATACTCATGACTTCTATCAGAAAATCAATAAAATATTTTATTAGAGGCAAATAGGAAACTAGACAGAGAACTCTTTCACACTTCAAATAACTATTTTTCGATGGGCAAACATCTTGTATTGATAAACAAATACAATAAGCTAATTCATTACTATTATACTCTATAATAAATTAAGTTATAACATTATTTTTCGAATGATTCTGAAGTTTTAATTGGTAAAACGAAGCAGTTTGGATTATTTTCGGATACAAATCTTTTATAAAGGATTTCATTGATTTCACTTTAAGAATCAGATAACTTCTTCTACACATCTTTAGCTCCATATGGAAATACTAAATCTGGCAATAATTATTCAAGATGACATGCTCCATATTAATAAAGTATATCAGTTTTTCCAAGAGTAGAATTTCCGATTAAATAAATGCCTTCATAAAATTTACAAATTAGATGTCTATTCTATTATGAAAATTTCTCCATCTTATTATTAATGTTTTGATAACTCTAAATTTTCTTAACTCCACCACCTTCATCTGTATCAACATGAACACTAAACGAGTTTTTAGTTGACAATGGAGGCCTATTATAATAAGAGGTTTTGCGTTGACTATTTTAAGAATTTGAAATTGATGAGCTCACTTTTGTTTCAACTTCTTAAATATTGCTAAATTTATTTTACTAGTATGTGCTCTAGATGCTTTAGACCCAACTAAGTGATCTACATTAGTTTTCTTGGTTAACATATATAATTGAGTAGGATCGTTATTTTACATTAATTTAATTTAGTTAATAATTATATGATAATTAATCAAACTAATGAATATTAAGCATTTTTAAGAGCAAGTTCTTCAACTTAGATCTTTAATATGAGAAAATATTTAATTAAATCAAAGTATTTTTTGGTCAAATCATAGCTTATAGAATTCTTTTTCGCTTTGTAGTTACTAATCTTCAATTTGATTTACTAATTCCTTTATTTGTTTAATTCTTTTGAGTTTTCTTGATTAAGGATACTACTACTTACTCTCTTCGGTAGAACATTGCTTATTTTTTTTTGAAGGTCTTCGATAATGGATCAATTCAACAACACTAAAATACAAATTTGTTATTTCTTGAGATTGAATCAAATATTTTTATTTCAAATTTATCATCTTAGATAAATTGAATATCCAATTATCATAAATGTTATATTTCGTATAACAGATCAATAGATTCAACTATTTCAGCATTATGCTTGACATCAATTATGCAATCAATAGAACAAATAAAGTTAATAGCAAATACATAATAATATTTTGCTATGTAATTTTACTTTATTCGTTATTTATCAAGCTGTATTATTCTTCTTAGGTCATTTTGATATTTTTAGAATCTTGGAATAATACTAAAATGTAGGGGGTGTTAGCAATTTATGCTGTTTAAATTATGCAAAAATCATCTAACTTAGAATTATATCTACACAAGACATTATCCTATTCTAGAATTAAATTGCAACTATTTGAAAAATTCTTATGATTATGATAATTCATAATCTATTGAAAATCTGTTTCGTTAAAGCCAGTATAAATCTCATCAAATATAGAATATAATGATTAATTTAACTAATCATAAAGTCTACTATAAATTACTTAACCATAACAATTAATTATTATTAATGTAGTTTCTTAATCTAACAATTTGAAAGCTGAAGTTTAATTAAAATCTATATCTTTAGCAATTACTCCTTCAAATCCTTAATCTATATTAAGTAAGTTAGAAGTCATGGGGATTCTAATTCCTCCTGTAAATATTTCATATGGTTTTCCGTAAACAATTAGATTGCTATTATTAAGGACACTCAATGTATAATTGAGATGATATAAGTACCATGGCCTTAGGTGTGGTTTGAATCCTTAGTTAAAATAGAAGCCTTAATTTATTGTATAAAATTATGCCTGGTTGGCATGACTAAAGTACAAGGCTTATGTATTATCAACAGCGATCCTAAATTGCGTAAGTAAGGAGGTTACTGCAAATACTTAACTTAACTGATCAAGGTGGGTTTGATTAAACCAATCTCCAAAGAGCCCAAAGCAATATGATGAACTATAGCAATATGAATCATTGGTATTAGGTTAATTCAGACATTATAAAGGCATCATTGTCAAAATACTAGTTTTTTCAATAAATTGATTGAATGATTAGACAATTTAAATTTGTTATGATGCAGACCTAATTAATTACTAAAGATTATTTTTGTGCAACCAAACACTATTTAATTATTGCAAGGTTTATTTGACGAATATTTTTTCAGATGATTCTTCTATTGATTTCTAAATTATTAATTAACTAATTATTATGGAAGAGGCTAATAGTATAAATACAAAAATTGAACTTACGATTTGTATGATTAGAATTTGATTCTTTATCCTCCAATTTTTATTGATGTACCAAAAATGTTGTTATTTTAATTTATTCAATATCATATTTATTACTATGATCTTTCCTAATTAAATTTCACTTAATATATATTATAAATTAATTTTTAATATAGTTAAAGAGTAAATTCTTATTCGAATTCATTTTATCATAATATAATTAAAAATAGATAATTTATCTATTTAATATATTATAATATTTTTATGAATTTAATATGACAATTTTTGTATCATAGGGAATTAATGATTTCTCTTTATTCGTAATTCATTCTGATTTGATTAACCAATAAAATTTAGGTTTTTTAGAAATAAAATATATCAAAAAATTATTTTCAGTTTGCTATTTCTTGGAATTTATTGAATCTTTTGTTGTAAAATCTAATATATGTGTATAAGTACTCGAATGCTTAATTCAATATTGCTATATTGTATTTCTAACTCAAAGGAGTATCTTCATTGTTTTCATCCATAATGTCTTAATATTAAGATTCCTATTGTCTATCTGTTTTATTCCAATTAGGGAAGAAAGTTGGTTTTTCTATTTCAATTTGGGAAGGCAGATATTTCATTTTCATAGAACTAAAGGTTCCAACGTTTGAATTTGATGATGAATTTGATAAATGTCTGAGATCAGTTCTTTGTCCAGGTTTTTTATTAGGATCAGGGGGTAACAAAAGATGACGCTAAGAAGAGGGCCTAGATTTAATTAAAATATACGCAACTTGTGGATGCTATTATTAATCATTGACTGTCCAAATGATTTGTTGTGATAATTTTGATGAACTTTTCATTAGGTTTCCAGGAGAAAGTTCTTTGATTTTGTTGAATTCAAAGGATTTTTTAGATTCCAAAGAACTAAACTTCTTAGTAGATTTCATTAATCCTTCAGTCCAATCATAAATTCCATCTAATAGAAATTAGTTGTTTTCTGCAATTTGATTAAGAAGTTAAAGGATATATTGATAGTTAGGTTGATCCAAGAAATTCAAGGATTTCAAATATAAAAGTATTTCGACTAGTTCATGGGGCTAATTAATGCATAATTCATTTAAATCTATGTTTTATTTAATTTCTCCAACAGCTTTAGTTCGCTCACTTTCTGAGACTGGCAAATTTTACCATGGTAGACTGCCACGAAGAAAATATAAAATTACATAAAAAAGAGATTCTAAATCATCCTTCCTAGATATCTCATGGCCCAAATGAGCAGCGACAGATGCATACCTAGGAGTACCCATAAATGTTTTGTCGCTCTTAAAGGGCCTAAAATACAATTACAATTGAGATTTACATATGTTCTCCTTGAATGCAATAAATTTTACTAATGCCAAAGTCAACTATGTAAATGGCATCATTATCTTTAGACATTAAAATATTTTCTGGTTTAAGATCTCTGTGTACCACATTTTTATTGTGAATATTTTTGAGAATATTAACACATTCATAAGCAATTTGAATTGTACATTTTAAACTGAACTTCTTTTATTATCTGAAAAAATATGATAAATCTCTTCCTAGCAATTATATAACCATGATGTTGAATTCACTTTCATTTCCACACCAAATCAACTTAGGAGTACCTTCAGCATCATTCAATTATTTCAGGATTTCCACTTCTCTTTCCAAAGATCTCATCTCTTCATTATCTTCTTTCTCCAATTTCAATGCTGCATCCTGATTTGTCTATTTATCAAACACCAAAAAGACGACCCCAAATGCTCCAGATGAGATCTTCTTTTTCACCACGAATCTATTCATAAATACTCTATTCTAACTACTTTAGCTCATAAAGAAAATATTATTTATAAATTGGATTTTTATATAAAATTCTTTCCAAATCAATAATAATATGGGTATCCACCATAATATGCAGGTCTCACTGTAGAATATGTTAATGGAGTGCCATATGATGCTACAGGTTGGGTGACAACTTAAGGTACTGGTTGAACAACTGAATAAGTTAAAGGAGCAGGAGCATATTGAACTGGGGCAGGAGCGTATTGAACGGGGGCAGCAGGCTAAATCTCACTAATACATCATACAACTCTTTAGACTTCCCTCTCCACTGCTTCATATTCAACTCTTGGAATTGTTTTTTATACAGGTACATATTCTGTTTATGTTTCGTAGACTGTTCTTGGGATGTAGTCTGTTTAATATTCAACAGGGTAATAGTCTGTAACATATTTTGTCACAGGCTTTTTAACTTCAATAGTCTCAGTCTCGTATTCAACGACTGGTCTCTAATACTCTCTATATTCAACTCTGGATTCTCCCTTGATTGCTGGTTGAGCTGCAACAACTGGTTGCACAACTGATTGAACTACTGGCTAGACAACTGATTGAGTGACAACTGGGGCTGGGGCTGTATAAATAGGGGCAGGAGCTGTGTAAATGGGAGTTGTGGCAACAGGTCTAACAATTGAGGCTTAAGGATAAGCAAGAGGGGCTGCAAAGGAGGCTGCAAGGGGTTGTGTGTATTGTGGGTAGAATCCTGGATAAAATGACATTAGAAATAAATTTATTTATATGCATTTTATTTTAGATTTATTTGGTTTAATAAATGTTCTAGAATACTCAATTTAATAATTCTACACTGTCTAAAGTAATATTTCCTAATTTGCCAATTCTGAATCCATTTAATATGAAATCGATTGTGGTCTCATAATTGTAGTGGTTGTATCTTTCCCTTACAGCCAACATGTACTCACCACCTGTTTTGGGTCTTTAATTGAGACCATAAATCTTATAATACTTTTCCATCTATTATTAATTCATCTCTCTTACTAAATAGTCTAACATTCTTTCTTTGGTGACAATTTTATCTTTAATGCATCCAACCAACTATTCAAAGATTATTTGTTATGTTTTACTCCTAATTTCAGTCCTTGTTCTTCCTCAGTAATATTAGGGATCATCACGCCAGGAGTGTCAACCAAATATGCTAGAGGTTCATCGCATATTTTAATTCCAGCCACATTTTTAGTAGTGCAAGGACTGGCTGTTGATTTAGCTAGAGCTTTCCTTTTATTTAATTTAGGAGTTGTTTGTCTCAACTAATTTATTATTGTGGACTTTCCAACATTGGGCATTCCACAAATCATTAACCACATCCCTACTGTCGCAAATTTGGCTGATTTATAGGTGTTGGTCATCATAATCAACTCCCTCAAATTCAATCTCTCCCTTGCAGATGTAGCTATACATTAAATTCCAACCTTTTTGTATTTCTCTATTATTTTATTCGTTATATCCTAATTGCATAAATCAAATTTATTAAATATGATAATCTTCTCTTTATTGTGAGCCTACATCAAATTATCGAAATGATAGTTTTTTGATGAAAAAGGCACCCGAGCATCTCGCAATTCTAAAAATAATTATACATCAGTTATTCTCTTCTCTAAATGTTCCATAGCTCTTTTCATATGTCCTGGATACCATGAGATCTTATCTGAATTATTCATTTTAATTATGGTGTATATATTTAAAATAAACTATTGCTTTTTATATATAATTAAATAACATGAGAATATTCAGATATACACCATATAAAGTAAACGAATATATTGAATCATTTTATAAATAAATATTATCCTTTATGATAATAATAAGTATATTTGAACTTCAAAATTTATAAGCTCCTTAAAGATATATATGCTTTTATTTGATATATTATAGATAAAATTAAAAATTTATATTAATGAGTCAATCAATGTCATAAAGCTTCCTTGTAAAGTAGTTCTGTTAAAATCATCCTTCAGAATAATTGACAATCTTTTGTTAAACAGTCGATTGCTTAAAACCTTTATGTACAGATTGCGTTGAATCACATACTTAATATCATACTTAAGTATCTACAACAGCAGATATTGAAAGTTTAGCAAATGTAAAGTAGCTTTGCTAAAAAAAAATAAAATCAGGAATTATTGAGATGTAAAAAATTTAATCGATCGTAAACTAATATGGATAAACAGAATATGAGGATCAGACGATAAAAGATATCAAAAAGGCTAAAGAAAATGTCATATATTTAGTTAATCAATACTTCACCTTATTAGAGGATCAATATAAGCAATACATAGAATCTTAGACAAACTCTTAATAAATTTTTATTTAGTAATAAGAAAATGTTTAAAATTTTCTTAATGAATTAGAGAATTTATATGTTGGATTGGAAAGTTCAAATTAAATAAATGTATTAAAAAGTGTTTGCAGTTTGGATATCAAGAAAAATTAACTTAAGTTTAGGAAGGTTATGAAAAACTTATAAAATCTATAATAAAACAATCCATCTATGATTTAACTCAATTAAGCTAATTTACAACATATTCAATAAGCATTGACAAATTATGTATAGATTGATTTTGTTCCTTTGCAAACTAATTTGTTACTCAATACAAGTCAAATATCCTAAGTGTACTAAGATACCTACCTATAATCGAATGAATTTTTTAGAAATAAATATAAGTTATTGCACTTTTTTGAGACAGGAAAATCGGTGCTTTGGTTATATGACTTAAGCTTACCTGATTAATTGTGGAGACCTGTTTAAATCTCAAACTATGTCGAGGTATTGCCATTTTCAAAATCATTAATAACTCCAGATGGACAGATATACTTAACTGGAGGGTCATTGCCTAATAAGAAGAAGAGTAATAAAATTTATCAATTCAACTTTTCAAATTATCAATTATAAGAAATCGGACAAATGAATAATGGACGAAGTTCACATGGTTTAATTTGGAAACAAAATGAACTTTTTATAATTGGTGGATATTTGGATAATTTGTAGATAACTAATTCATGTGAAGCATTTGATTGTTTAAATAAAAGAGTAATAAAATTACCCAATTTAAGCAATGCTCTGGGATCGCCTAGTGTTAGCATATTTAATGATGTTGTTACGGTTGCTGGTGGAATAAGTATTAAATTCTATTTATACTAGTGCAAAATATGGCAATCAATCAATAAATAGAATTTCTACAGAAGGACTCTTGGGTACCTTGCACCATTACATCACAATTGACTTCCATGGCCTCAATGATGTGTTCGATTTAAATAGAATAAAATTAATTAATGATATTCGGTGGATATTTGGAAAATAATAAAGGATCAAAAGAGTGCATTATTCTTGAGATAAATGACAAGACAGCTAAAGTAATTCAAACCAAATAGTTGCCTCAAGCTGAAGGATTCTGGAACAATGTACCGATTATTCATTAGGGAAGGATCTTGGCATTATAAAATGTAGTGTTGGATAATTAAGGAAATTGCGCTCATGATCAAAGAAGAATTATAATTTTTGATGGAACGTTTTGGAAATATTATGATTTAAAATGACATCATATATTATATTCAATTTTAGTTTAGGCCCTTATTGGTTATCTTCCCCTATGTCCTAACCCCGAGCCTTGAGTTCTCTTAAGTAATGTTTAGGTTTGTGCAAGCATTTGATTTTTGGCCATAGGGAAATGATTGGAGAAAGTCTTACAGAATGAAGAAGCAGATTTAAATCCATTGATGGCAGTTTCGACTAATTTCTTAGTATTGTTTCCATAATAATTCGATTGCTTCAAGACGCAGTTGTCTAAATTTTAGGCACTCTAAGTAACTGATTTAATTTCAAGGGGATTATTCGGTTTAACGGTGGGAGTAAAATTAAAATAATTTTGAGTTTCGCTTTTTTTGGGAGTCAGAAATAATGACTTAGTTGACATAGCTTTCTGATTGACTCTTTTCAATGGACTTTGATTTGGAAATTGCCTTGTTGTTGATCTTACTTCAATAGATTCTCTTCTGTCTCGGTCATTATAAGATCTAACATACTAAGTACTAGCAGGTCTTTGCTGTCTCCTTCTGTTTAATTCGAAATCGAATTATTATAATTGTTGCATAAACCCTGGATTTGGGTTGATTTAAGGCCTCCTACCAATGAGGAATGTAAGTGCAACTTGAAGTGAGTAATTATACATTTGCATTAAATAGGCTATCACCAACGTAGCACTTCTGCTGACTCCAACAAAGCAGTGGACTAAAACATTCTTTGTTTTTCGTTATTCATCAATAAAATGTATGGCCTCCTCGAAATGTCTTCTTATAGGATCATAAGCAGTATCATGTAACATAATCAACTAAAGATGGTCAGCATAACTACTTTTTATTCACAATCAAATTTAAGATTAGACAATTCTGTCCCCACTGTTAATACTGCCCCAATCTAGTTTTATTGCATTAATTATGGATTCAAAGCTGCCTCAATTCCACTTAAAAATAATGCTCCGTAGGTTTCAGTCTTCCCTAAAATTAAATCCATTTGTCCTGATGGAAATGGGGGTCTAGGTTATAACATATTTCTCAAATAAAATTAAATATTAAATATTAAAGGTTAAAAACAAACAGAACTTTTTAACAATAATTATTTAGTTATTTAAATGTTCTAATTACTCCTTCTGCAAGATGGTTATGCATTCATTTACTTAGCTTATCATATTCTAAGTATTTCACCTACATTCCCCAATATAATATGAAAACTTTGTTAAATAATTGATATTTTTTATTAATGTATATATAATTAATGTTCAATCAAATCATTCTCTTGACAAGATCATTGATGAGATCTTCTCTGTTTCCCCAATCACCTTAATTGATGAATGATCTTCTCTTAGCAATAAAGCCACCTCTTGGTCCTCTCAATTTGAATGCCCTTTAAAATTTAATAAATGAATTTATTACCACAAAAATCTGTTTGCTTCCTTGAAATGAGCTCCTACTGTAACAATCTCATGGACGAGATCTTCAATGCTGTGAATTCCGACTTTTCCTAATGATTATTCAATAATGTTGTTGTTTGTGATTGGAATTCTTTGACCATTAATTTTGGCATATCCTCTCTTGTAAATCAGATTCTTGATGACAGCTCTTGATGGATATCCATAGGTCACATATGGCTCAACCTTTCTGATCATTTCAATTGTAGCCTTGTTGACTCTGACAAAGGCTGCATTGTGAAGTTATCTCAATTTCAAAAGTCTCAAAGTTTATCTGACTTGAGGATTCAAGGTGTTGATACTGTAATATATATCATAATTCGATACCCTCTGATTCTTACCACCAAGATCAATTTAGATTCTGCTGGTACATAGAATCCACCTTCAGTCTTTGCCTTACGTAAGCTATCAACTAGGTTCTTATCAGCAGCTTTGTATTCGTTTTCATAAGCTTAAGCAGTCTTTTCCCATTAAGCTCTTCTTGTTTTGTTTGCAGCCAATCTCTCTGTTCTTCTCTTAGCAACAGCTTCTCTCAATTTGGTGTCTCTTGCATTCTTCTTCACTATGTTTTCTGGAACCTTTTATCTACACCATCTAATCCAAAAACTTACTCAACTTGCATTTGTGGCTTCTTTTAAGACATTTTAAAGCAAAATAAAATCTTAAATTTTAAAATCAAATCAACTAAAACTTCCTATTCATATTCAATCCCCTATTTCTCCTCTAAAATCCAATTTTGCTTTCTTCCAGAATTATCAGTCCTGCAGGTAAGCTTAGCGAATCCCTCTCTGATTCCTTCTTTATAACTATTGTGGAAAGTCTATTTGATTATCCAAACTGGTTTATTTTGAATTTCCTATTTCAAATTTAAATTGATTCCATTCATATCAGCATTGAATACTGGTTCCGTATCTCAATAGGGTATGCATATATAATATGATCAACAATTAAAAATCAGATTTACTTGGATATATTATTACTCCATTTTTCAATTTCACTTATTCTTATTCTGATCGTAAGTATGTTATTAAATAATAATCTTCATTTGTAAGAGATGTTATTTTACAAAAACTATATATTTTATCCAATGAAATTGAATATAATCCATTAGCCTAACATATTAGATTGAATAAATTACATTAGCATCTATTGGATATAATTCAATTTAAGGATGCAAGACTAAATAAAGGATAAGGAATGCTTGTTTTCTCTTAATTACAATAATAGTTAAGATTTTGTATAAAAAATAGAAGTCTTTAAGTTTAGTTTACACATAATTTAAGAAGATACTAATCTATTTAATGAATCTTTAAAAGATTATCCAATTATCTCAATGAAGATTCAATTCTTTTCTTAAGTTTAACAGCAACAATTAAATCAAAATATTAAGTTTTAGTGATACCTTTAGGTGTATCAGTTATTTTTCCTCATAAAAATAAATATATCAGAGAAGCAGAATTCCATTCAGTTATTCATGGTTTTCATAAAATTATCATCATTATTCACTCTGTACATAGTGTTTCCTTATCTATTGATCAATCATATAAATATTAATTATGGGAATCAAAATTGGAATATTTGTTTCAGCAATAATAGGATTGCTATGTGCATTTAAGATATTTTCATACTTGAGTGTGCCATCTTATTAATCAATCATACACATCAATAGAGATCACGATATAAAAATTTATAGAGATAAATTTGGTGTGCCACACATTTAAGCTCACTCATTACCGGATGGTCTATATGCTCAAGGGTTTGTTTAAGCTTAGGATAGATTATGGTAATTGCATATTAGGAAAATGGCATCTTAAGGAAGATTGTCTGAGGTTTTTGGAGAGCGTACTTTAAAAGTTGATTAATATTTTAGAGGCTTAGATTACTAGGATTCAGCTAGAAGAATTGTTAATTAATTGAGTTCAGAAGGCTAATAATTATTCTAGGCCTATGTTGATGGAATTAACAAAGGAAGAAGCACCTTTACTCTATTACCAATAGAATTCTAATTGACTCGTTCTAATTTCATCGAATGGGAAATCTTTGATGTGATATGCTTTATTAAATTTATGGCCTAAACAACTATGAATGACTTCCATTTTGAAATGATGAGATCATCTATTTAGGAATTTGATTTAGAAACAATTAAGTACTTAACAGGTATAGGACCAGACAATCTATTTGACATTGAAACTACGACAATAAATGAATAGGAATTGAAAGAATAAACTAATTTGCATAGTGACTAATTTCACAATATAAAATCACCATCCAATATTTAAGTTGCTGATCTTATGTAATCCTATAAGTTTTTGATTGATAATGTTATTCCTTTAAGTGTGGGAAGTAATAGTTGGGCAGTGCATGGAAACTTCACTAACACAGGTTATCCATTCTTAGCATCAGATCCCCACTTGGAAAATGGGTTGCCATCTCAATGGTATTAGAGTTCAACTACTTTTCCAAATGGAGACTTCGTTGCAGGAGGGGCTGTTGTGGGTCTTCCTTATATTTTATCAGGCAGAACTAAGAATATGGGATGGGGAATCACTATTTCATATTCTGATTCTAGTGATTTATATGAAGAACAATTGAAAGAAATTGATGGGAAAATGCATTATTTATTTTAAGATAAATGGTACCCCACCAAAGAAAAAGTCGAACTTATTCATTATGGAGATAAGACATACGAAATGACAATTCACAGAACTCATCATGGGCCTATCTTGAATTTCTACTTTGATGATAGAGGAACCAAAACTATCAAATAATTAGACAAGACCTACTCTTTGAGATCTTTAATAGACATTGATGATATCTATGGACCAGAGTATTTTAAATACATTATTATTTTAGAGCGATGATACGTTTCATATAAGGGTCAGATCTAAGTGAATAATTGAAGCATCTCAAAAAGGTTGTGTATCCAGGTTTAGGAATGATCTTTGCTTCATAAAAAGATGTAGCTTATATGATAGTTGGAAAATAAGTGATAAGATCAGGAAATCCTGAGGATTATGGTTTTATTAAAAAGGGATGGAATGGAGAGACAGAATGGCTAGGGTTTATTCCTGAAAATGAGCATCCAATTATAATTAATCCACCTAAAGGATTCGTTGCTACTGCCAACAATAGATTCTTCCCTAAAAACGAGAAGTATCATTGTAATTGGAATATCAATCCTACTGGCAGAGCTCATAGAATTTATCAAGTTCTATCTGAGATTGTCCCAAATAAGGTTAGTTATGAATAAATGAAATAATTACAATTAGATACAGTTGATAGTTATGCAAAGTAAAGTTGGCCGACTTTAAAAAAGTTAATTCAATCTCAATATTTTAAGGAACAAATAGATTCTTGGGATTTTAATTTAAGTAAAGATTCAAAATAAGCCACTCTTTATATGTTATTTGAACATCATTATTCTAAGAGTTTTTCAAAATTACCTCCTAGATGGTCATAAACATACAATTTCGATTCTTTCTTTTTCCATGAATTAACAAGATTTAAGGAAAATGGAGCATGGTGTTTACCTTATACTTGTTCATAACTCTTGAATTAAGCAGTTGAATAGGCTGTCGAACAGTACAAATCATTACCAAAATAGGAATGGGGAAACAATCATAAAAAGTTTCAAGGACATTTTACCTTTAAAGATAAATTCTTTGGTATTTTTGATAGAGAAATACCATTTGGAGGAAATAGAAGGTTTATTATATATGCTTATATTCTAGAACTCCATCTGTATCAACATTCGATATATCTCAATTTCCATTTAGAGGTTTTGCTGGTGCAAATTACAGAATGCTTGTATCTATGGCACCTGGCGATGTAGGTTAGTTCATTGTAGATGGGGGAGTAAGTGGAAATCCTTTGTCTGAACATTATGACGATCAGTTATCAATATATGCAGAAGGTAAGTACATAGCTATGTATCAGAAACAATTTGAGAAATTAACTTTGCTTAAGAGAGCTGAATAGAGTGAGGATTTGTGAAATGTATTTATAAAACATATAATTTGAATATTTTAAATAGTTTATGTAATTATCTCTCCTATTAAATTTATCTATTTTTGTCATATAAATAACATGCTCCATTATCCTTAAATGATCTTAATTCTTTGAATTCGCTTTAATCTTTATAGCAAGTTTGTTACCATCTAAGAGTTACTTGTTGGAATCTGTAAATCAAATGATGTTTATATAACAGATTTATTTGTGGTTAGTGCAAATATTTAAAAGAGCCTTCTCCTTAATTATAAGATGTTAATTACTTTGAGCTTTTTGATTTGCCTATTAACATCAATGTGGAAACCAGATATTTAGAAGACAAATATAGATCATTGCAATTAAAATTTCATCCTGATCGATTTGTGACTATGCCTACCATCAATATTTCATATAGTCAAGAGTATTCTGCCTTTATCAATGAAGCCTATTCAGTATTGAAAAACATTCACGAGAGAGCAGAATACATTGTATAATACCTCAATATAATATAGTTGTCTCTTAAGGGTTTTTAAATTAAAGAGTGCAGTGTTCTATTGGACTTAGAGTTTATGGAGGAAATTTTGGAATTGCAGTCCCAAGTGCAGAGAGGGGAAAATATATCTTAAATTAATCAAAAGAATAATTTGGAAATTGAAAAAATGACAAAATAAATAATTTAAGACATCTCAAATGAGCAATACCAAAAGGCTTACGAAATCATACTCTATTTAAAATATAGATAAAGATTAAAGGATTAGATTTTTATACATATCTGATATATATGCTCGTTTATTAAATCAATATGATAATGGTAATTCTCTACAATTATGATTAATTTTTACTCAAATTAAGTTATTTTTTAATTATTAAGGAAATCAAAGAATTACTCATAAATGTTAAGTTTTAAGATTAATAAATATTATTATTATGATTTTATATTAATTAAGAAAATTCCTAAAAATCAATTTTTCTACATATTCTTATCATAGAAATATAATCCTAACTCTGCTGTCAAACTGACATCGAATTTATATCTTATATTCATCTCAACTAAGATTCTCTGTAAAAATCTAGTCACTGTACATTTCTAATGAAAAATAAGAATAAAATATTACACTCTTTTAATACTGAAAATAAAACAATTAATTAATTATTAACTTAACATCAACAATAAATAATAAATGGATTGATTATTCTTTTTAATGGAATAGTATATTTATAAAAATAATTATTATGAAAAAAATATTTCCATCAAACAATTAAAATGGGATTTAAGTTGCTGACCCTGATCAAACTACTGCTCAAAGGTTCCATTAATCCCAAACTTCCAAAGCAAATTTCTCTGTTGTGCCCAGTGAACCTGGATAGACATTATACGAGATTATTGAGAAGAACAAACTACAATATTTAGAATATTATGGGTTATATACGGAATAAAGGTTTATAGAGAATATGGCAGGTTATTATCAATTATAAAATGATAGGATTGATGTCAATCCCAGAAAAATAAAAATTGCTTGAAAGTTTCTTAAATATGTTTGAGGAGATGATGCAATGCCTAAACACTATTTAGAATAACCTAGGATTGATTAACTTTACTTCTTAAGACTTTCAACAGATTTATAATGCTACCCCAGAAAATGTTGCTAATACACTTTTTAAGGATATTAAGGTATTAAGAAATATAATTTAAGACTCTTGAAGGTCTTCATTTAGAACTGCAATATTAATCCTCACTCAGATATTTGGAAACTGTACTTGAGGCACTTGATCTAAATCCCGACCAATCAAAAAAGTTATACCAATTAGATGTGAAGCAATGGTCATCCCAATGTTACACTCACCTAAACCAGCATATCACAACCCGTAGTATGAAAGCTCAAGATAAAACATGCTGTTGCTGCAAAGTATGAATTATTAACCATATTTAAATCTCTTAATTGAAGTGAGAGACTTTCACTTTTAAATTGATACATCATAAACTTAAATAACTATTATCATTAAGTATTACAATTAATTCCTAAACTTTTATCCCTAATTCTTACACTTTTTTTTAAATGTATTTTATATTTAGGGTTTATTTTAATTAACATTTTCAACCTATCAATTTGCTAATCGAGTAGGCTATAATTAACTAGAAGGGATATTTTGAATGTTATGTGAAATCAAAATTTATTAAATACTGATTTTCAATTAATCTAGATTATTTGATCACTAAGTATTTATTAAAATTCTATGAAAATAAATCAAAAGCAGGTTCAATCAAATTTGAACATTTCTAATCAAGTTCTAAGATTTTTTAATGATATTTTTTCGATTTATCGTACTAGAGGATGAGACATAAATATAAATTTAAGTCCTTATAATTTTATATAATCTTTAGAAACATTTTAGATAATTATATGCCCTAAATCATTAGTCTCAATTATTGTTATTATAAATGGTATGATTTGTTTTAAATATAGAAATAATATTACATTATTTTCAGTTTATTCTCTTCTTTTATTTTTAAGCTTTATGTTAAAAATGAAGCCTTAACATTATTTAAATTAAAAATGAACGATTTAATCAGAGAGATGGAAGACACTAATTCAGATGCTTCTATTGTAGATTTCGATTTCGAATCAGATGAAGAAGAAATTATTAATTAGAATGATTAGCCCATTTAAGAAATTTAAGGTCCTGTAGAAATTGTTAATCAAGAGGAATAGGTGATTTTGGAGAATGGTTCATCTATTTAAGGCTAATAAAATTATTAAGAACAAAATAACTAAGAGCAATAAGGAGAATAAAATGAGATTTCTTTACCAGTATAACATTATCAAGTAAAGCCAAAACCAATAAAATACAAATAACCTCGAGAATGTAATTTGCAATAAGGATATCAAATTTTAAAGACTTTTGGCTATTATGCTCATACTTCGTACAAAAATGTATAATAGAAGAAAGAACAAGCATTTATAAAGATTTCAAATTATATAATTTCAGAAGTCGAAAAGATAAAAAGATTATGATTTTTTGTATATACTTAATGAATTCATTATTAATTTGGATCCATTTAGATTCCCAAGTATAAATGCTTGTCATTAGTTCTAAGTTATCTATGAAACAATTGAAAGTCATCCTAATAATTATTAAACTAAATACCTTAGCACTGGCACCTTCCCTTAAAAATTGAAATAGAATCAATCCTGGTTCCTGATAGTTTCCCTTATCGATAAAGTTAGGTCTTTTGTGATCAACAAAGTTATGATTTAAATCTGCAGTAGGAAAATATTTAATCCATTATTTTGTTTGTTTATGAGTGCCCATACAATCATCGATATAATCCTATTGCTTTTGTTCTTCTCTCAATTATTTCTTCTCATCCTCTTCTATAGCGAATTGTGGTCGTTAATCATGCTCAGACATCATATGAGGATTAGTTAATGGATCAGGTTTAATTCTTGTCTTTATTTATGAATTAAATTACTTTGAATAGAGTTTTCTTCTTATCAAGTACATCATCTCTAAATTTATGAGTTGAGGGAGGATTATAGAAATCTTACAATTTCTCTTTTTCTCTCTATTTTAGATTAGCCAGTTTATTTTTTAATGTTTGAACGTCTTCAGGTTTAAAGGTAGCATAAAAAATATGTTGTTTATCTGCATTTTAATCTTCATTGTGTTATTTTTTGGTTTGATTTGGTTGAAAATACTTTGAATCAGATGTCTAAAAGCCTGTGTCAGATAATCCATGATAAGGTTTCTTCAATAACACTGGTTAAGAGAGATATTTAGTAGCTGTTTAACCAAATTATTAAGTTTAATTTTAATCTTGACTCTATTTTTGTGAATTCAGTTTGTCTACTTTATAATTTAGGTTCTCTGGCATAAATTTAAATATAGGATTTCTACTAGATTTGCATAGTTTGGGATCCTTACTTAAGCGTTCTGCTTCATTATAATAAGCCTAAGTTTCAAATCTCAGGGTGGGATACGACTATTATTAATCATTATTATTGCTATAGAATTATTAAATGATAATACAATTTAGAATTAACTACTTTTTCAAAAGGATTATCAGTACCCTGCTCTTTGATGATTCCATTATTAATTGGTTTGATCATAATTGTCTCTTAAAGGAGTATTCCAGCTTCTGGTTATTGTTCAGGAAATTATCTGGGTTCCTGTAATTCTGATGTATGAATAATTTGTGACTATGATGAATTCAACTTTGGTTTGAAAGGAAAGGGTTCCATTTCGTGCATGTCATGAACTTTACTAATTTTAACTGGGGGTAAATCATGATTCGAAGGTAATTTCTCACCTGCAGCCATTAACAATTAAATCCAATGATCTCTATAAGGTCTGGACTTTTCAACCCAAATATGATCCTAATTTAAAACATAATGAAGTTAAACTATTTGTTATTCAAACTACAATACCAGCTCCTAAGACTTCATCAATGTTGATAGGTTCTTTTAACTAATCCTTAAATGCTACTATTCTTTTGCTAATTGCTTCATCAATCATGGCTTGGGCTAACTTAAAATAAAAAGAATATTACTTCATCTTCAAAAAATAAGTAATGCTTTTTGCTAAAAACTAATATATCGTCCTTTTTTATCCATCCGTCATTGTCTTAATCCATTTTCTCAATTAATCGCTGAATTGATATTCTAGGAATTTGAGTAGTTTTATGAATGAGTTTATCATATTTCCTTGGTACACTATATGATTTGTTTGGAGTGGAGGATTTTTAATGTAATTTTGATTGTGGGATATCACCAAATTGATCTTTACTATTTTCCATTATTATTATTAATAATGATATAAAAATGAAACTGATTCTAATAATAATCATTCTTTCAAGGGATCTTTTAAAGGATTATACTAATTTAATTTCATACCAAGAGTTTCTAAATTTTTAATTGCTGTTTCCTAGGTCTGATAATAGTTATTTATCGTATGAAAAGCAATTGTGTTTTTAAATCCAATTTAATAAACATTTGATAGATATTCACCTAAATGTTATTTCAAATCTTCTGCCTAATTATCGAATTGAAGTAAAATCTCATCGTTATTAAATTCTTTGATCAAATAATCTTCAATGATATCCATTGGAGCTGGTTAATATAGATATTCAGAAAGTTTCATATAGTTTTGATATAATTAGTGTTGTTTAAATTTAAGAAAATTAAGTTTAACTTGAAATTATTTGAGTTTATCTTTATCTTAATTATCGAGATCTTATAAATAGACACTAAATGATTACAAGATAATAGAATTTTTAAAATGGCCTTAAAAATCTAATTACGAAATCCTTGAAAAGCTCTGTATATTATTTAAGGCAATATATTTTGTTGGATGCTCTTCAATCTAGTTTATTGGTTCATAGACATATAAATAAAACATCAAAAAAGCTCTTAACAAAAAAGAAAGAGTTACAACAAAATTTAAATAACGGTTTGGATCGAATTTGATTATCAATGAAGTAACGAGGAACCAACCCATATAATATCCTAATAGATTAAATGTCAATTTATATAGTTTATCTTCCAAATGATAAATAATTATGAAACTCATCAAAATTATGCAAGCTAATTCTTCAAGGCAGCTATTGATCATTATATACTTTCGGTTATTATGATAATAATCTAACCAACAGTTTGCACAACTTTAATCAATACAAGTAGTTATAAATGATAATAATATAAATCCAATAAATGTGTATATGTATCCAGTTATTAATAAATATTTTTCACTTGAGAAATATATTGCTAAAAAGCTTTGAGGTTTCAATTTCTTTTTACTAAAAGCTACAGTAATTCTTGCAGTTTTCAATAAAGCAAACGAGAAACAGCAACCTCTTGAGAAAATATAAAAAAAGGCTATAAATCCATTAGTAACTTCATTCTCCTCTTCACAATTCCTCTTATCAATATCTAGGAACTTGTAGATTTCAATTAGCAATACAATTTAACTTATTATGAGAAATATTCCTTAATGCAATGTTATTTTAGGTGACAATTGTTTCAGAGGATAATCGTCCTAATTCTTATGAAATTTAAGTAAATAAAAAGCTTAGTAATATGATGCAATAACCATAAATGCTAAGAATGGAATTAGTAATACAAAATGCATTTAATATGATAAAAAATGTTTTTTAATTTAGATTTCTACTAAATTGAATATAATCCATATTCCTTCGATTATCAAATATTAATAACCTAAACTACCTAATAAATTGATAGAATGAAGTAATAATAATAGAAAGATGAAATTAATTAACTGCATTTTTAATTATTATTTTTAACGTTGTATCAAAATTCAAAGGCCTTGGTTAAAAAGGCTTGGAATTCTTTTTCATGAAGTTAATGGAATCCAGTAGCTGGTGATCCACTTGGTTTTCTGCCAATATATTAAATCTGCTATTGAATTAAGCCTTAGGTTTTTGAGATAACACTTTGAATTCTTGGCCTAACAAAGGTCCAAGGTCCATAATTTTGATGTTCTTCTTGGACCCAAGCGAAATGTGCTTTCTTATACTTTTAGATTACAGTTTATAAGAATTCGTATGGGAAAGGTGCTAATTATTCAATTCTCACGATAGCAGTATTCTTAATAATTAAAAATACTTTACTTTAACTTTTAGCTCCTCTCTTTTTTTAAGAATATCATAATAGACTTATCCTGAACATAAGATGACTCTTTGGATTTAACTGGGTTCATCAATTAATTCAGGGAAAGGATCATCATAAATTTACGAGAATCTGGCTTATTCAGAGAACTCATTTAATTTAGATTTAGCAGCCTAGAGTCTCAAAAGCTTTTTGGAAGTCATGGCAATAAGTGGTTTTCTGAAATCTCTTCTCAACTATCTTCTTAAGGAGTGGAAATAATTAGCAGGTGTCGAGCATTGAACAATTTACATATTTGAATTTCTCATCTATCTCTTAAGTCGAACTTAATCATATTTATATTTAATTACCTCCTAGATTTCTTTCAAAGACAGCAGGATCATCATCACTTAATTGTAAGAATCTCTCCACTCTTCCTGAACTATGTTCTGGTCCTTATCCATCCATACCATTTGGTAATAACATAACTAGTCCACTATCAACATCCCATTTAGATTCAGCACTTGCTATGTAATTATCAATAATGATCTATGCTCCATTTGCAAAATCACCAAACTGAGCCTCCCAAAGTACTAATGTATTTGGATTAGTGATGGAGTATCCATATTCAAATCCCAATACTCCATATTCTGATAAATGAGAATTATAAATGCTTAATCTATCGTTTTCTTAACCTTTTGGTATGACTGCATGTAAAGGAACAAAAGAGGAGCCATTAGGATTTTTTTAATCGTGAATTACAGCATGCCTATGAGAGAAGGTAGCTCTTTGAACATCCTCACCAGATAATCTAACATTAAATCCTTCATGAAGCAGTGTTCCAAATGCCAGAGCCTCAGCAGTAGCAAAATCAACACCTTGATCTTTCTATATTGAATTTAGTCTCTCCTCATAAAACTTACGTATTTATGGATGAGCATTAAAATCAGATGGAATTGTATTTATTTTATCTCCAATTTATTTCAAAATATTAATTGGAACTCCAGTATCTTTTATTCTACCCCAAAGTGTTGGAACTTTTATCATTTCCCAAGGAACAGGTTGCCAATCTTTCAAATTATAGTCCATTTTCCTTGATTTTTGATATGCTACTTCTAGATTATCTTCATGTGTTTTCATCAATTGATCTACTTCAGCTTTTGTGACAATCCCTTAAGCAATTAATTTTTCTGAGAATTTGACAAAAACAGGTGGAGTTTTCTCAATCTTATCGTACATGATTGGTTAAGTAAACTTGGGTTAATCTTATTCATTATGTCCATATCTTCTATAACCAACCAAATCGATGAAGATATCTCTTTTGAATTTAGTTCTATATTGTGTTGCAACTTAAAATACTTTATCTACTAATTCAGGCTCATCAGCATTGACATGGATGACAGGTGCCTAGATAGCATGAGCAATATCTGTGCAATATAAACCTGATCTACTGTCTTTGGGCACTGTAGTGAATCCAATTTGGTTATTGGACACTACATGAATTATGCCACCTGATTTATATCCTTCTAAGTCTGCCATTTGTAATGACTCAAAAACAATGCCCTAACCAGCAACTGCAGCATCTCCATGAATCAATACTCCAAATGCCTTGTCTCCATTTCTATCCTTATGATAATCTTAAATAGCTCTGACTTTGCCATAAACACAGGGATCAACAGTTTCTAAATGAGAAGGATTTGGTAGCATTTCTAATCTTAGTTTTTTTTCTCCAAATTTAACATTGTGTACACTTCCCAAATGATATTTTACATCTCCAGAATTACCCCATATGTCTTCATTATATATTCCTTTTAAATCTTAAAATTCAACCATAATTTCTTCAGGTGATTTCTAAAACACATTATATAATGTATTCAATCTTCCTCTGTGAGCCATTCCAAATACTATATATTCTACTCCAGCTGAGGCAGCACTATCAACCATAGATTGCAATCCTGAAATCATAGAGTCACAGCCTTCAATTCCAAATCTCTTTGAAGTATTAAATTTCTTCTGCAAAAATGTACTAAATGCATGTTCCTATCCAAGTCTAATCCAAATTATACAATGTTTTACCTTTCAAAAGTTTTCAGTTTTTGCTCTTTTGAAGGGAGAAACTCTTCGAACTTCTCAATCTGTTCTCTAATCCAATTCCTCTCCTCTGTTGATTAAATATGCATATATTCATAAGATATTTTACCGCAATATGCCTTTTCTAAATAATTAATTAAATCTCTCAATTTCATTACTACGTAATTAATCAAATCATTACATTATTTTTCTTTGGATATTCCTGAGCTTACTTCATCATGAATATAAAACTCTCTGTCTAAATCTTCTTCTGCAAAATATTCACGATAATCCAATTTTGTATACCCTTTAACTTTTCCTATTTGCTAGATGTGTTCCAAATCTAGTGGATCAACCATTGATTTTTCATGACCTCTGTGTCTGTATTTGTTGATTAATAATCTCACTCTAAAATGATCTGATAACAATTTTCTGACACCTGACACTTGCTTAGAAATTATATGCAACAATACATCTGCTTAAAATGAAATTGTCTAACCCTTTTAAGGCTCAGGTGTAAAATCGAATTTGTTAGATTCACACACTTATCTAAAATATGCATCCCAAGTAGCTGGTACAGAATTGGGATCTTGAGACCATTTATCTAACAAATTGTCTAAAAATTCTGCATTCTAAGCACCAAGGAAGGAGTTTCCAAATTTTTGTAATTCTGAAAAATTATAGCGATTCAGATTCTTTCCAATAAACCTTAACATATTTTTATTTAATAATAATTGTGCTTAATACGCTATTTCCTAAAACCTAATTTGATTTAATTAGACATAAAAATTTATGATTTAAATTTAACAAAAAATTCGACAACGGCCAGATTCGAACTGACGCGGGGAACCCCAACAGATTTCTAGTCTGCCGCCTTAACCACTCGGCCACGTTGTCTATGACTGATACCTTTACCAATCTCTGGCATAAATATCCTCATAGATTGACGTCCTATTCAAAATAGACACAAAAAATTATTATCATAAACTAGACTTTAAAACTCTTTCAATCTCCATTGCATATATATTGTATAATCAATCAAATCAAGTCCTTATTTACATGTTTTCTATTCTAATCCAATAAACCAGTGAAATCACAATTATTTATAATATTATTCATTTTTCTTTCCTTCTCTTACATCATTTAGTAAAATTATTATTTAAACATTTGGATCGAATTCTGGTTAGAATTAGATTCAGGATTAGAATCTAAGTCTTAGTATTTCTATAACTTTGATGGAAAACTATTTCAGAATAGTGTATCATTGATAAATAATTTAACATATTCATTCAAAATTTCTTGGAAACAATTATATTGAATAAATCTATAAGCAGAACCTTCAGATAATCAACATTGTTATCATTATAATAGATCTTGATTATGTTTAAATTAATAGTGTCATAATTCAGATCTTATAATAAATTACGATTTAAATATTTCTTATAAAATAATTCAATTAGAATATAGAGTAATATGGAATGATTTGTAATTATTTAATCAAATCACACTTATTTAATATAATTTATTTTGTGCACACCAGATTGTAACATCATTATTTATTTAATAATACGTATTTTCTGCAATATAAGTATAATGCCTCGAATCTTCAGATTTAAATATTCTTTTGCAAATAATGAATTCATTCTTGTTTTACGATCCTAACTTCCTTCTTCAATAATAGCTCTTGTTTCAACAATTAGTCCAATATAATACCATGTTCGCTTTAAGGTAAATAGTTTAATTAACTTGCTTAGAAATGCTTATTCCATGTCACAATCATTAAGTCCCTAAATTTAGCCAAAATCTCCTTAGGAATGTCATACTATTGATCAAAATACCGTAAAGAATGATGAAACCATTGATGACTAAAGCTCATTTGAACTTTCTAAAAGTAACAAAATAAAAAAACTTATCAAAAAAACTAAAGAAACAAAGTCAAATGCCAATAATACATCTGTAAAAAACCAAAAAAAAAAGATATTTCTTTCAATGAAAGACATTAAGGATGTCCAATATAAAAAGTAAAATATGTCATCAATTTAGATTTAAACTAGTTCAAGAAGAACAGATTCAAGAAGATGTAAAAAATCCAGAGGAGAAGAAATGAAATTTTAATTACTCTCTATATGTTATATGTGTATAGCAACAAGCTTATATTTATTATGTCATTTCTAATAACATATATTTTTATAAAAAATCATTATAAAAGTCCATAAAATAAATGATATCATTTTACAAAAATGTTCATGAAACTGGAATAATTGGCAGGGTTCTAAGTCATCTAGTCTCAATTAAAAATTGTAGAATGATTCGTCTTTAATTAAATTATACGAAAAATGAATTGATAATTTATATTCTGCATATTATTATTAATTATAATAAATTTAATATTGAAATTTATTTTATATTTAATTCAATAAATCATAATAGTTTCTTCTTATATTACACTTATTATTTACAAATAATCTTACAAGTTGGAGAATGAGTCGCTTTCATGATTTTTAATCCTCTTACAATTTTAGAAAATTGCATCCTTAATTTCATCTTAATCTGGTTGTTGTAAATACAATAATACGTTGATAAATGAATTATGTATTTCTTTCAAATTGAAGTTTATCAATCAAATCTGTTACTATCAAAAATATTTATTATTCAATTAATTTGTAACTTGTTGTAACATAAATACTATAGACGGATTAAATATTTGGAAGGGCAGATTTTTCAAATTCCAATTTAATTGTGTTCCTATTATTATATCTCAAAATCTAGATCTATTATTAATAACTCACTATGGAATTTAAATAACTCTTTAATTCATCCTTTATTTGATTATATGTTATAAATTATTGAAATTTTATTGATTAAAAGCTAATATTCGAAATAAATAGTTTTTTTTCAGTTAAACTGCTATCTATTATTAAATTCTGTATTGAAATATGAATCTTATTGTAACAATTAAAAATAAACTATTAGTAAAAGATTTTGGGGTCTTTCAAATAATTTGATTGATAGATAAATTATAAAAATAAAATAGAACTATTATTCACATTAAAGGAACAATAATTACTATAATCATCACAAATACTGAGGATATTGATTTATTATATCATCATTATTCAAATCTGTAGATAATAAACATCGAATATTCCTAAATATAATAAAAATATAATAATTATGTAATGTTCTTTATTTTAATTACAGAATGAATATTGTCATTTCAGACCCACAGGAGTAATATCATTTTAACTATTAGGATTAACTGAAATGAATTCTTAATATAATTAGGTACTTTGATAAAAATTGTTGTAATATTATGCTAACATTAAAATTCTCTCTTTGCAAATTTTACGATTTTAAAGTAAGATGAATTTTAAAATACTTTACAATATGAGCTAATGATGTTGAAGGAGAATTTCTCCAATGAATTAAAAAAATAGTACTTTATATGTTCTCATCATGCCAAAATTTGAAGTTCAACAAATATTCTTGAAAAAGCAATTATGAGACAATTGATATAAGCAAATCATATTAAATAATATGATTTAACTCATTATTATCCAATTATTATATTTATTCTTTTTACAAATTTAATAAATCAAAATAATTATTGTGAATCAAATATATATCTTAAACCACATAAATAAATATCATCCAATAATCAAACTCGATGATTAAGATTATTGATAATAGTTATACTTTTAAATACTTCCCGATACTTGAAGATTTTTGTTCCTTATACTTTTCTATTGTGAATAAACCAAATTTTGCAATAAAAAAATATTTATTAAATTCTAATGGTTTTATTAATAAAGTTCTTTGAGTGTCATGAGATATAAATTAATGTATTTATGTTTAATGTATTATTTCTTATAATGTCACAAATCATTATTCTACGTTTAATTCAACATTAATTCCTGGGCCAATCTTGAAGTTGGTTATATCTTTGAAAGTTGGCAATGTGCATTAGAAATCAATTACTCTTTTGTGAATCTAATCCTTATATAATTGTATTACTCTCATTTCAAATCTATCCCAAGTCTTTGAACCTTCACCACATGGACTCTTTCTGACAGTCATTTTAAGGTGTTTTGTTGGCATTCTGACTGGTCCTTTGAATACAACTTGTTATCCTTAATCTCTCTTAATGTTGAAATTTATTCATTACTTAAATTCCTCTAGCCTTTTCAATGACTTAAGTAGTGAAATTTTCTAAATCTTAAGCGCTTCTGGATGTAACGATCATTCTAATTTTTTTAGTTTGTTATTCATCCTCTACTTTCTTTTCTTTCAAGTCAGCCATAATATTTTTTTTTTAAAATATATTTTTAATAAAAGATTTAAAATGTATTTCTTCTATGTGAGGCTTTTTATTTATAATTATAAATCATAAATTATCTGATTTTTTATTTTCTAACACCTAAGAACACTCTCTACTTTTCGTATCAACCTATTCAAATACATTTTAACCCAAAATAAGTGACATAATAATTAAATTTTATTTTACCTAAATTTATCATCTGATCCATAAAATACACAATAAATTAATGGATAATGACAAATAGAGTAATAGCATCAAAATAATATTTTAAAGAAATAAGCAGTTGCCTATAAATTTACTTTTATCTGAAATTTCTTTATTTTAAGGAGTATGAATATACAATTGAGCTAGATATATATAGATACAACTTAGTTCAATAAATATCAACAGGTTTGTTCAACAATTAAGTGTATTAATTATATAAATTAGTAACAGACATTGATATAAATTGAATTGAATTAGAACACCTTCATAAAATTGATGATAAGTCGTAATTTGTAATTCTTGAACTTATTATATGTTTTATTTACTTCTAATAACTAAAATATTTTATCGATTTATTTAACAATTTTTAACTAGAAATTAACACAACTATAAATTTAAACTCTAGGCTACTTTTAAGAATTTGTTCAAATTAAATCTGTTATAACTGAGTATAATGGAGATTGCTAGTCCTATTGGTTATAAGTAATCAATTTAATTAGAAGGACAAAAGAATTTATTGAACAGAGTATTGAATTCAATTAACAGTTTTTGGGAGCAGATTAGGGTATTCGAATTAATTATTCACCTATATAATTGACTAGAACTGAATTCAAAATAAAAGGATTGTTAAATGGAACTTCCAGTTTATAGTTTATTGATAATATTTATCTCTCACTGATATTATTTAAATGATTAAATCTCAGAATAATAAAACCATCATTTTGACATAATCTATTTTGGATGATTCCTCAGAGTTTTGGATTCAAAGACCACAAGCAATGTTATAATTCTAGTTATAGGACGCACTTTAGGTAGTTAACAGAAACAGATTAATTTTGAAAACATTGATGCTTGGGGGACATTATATAAAATATGGTGAAGAAGTAATAAATATATATATATTACGAATAGAAATTTCTTGATATCAGAAATATGTTTCTCGAAATTGTTTACCATCCTCGAACTTCATCTACGGGATTTAGATTAAGCAAGAATGGCGAAAAACTGGATGTCTATGGGGAAGTGTAGAATTGGGTTGAGATGCTTAAAAAATAAACTATACAATTCAATTTACAATAAAAATATAAAATAATCAAGAAAATAGGAGAGGGGAGCTTATTTCAAGTAATACAATTTCATCAATTTGAAAGGTATTCAAGATTAAAAACAAAATAACAGGATTTTAATATGCAGTCAGAATATATGATAAAGCCAAACTACATAGCTCTAATTATCTCCTTGATTTGGTTAAAAAATAAGTTACACTGTTGAGATAAGTAGATCATTAAAATTTAATTAAATTATATGAGATCTTCGAAAGTTCAAATCATCTTTACGTAATATAAGATCTAATTGAAGGAGGCACCTTAGAGTGCAAAATATCTTAAATGAATTTTAACTAAGAACAAATTATATTTATTGTTAAATAAACTTTAAATGGTTTAGAAGAATTGCATAAGAAAGGCTATATTCATGGGGAAGTAGGCTTAAAGTCAATAGCATTTAAGTCTTAATAGGATTTGAACTCTTTATGTTTAATTCATTATTCTAAAGTGATGCTGATGAATGTTGCCAGAAACAATAGTAAAAAAATGGTTAGTTAAAGGACTTCTTTGAAGAATGATAAAACATACATTTCTGATTTATAATAATTGGGAATTATTTTGATTAGATTATTAACTGGATATCAATTCCATCAATTCAATTTACCAAATTCTATGGATGAGATTAAAACCATACTAAATTTTAAGCAGATAAATTAAGAATTGGAAGTCTTGCTCTAATAATTAATACTTACTGATTTTGAAACATAATTAAGCGATAATAATACCCCTCTTGAAGTCTTAAAAAATGATATATTTAAAAAATAGCTGGAACCTAAAAATTTTATTCTTAAATATTAGACTATAAACGAGAAGAATCAAAGGACGAGTTTAAAGCATCTAGATGATGACTCATTAGATATAAGATCAAGAGTTCATACTCTCCCGTATCTTGAAAATAGATAGAGTAATTCAAGGAGTTTGTCAAATAGAAAACCAAATGTTACACCTCTTAAAATATCAATATTACACAAATTGGAAACAATTGCTAAACCTCCATCACAATCATCAGAAAGAAGATAAAGTAATTTATATCAATTGCCAAGAATGAATCTCATGCCAAAAGTAAAATAAAAGTTCTGAATGACAGAGTTTTACTCCAATTGTTACTATGATTTATTCCAAACATTTTTGTCAATCTTAAATTACAATTAAACTATTTTGTTACAATATTTTATTAAAAATTTATCACTTAACTTGAATGATCTAACTACAACGTTCAATCACTATGTTATTAATGATTAGTGTATAGATTTTCTAGTAAAAGGAATTATAGAAATCGTAAATGATATAAATTAACAATAATTATATATTGAACATTCTAATTTCAATTTTATTATATATTTTTGGAATCGATTCAGATAATTGTTAAATCAAAATTTTAATATGGAATATTCTGAACGAGTATTTAAGTGTAACAACAATGAGTTTATTACTGTTTTGATAAAATGTCATAGAGGGTTAGAAACGAAAAATAATAGACAATCAATTGATTTATTTTATAACAAATTAATATTTTATGATAAAGCCCCAACTATTGTAAATTTGTTCAGTTGATTCCTTTTTCAATAATCATACTCCTTTATTCCAAAAATTTGGTCCTGATTAATTTATAGCCTAATATTCAAGCGAATTTTAAATTAGCAATCAAAGCAGGTTAATAATCAAATAGTTGTCTATCTGCCAAAATTTTATTAAATTAGGAGAGGATGTAATGAAATTCTAAACTTAATTAGAAATATATAAATTTGACAAATGTGTGTATGTAGAAAATAGTTCATCCAAAAACAGGATTGCTTGGAGTGAAGCTTAGTAAAAATGGTGTAAGTTTTGAGATGTTTGGTTAATTGGATGAATGGATAGGTACAATGATGAAATACACGATATAATTAGAATTTGGTTAAAAGTATTAACTGTTTAGCAAAATAGGAGAGGGATACTCAACAATAGTATATCTTATTTTAAATAAAATGATAGGTTTATAAAGCAAGGGATAAATCAAGCAGACAGGAATTTGCTGTTAAAATATATGATAAAAAAAGATTGTTGACTAATAATTATGAATCTAAGAAATTTCTAAAAGAGTTGAAAATTATTCGATAACTTGAACATCCAAATCTACTACATTTTTATGAAGTTTTTGAAAGCAATAATCACATTTACTTGATAGAGGATTACTTAAAAGGGCAGCAGCTATCACAATTTTACTAAAATTCAGAACCACTTAAGGAAGAGTAAGTTTTGATTGTCATAAAGCCTTTGTTTTAAGCAGTCTAGTATCTCCACGATCTCAACATTTACCATAAATAAATTTGTACCTCTAACATTATGCTTAAGTCAAAACACGATTTATCTAATCCGTGCTTGATAGGGTTCACTCAAGCAGAACAGTACTCGAATCCTGAACAAGATGATTATCAATATTCGTAAGTAAATATAGAGAGGCAGAAATAATATTATATCAAACTTGATGTCCTTGCTTTGGGAATTGTGATGCATAATTTATTGACAGGAAATCAACAAAATTTTGATTAGGCTCTTGATGAAGCTATGATGAATAAATTTAAAGGAACGAGAGATTTTTAATTTATTGATCCTCCTTTATCAGACTCATGTTTTGATTTTTTGAATTTAATTTTTAATCAAGGGTCTAAGTTTCGAACATGTCAATAGTTATTAGCACATCCATTTTTCGATTAGGAAGGTTAAAAGTCTAATAGAAATATTTCGATATAATTTTTAGGAGCACTTAATCCAAATTAGACTTAGTTTAGAATTAGATCAAAATAATCATAAAGATCTCCCAAAGCTTCAAAGGAAGTTTAAGTTATTCCAGTTAGAAAATAATTCAATATAATATCAAAGAGTCCTTAGGAAAAGCCTAATTTAAATAGTGATTATTTTGAACCTCCAGTAACTCATTTGATGTTTCGAAGAGGGAGTAGATAAAAGAGAACTTTAAATTTTAATAATCATCACGATACAAGTAATGATTCAACAAATTGAATTTTAAGCATAATTTAATAATTAATTTTTTGGTTTTTCTATTTAGTCTTAACTGATTTTCATTTGGAGTAAACACTTAGGAAAATTTGAATGAGAAGTTGCTTCTAGAAAAGTTCTCAATGCATTTGGATAATACGTCTTGGATAAATAAATTCAATTAAAATATCTAAAAATTAAATTTAAATTTAGTGTACTTGTCAGTAATAAGTATTTGTGTGATAATTTTCCAGATAGCTTAAATTTAAAAGAGAGAGAGTAAAAATGACTAACTGTTTTCAGATCTTAAAAAATATTGCTATAAAAGGAGAATTAATTCAAAAATATTTCATATATTAATTTAAATCATGAAATTCCTCTTGATCTCAATAGCATTGCTTTCGTTGTAGGTGAACAGTCTAAATGTAATTTCAACAAGCACTTGCACATGCTAAACAGTTTAGGTACTAAAGGATTGCCTTATGAACCCTAAATGTGAATGGGATAGTACCACTTAAAAGTGTAAAGATGTAACAACAACAGGAACGACATCAAGATTCGTATCAAAGCTTTGTACAGATTCAAAGACTTGTGCAAAGTAATAGGGTTGTGCTTTTTCTGATAATAAATGTCTTATGATGGGAGATTGTCAATCATATTTGGGTAGTTCAAATGCTGAATGCCAAAAGTATTCTTATAGGTGCAATTATAATAAAGAATTATAAACATGCACATCAAGTGATGTATGTGGTTAATATGGTGGAGAAGGCAAGCAAACTGATTGTGAAAGTGTAACTTAATAGAATGGAGATAAATTATGTAAATTTGATACTACATCAAATAAATGTTCAAAGAAAGTATGTACAGATTATGAAAAAACAACAGATGCTGATTGTGCAGCAGTATTGTAGGATGCTAATTGTGTAAGTGACAAAAAGAAGTGTTTATCTTCATTAGCTTCATGTTCATCATACTCAGCAGACTTGTGCTTAAGTATAACTGCATCAGATGGACCATGTGAATAATCTAGTGATAAAACCAAATGTTAAGCAAGGACATGCGAAGGTGCAACAGATTCAAAGGCTGATACTAACTGTGATGCATACTTAAAAGGATGTATAACCAACAATTTGACTTGTGTTAAGACTTTACCTTCTTGTTCAACTTATAAAACTACAGATTGTACATAATTGAAAGGAAACAAAGGAACTTGTGTATTGACAACAGGTGAAACTCCCACTTGTAGGGATCCAATTTGCGAAGATCTTTCAGAAGTTACAGATGATGCTTGCAAGGCAAAAAATACTTCTTGTGTTACAAATGGAGTTAATTGTGTTTCAGTCTTAGCCGCTAAATGTCAAGATTTATCTGCAAATTGTGATAGTGTATTCACTAAAGAAGGAAAGTGTAAATCAGGCACTGATACTAAATGTGTTCTTGATGCATGTGAAGATTAATCTAAAACAACAAATGAAGAGTGTGGCAAATTTGCTGGAACTGATTCACCTACCTGTGTCACCAATGGAGTTTTTTGTGTCAAAAGTTTGTCAGAAACCTGTGCTACTACAAAAATATCAGATAGTACTAGCTGTGACTAATATATCAGCAAGGAAGGAAAATGTAAAGCAAAGACTGGATCGACAACAACCTGCGAGTTAAATTCTTGCAATACATAAACATTCACAACCGATGAAGATTGCAAAAAATATTCAAGTCACGATTTAGCACCTGCAGTTAATTGTAGAACAACTGGTCTTAAATGTGTAGACAATTTAAATACTTGCAATTCATATTCCAAAGATGACGGATGTTCATCACTCAAAGGATCTGATGGTTCATGTATGGATGATGCTACTGAGGGATCTACAAAATGTACAGTAGTCACTTGTGATAAGATTGCATCACCTTCTGCTACATCTTGCCCAGCTGGAAATACAACTTGCAAATTCGATGGAGTTGCTTGTATAAAAGAATTGAAGACTTGTGAAAGTTACACATCTAATTGCGATAATATAATTCCAAAAGATTCTACTTTATCTTGTACAACAAGCCCAACTGATTCTACTAAATGTACTACTAAGACTTGTGCTACTGCTCCAACTAGTTTATCTACCGATGTAGATTGCATCAAATACAAAGTAGGTTGTTTCACAACAGGTTAAGGATGTATTGCTTTGTTATCAACCTGTGATACCTATAAGGGTATTAAGAGTTCATGCGAGAAGTATATTGGTACAGACGGCAAATGTACTGCTGACGATGCCAATAAAGCTGAAGATAAATGTAAAGCTAAGGATTGTGCCAATGCTACTTCAGTAACTAATGATCAACAATGCAATACTTATTCTAATGTGTGTTTCTACAGTGCTAAGATTCAAAAGTGTTCTAAAAAGGTTGCCACTTGCAGTGTTTAAAAAACTTAAACTGATTGTGAGAATTCAATCACAAAAGAGGCTTCAGTATACTGTAATTGGAATGGTGCCGCCTGTGTTCCAGCTACCTGCAACACTATTTAGAATGTGAAAAGCAAGGAGGCATGTGCAGTCTTTGGATCTAATTGTGAATTTGATAATTTGAGTGGATGTAAAGACAAGACTAATTATCCTTGTTCAGCACTTAGATAAGCTAGTGTTTGCTTATAAGATTCTGCATAAAATGCTTGTGTTTGGGATTATACTAATAGTGTTTGTATTACATATAATAAATGTACTGATTTCCAATTAACACCTGCCAAAGAAAATGAAGTTAAAACTGCTACCTAAATTGCAGCTGAGACAGAAATTTGTAAATTGTTATCAACTAAATGTTATTCTAATGGAGGTAATACATGTGTTTATAAAACACCATGCACTGTTATTAAAGAAGAAAAAAGTTGTATTGGTAGCATAGGAATAGATGATAAGGCTTGTGGTTATGATGCTAAAGCAACAGCTTGTAAGACTTTTGGTCAATGTACTGATGTTGAATTATTAACTCATGCTGAATGCCAAAAGTATAGCACTACATGCACAACAGATGGTAAAACTTGTGTAGCCATAAAAAATTGTTCTGATGCTACTGCTAAGGAAATATGCGATCTTGGAGGAATAGATGGAAAATGTTCATGGACAGATAATGCTTGCACTCTCTGGAGTTGTGATAAGGGTACAGGAACTACTCACGAAACCTGCAATAAATAATTAGCAACCTGCACTACTGATGGTACTAAATGCATCGCCATTTAGGAATGTAGTGCTTACACATCAGATAAAAGTTGCGTGTTGGGATTAAAGAGCACTCCATGCTTTTATGATAAAGATAAATCAGCATGCAGAAATAAAGTATGTTCTGATTACACTAATGTGACTGCTTAAGCTGATTGCGATTCAGCTAATTGTGCTTATGATCCCGAAGCCAAAGCTTGCATCGCTATTGACAAGTGTTCTGCTTATAAAAAGGAAGGTGTTTGTAATGCCAATATAAACACAGATAAGAAGGGGTGTGTTTGGAAAGTAGGAAGCACTTCAAGTTCAACCAGCGGATGTTTAGATCTGAATTATTGTTCAAATGCTTCATCTAACGAGGCCAAATGTAAGAGTATAAATTGCTACTTTGTTGCAGCCACTACTACTGGTACAACAACTACTGAATCCCAATGCAAAGATATGGATTGTTATGGCAATAATCAATAGGTCACAACCAAAGGTCTATGCAAACCATATACAACCACCAGCACTGATGGAAAGACTAAAAATATATATTTCTGTATTTGGAATGATACATCCAAAAAGTGCATTGATGGAGATCCTTCAGGAGAGTTAACTGCTGACAATTGCTTTACATTATCATAGTACACATATTATTGGAGTACAACTTCAAGCAAGTGTGTTTCATGCAAAGGGGGAAATACATCAACAAATAATACCACAAATTCAACGAATTCGACTAATGATTCAACGACCACAACTGATAGTTACGGAATTAGATTAGAATTAATAATATGCATCCTATTATTGTTCTAATTAATTTGAGAAGGATAGATTATATATCCATTAAAATTACATTATATTATTTATTATTATCATCATCTTTGATTAAGTTCTTGTGCAGCTGAAGATAATGTTGCTTAAATGGATTTTTTGGCAGCCTCATTAAATCTCCTTTCCTCAATTTAAACTTATTTATAATTTTAACAAAACTACTTTATTTTTGCAACTTAGACCTCTATACATTAGGGATTAAGAATTGTTATACCAGGTCTTTTATGATAGTCTCATCACTATTATACTTTCTTTCAAAATGCTCCACTGGTGCATTCATCTTTGATTTCCTCAAATTAGTCATTATTGTAGCCTGTCTTGTGGCAGCTAATTCATATCCTTGAATTCTATACCTTGCTCTATAGTATTCTTGAAAATCCAATGTAAATAAGTGTCGACTGTCCCTTAATGAACTCTCATGATTTGATTATATTGGACATCCTCCCTGTCTCTTAGAATCTATTCAGCTTATCTCGTTCCTGCCTCTTAAATCTCTCTTAATCTCCTATCCTCCTCTGCAGATTTCATCATCTAAGCTATCTTCTTCTATTGTTTTATTCTCAGTAATTCCTTGCTTAGCATATCTAAAGTCTCAGCAATCACCTCTCCTTGAATAGCTTCCAAAGCTGCATTCTTCACTTTTTCTTCATGTTGTTGCATCAAAATCTCCTCCTGCTCAGCCTCTGGTAAATCTGGAATTTTAGCCACAGTCAAAAGTTCTTCAATCAAAGCAGTTCTCTATTTTTAATTTCATAATCCCATACCTTCTCTTTTCCTTCGTACATTATATTTTACATCGCTCTTCCTCTAAATAGTCTTTGTAGCAAGACCACTGCTGAATTTCTTCTATCCTCCCCCTGTCTTTTAATTGCTTCCTCTTTAAATTACTCATAATTCTCAAACTTCATCTCTTGTCTCTTTATATCTCCATTCTCAAACTCCTAATTATATGTGGGTGTAGCTGGCCTTATTATAATATTCTTATTTCCAATGTGATCTGCTTAATTCTCATTAGATTGATCCTGCTTATTTGTTCCAAAAATTTGATTCCTTGCTTTGTTTACCTCAATTTTATGTTGTATCTCCAATCTAGTGTAATCCTTCTCTATGGTTTTAATAAATTAAGCCACATTTACAGTTGTTTCTAAAATGGATGGCTTAATTGTAGTGGACAATTCAGTTAGCCCCTTATAAGTATTAAGAGCAACTGGCTAAACTTCATACTTGCTCGCAATCTTGTCCAAACTCAATCCTTCTCTAGTAATCCCTGCATAAACTTTAGATGCAAAATTAGCATAATCCTCAATTATCTCCCTGCCCTTATCCTCATTATCTATTTCTTTTCTACTCTTTTGCATCTTTCTCAATATCTTTATTTTCCTCTTTTAAATCTTAGCCACCATCCTATTCTTTAGTTCCGTCTTCTTTATCTTAATGCTCTCGATCCTCTAAGCGTTCTTCTCCTCCACATCCTTCTCCCTCTCCTTTAATGCTTCTTAGAGCAAATACAATCTCTCGTTTTAAGTACTAAAAGACCATAAAAAATAACTGTTTACATCTTGATGTCTGTCTCCTTCTTCTTCCACTCCCTCTCCTCTTAAGATTTCATTAATGCTCTTCTTAATTTGAATGAGGCTTCATCTGAGATCGGAGGAAGCGAATTTTCGAACCACACTTTTTCTCTATTCCATTCTATTGACTCCAATTCCTCTATTGACGCAGGCAAGCCCTTGTCCCATTTTAAATGCTGCAAAGCCAAAATTTCTATTGTTTAATCATCACTTTGGTCATGAGCAGGTGTATACGGAGCAGTTTAAGCTTCGGCATCTCTGTAATCAGTTTAAATCTCGACGTCCTTAACCTATACTATTTAATTATGAATCTACTCTCTCTATTGTCACCTTGGCAGGAAGAACTTATTCCTTTACTTATTAAACTGGAGGTTGACTCAATTTTAAAGGAGTATCTGTCATTGTCGGTACAAGTGGTCGCTTGAAATAAAGAGGACGAGATGATCCACTGATGTAATTGTACATTGATTGATTCCTATACTGATCATGAAGTACATATGCTTCTTACATCTGATTATATGTTAAAATTATTATTCAAAAAAAAACAAATTAAAAAAAGGACCTACTTGGACTCGAACCAAGGTCTTGAGGGTTAGAGCCTCAGGTACTAACCACTATACGATAGATCCTATTCTGATCATTATAGGCCCTATATCTACATATATATTTTACAAATATTATTGAAAAGCTCAATTTTTCAAAATTTATTTTTTTTATTCTATACATATTTCATAATAATGAATAAGTACCTAAGAAAAAGGAGAGAGATTTATTATTTAGATGCAAAATAGCTGATGAGATACGTCCCCATTAATCTCAAAGATTACTAACATATCGCAATCATCAACTAAATTTTTTTGAATATTTTAAATTATAATTTAATTACACTAAATAATTTGAATAATATACGATACAGTTTCTCAATTTTGTATAATTATCTAATGAATCACAATAACTAGAGACCTTAATCAAACAATTTTCATATAAATCCAATTTTCAGACTACTACTTTATGGTTTATTCATTAAGTATGATTGTTGCAATTCTAATCAAAAAAATATATAGGCATAATTGAACAAATACATATCATTAATTACAACAAATATGAGTGAATAATCAATTTAAAGTATTTAGTGATCTATAATACAATGAAAACATTATTATTGCCATTAGAATTTGAAAATTATTATTAACCTGCAACTTATCATCTATTAAATAAAGATAATATATGATTTAAGGTAGAATATTTTAATATCTCCATATTTAAATATATTAATTTATAAAAATCTGAAAATATTTAAATGATTGGTATGGTAAATAATTTGCAAAGGTAAAATAAATGAAATTATTTATTAAATTCCTCTTAATCAAGATTGTAAATTTTGTTTTTAAATTATGTCTCCCAATTCTTATTTCTTAAATTAGGTATTTGTAGGTAGCAGATATTGAGAAATAGAGGACCTCAAAAATTAGACAAAATGAATGACTATAATGTAATTTGATCATTCATTTTCCTCTAATAGGTTAACATGTTTTCTTGTAAAACTTTAAATTAAATTTGATATAAACTCTATAATATATATAATTTAAATGGGAAATTATTGTCATTCAGAGGAGACTCCTAAATCTGAAATTCCAACTCCCAGAACTCAAAGTAAAGGAAAACTTGTTTTTCAAAATTTAATTTTGACAAATACTTAATTTTTAAAGTAATGCAAGGACTCGTATTTCGTATAATTCCACAAAGTATAATCATAGGTCTTAATTAGAACATTGTTGAAAAAGACATCGAGTCACTATCAAAATTTATGAGTTAAAAAATGTTGGATGTGTCTATCAAAGGACCTTATCCAACTGAAGATGAAAAACTAATCATTTCGAAGAATATTTCTAAAGACCTCGGACAAAGAGAAAAACATCTTTATAATCAACTCGTCTTCCATTATATATAATTCTTAAATGAGCTCTTTGATTTGGATTAAACCTTTTAGATAAATACCAAATCAAACTACATTGCAGGAGATGTCAGAGTAAACGCTCAATTAATTAGGAATACATTTGTCAAACGTAGTTTGTCAGATAATCTTAGATTCCAAGAACAAATAATATCTGATTAAAGCATTCCACATAATACATAAATCGATTAAAACATAAGCAAATAATTTCGAGAAAGTAAACAATTGGCAAATTTGGTTTTGGAGCAACTAAGTTGCATTTTCAAATTATGCTATTTAATAATCGAATATGTGTATTCAAATTACATCCTATCGATTTTTGGCACTTCAATTGATTCATTTACAGATCGTTACCTGTTGATATCAAAAATTTATTAGAAAAATATTATAGAGTTAAATCCAGAAATTTAGAAATTGATCACTTCTGCAATTCAGGCAAAATATGAGAACAAATCATCCTTAATTAAATCTGAACACATGTCTCCAGCACTTTTATAGCCTTCATTAATTCCTCAAACAATTGATAGCATTATAAGTCGAGAATCTGAGATTGATTTGTTAGATGAGATAAACATGAAGAATTAATAATCAGATTAGCAAATGCAGAATAGATTTTATTACTCTTAAACCTTCTCTACAATCGACAAGATCATCAATTGCAAATTGCCTTGGTTAAAGTTTTCTTTAATAGGGAAGTTGGATCAATAAATAGTGGATATTTTCCTATAATACCGATCACAAAGCCAAATAGCTCATTTCATTGATGTAATTAAACCCGAAGATTCAAAAATTGAAGTTCTACTTTATATCCTGTAGAGATATATGTCTTCGCGAAGGAATTTGAATTTGTCTCTTTGCTATTATGAATTAAGATGGATGCAGGAGGATGACAATGTTTTACATCACAAAGTCAAGACTATAACTTGCCCTTACTTCAGTAGATTTTTATCCTTATATGAAATTTCTTTTAAAAATTATCAAAGAAAATAAGCCCAACTTTTATATAATTGATTTTTACATAATTAATGGTCTATATGATATCAACTTCGAGTTTCTATTTCTAATTAGTTTTATAGAAAATTAAGTACGATATATAATAATGTCTCAATATTTACGTAGGCACTTTCGTCTATCCGAAGTAATACAAACCAATTGAATATCTATCTAACACTTAATTTCAGAGTTCCTTTCTCAAACTATAAGCTGTATTATTTATTTATTTTATTTTAATCCGTTTTCATAAGTAATGAAAACTCTTCTTCTGTTTATCGTATTCCTTGGAATAAGAGCAGTAAGAAGGAAGGATGAAGACCAATTCCAAGCAAATTAAGAAATTTTGCATAATGATCCCAGTTTTGATGATCTAGAGGAAATATCAGAAAATCCGTTGGGAGCAAAGGTATTGTAAACTGTTGCTCTGCAAATTAAAAGTGGAGAAGGCATTGACAGCATAGTTTCCTTATTGACAAATTTAAAGGGTGACCTTGAAGTAGATAATGATTTTATAAAAGGGAAAATAAATTTAATAAGATGGGTCAAATGCAGCCATCTAATCATAATGTAAATCAGATATGGACAGTTATGGTTAGAGAGTTTAATTAGCAGTAAATGAAATTAATGATGTTGAATTTAAAGTTGGTAGATTAGAGTCAGATATTGAAGATTATACTAGTGAGTTAGACCTTAAGTAATCCTAAATAGATGTAAAAGTGTTCAAAGATTTATTTCTTAGACTTTTTAAAGTTCAGAGAATTCCTTGAGAGATTTGAGGTTGTAACAATCAGCAAATTATAACAAAAGATTGGGTTAATTAAAAGAAATGATAAATGCATTTTAAGTTATGCTACCAAAAATGCACGAATTGTATGATTAAGTCTAATAGAGAGATGCAGAAGTATAACTTAATATAATTCATTAAGTCTTTTGTGTAAGAAGAAGCCTTTGCTACATCTTTTGTGCAATTAGCAAATAGTGGATCTCTTAATCCAATTCTAGCTCTGGTTTAGGTTACCTCGATGATGGATTCAAGATCAATCTAAACCATAATAGAAAAAATGGAAGTTGTCCGAGATTCCTTAATAACTTCTGTGGATGAGGAGACTGCTTTAGAAGAGCAGGCCATTAGAGTAATTAAATTTAGGTGAATTTTAGGATAATGATGTTACTCTTAATGAAATATTTAATGCTATGCAGGCTTTGACTAGAGAAAAAGCAGCAGACGATGAGTCTTTGTAAGATACCATAAGGACTAGAGATCAATAACAGAAAAGGGGAAGTGATGCCTAGGCTGAATTTGTAGCATCAAAGACAGGAATGAAATAAAGAAGAGGACAATGTTAAGAATTATTAGTCTAATATTAATAAAATACCATTTAAAGAAGTAGGGAAATCGAGATCATTAAAAAAGTGTAGATTATTATTTAGACAAAATTAAATGTTGTGAAGTCATTCATCCAAGAACAATAGATTTCTTGAACTAATTATTTTTTATCTATATTCATTAATTATGTTTAATAAAATACAGTAGAATTATATAGCATTAAATTTTCATTCTAAAATAAATTACATAAGACTATGAACTATTTTAATTTGATTATTTAATTATAATAATGACGTGATGTAGCAAACTAACTAATAGCCTTGAAGAATTATAAATTAATGCACACTTTAACTTCCATCAAATTTTCAATTTTTTAAGTAAATTAATTGATAATGAAATAAATAAAACATTAATTTCTTCAAAACCTCTTTATATTTCATTCGTGTTATAAAAAAAGATAAGAATGAGAGAAAAAAACTTTAAGGTATTACATAATATATATAAAATTATTTCAAATTATCCATTTTATTCATTTTTTCTCATCCATTTTAATTTGATGATTTCCTCTTTCCTTTTGTTAAAATTTATTGCTCCCTTTGTTTTGCAGTAGAATTTTAGCCTTAGAACATTTTGGTCAAAGGGCTTAAGGCATTATTATTATTTCGGTTTCTACTTTGAGAAGGTGATACTGCAATTTTATATCTCTATTCTAAACTCATTCTTTTAGAATTTATCATGTCTGGCTTTAATTTATTTTAGTTAATTTGTTTGTTTTGAATTTCGTTTATATTGTTAGGTTCACTTTAAAATCCAAAAGACAATTAAGAAGAGCTTTATTGAACAGAAGTGATTATATTTTACTCCTCCTTTTCACATTTTGATTCTTAAGTAATTAGGAATTTCGGATATAAGACGTAATTTTAAGTCAAGGATGGGCAAAATAACTGATCCTAATCTTCACATTCAACATTTTCATAACCATGCTTAATTGATTAAGACAAAGGTCTTGAAGCATGTAACTCCTAAGATTTGTGTTTCTGACTTTATCCACAAATTATACCCATTTTAATTAAAAGATTCAATTATATAAATGTTTGGATTGAGTAAAATTCGTTTGAATTAACTAATTATTCATGGATAATAAAAAAATATAATAATCATATCTAAAGGAGAATTTATTAAAAAAATCTCATTTCATTCTTCCATAAAATATAGAATTCGAAGGGATTTAGTGAGTTGTTCTTCTATAAATTACAGGGAGATGGACTTTTTCTTAAGATTAGGGGTTAGGCAATGTTTTAATTCTAAAACTTGAAGGACTTTGCAGTTGCGGAATAGAATTGGTAGGTAAAATTAGAAACGATTTTTTTAAAGACTCTTTGACTTTACGTGGTTTATTCAAATTTTATAAGGTAGACTTAATCTATTATTTTAATGCTCCAATTAATTTTTCTCTTTAAAACCATTTGTGATTTAAGGCTTAATGAGATGATAATCTCTCTTGAGGATCTAATTTGAGAAGACCCTTGAGAAATTCTGAGGCTAAGTTACTCACCCTGATGGAGTTAAAATCAATAACCCCGATTAAATTTTGAATGACTTTCTCTTGATAATTTCCATCGAAAGGCTCTTTACCTGCGAATAAAATAAAGAGTAGAATTCCAACGCTATAGACATCTACTTTGAGGTCATAGTTCTTGTCTGCTAAAACTTCAGGGGCTACGTATCCCACAGTTCCACATCGCTTAAATTGATAGTGACCTTCGTCATCATAGAATTCTGCTAACTTAAAATCTGTTAAACATAGACTATCTAAATTATCCAGTTGTCGAAAGATGAAATTTTCGAGTTTAATGTCTCTGTGCATTATTTTTTTAGAATGGAGATATGCAACAATTTTAATAATTCTAAATATGGCCTTTGCTGCTTTTTCTTCTGAAAGCAAAGGGTTCTTCTATACATACTCTAACAAGGTGTAAGAGGGCAAATTTTCAACAATTACATATATTTGATCTTGATTTTCGAATAGATCATAAAACTTCATTGTTAAATCTGTTTTCAATTGACGAATCACTGATATTTCTTTGAAGAATTGTTGTCTATCTTCTTCATCGATTATCAATGACTTTTGATATATTTTAATAATATATTCTGCACTATCCACTTTATTTTTTCCTTTGTATGACTCTCCAAATTTAATTTTGTTGAGTTTTGAGATGGGAGTATAATAATGTAAGAAATCATATTAGACGGCAAACCTCTTCATAAATTTATACCAATAGTTTGCGTTGCCAAAGAATTCAACTTTATCAAAGCATTTCGTTAAACGAATTCCCAGACCCAAATCAGAATTGGATATCAATTCTATAATTGCATTTTCATAATTAATCCAAACAATTTTTTCCTAACAATTAATTCACAATATAATACATTTTTACTTTTATAAAATAAATACTGATCTAAAAGTTTATAAGTTCTTCTCTTAAGTTATTATTTTTTGTCTAAGCAAACCACATCGTCTTCTATATTAAAGATAGTCGGAAGAAATGGTAGATGAGATTTATTCCACTTCATTTCTTGAAAGGATATCTAAAAAAATGAACGACAATGTTTATAATTACAGCTATATAACACACTTACAAGTACCTTGGATTCAAATCTTCATACATATCTTGTAATTTAATTCGACGTATTTATTATTATTAATAATCAATTTGGCTCATAATTGTTTAATAAATCACTTAATTCATAGAACATTAATTGTTATATACATAATTTTATTCATAATTATTTTAGAGGAATTTAAGATCTTCGAAACTATCTTAATTTATAACCAGCTGAGGTTCTCGCAGTATTCATAGGCTTGAGTGCGGCAGGCGTATTTGGAGTCTGAGGACTATCATCAATATTGCTCTTTGTAACACAATAGGGACTGAGACTGGATAGCGAACTTTTTGGACTAAATTAAGTGGAAAGGGCAGAATTCTATTTAACATTCGTATCGAAATAAGCTAACTTCTTTAATGAAGTTTGTTATTATTTTCTAATTTTGAATTGACACGTTTTTGTGAGGTTTTCAGTGGCAAACCATGGATGACTCAAAGCCTCATCAGCAGTCAATCTCTTAATAGGATTTTTGTTCATAAGTCCTTTAAGTAGGTCCATCCCTTACTCACTTAATTTGCAATCCTCAAACTTGACTTTGGCATAATAATTTCTCATCACCACATCATCGTAATCCTTCCCATCAAAAGGCGATTTGCCTGCAATCAAAATGAACATTAGAATTCCCACACTATAAACATCAATCTTGAAATCATAGAGTTTATCCTATAATAATTCTGGAGCCACATAGCCAGGTGTTCCACATCTAGTAAATAAATATTATCCACTTGGTGAATAATAATCAGCCAACCCAAAATCCCCTATACAAATATTATCAAGGTCATCTTTGTTTCTGAGCATGATATTCTCCGGTTTGATGTCTCTATGCAAGATTCCTTTTTAATGTATGGAAGAAACTGCTTTCAATAATCTAAAAATTAATTTAGAACATTTTTCTTCAGAAAATGGAGGGGATTTTTTCATATATTAATGTAACTCACCCCCTTTCAAATATTCCAACACTAAAAACAAATATTCATCCCCTTCAAACACCTCATAGATTCGAATCACGGATTCATGCTGAATTTTCTTCATTATAGATATTTCCTTTATGATAGCCAGTCGATCAACGCTTTCATTCAACTTTGCCTTCCTAAAGCACTTAATTGCATATTCAGATCCGTCATTCTTGTTAACAGCTTTGAAAACCTAGATACTATGAAATGACTTACATCAGCAAAATTCCCTGACCCTATCTTCTTCTGCAATGTGTAATTATGAGAGAAATTTCGTTGAATGCAAAATTACTTCAGGTAATTGTACCATGGTTCGACATCTCCGAAGAACTCAAAAGCGTACTTGTTTTTTGTAATTCTAATTCCAAGTCCTGCCTTCTAATGCTTAGTATATTCAATCGTAGCATTGTCTACATTGATCCATTAGGTCACGTTCTATTGGTTATTGAATGAATTTACTTGTTTTTTGAAATGAAGGAGGTAGTTATTGGACATCCCCAGACCAAATTTTTACAACTCAGAATCCTTATCCAAATACATAGTATCGTTCATATTCAAAGGGGCATCTTTTAACGGAAAGTCTGTAAGATTCCAAAACCCATTAGCATCTGGATCGTCAAAAAAAGAGTCTTTTTTAATTACATTCATTTGGCTTTTTAAAATATAAAAATTGGAATTTAAGTAATTTCATTTTAATATGTTTTTTCAGACTCAAAATAAAACGATTTAGTTGATAACAGAGCTGTTAACTTAAGTTTAGAATATTTTTATTTGAATCAATAATAAAGTCAAGGCATTACTTCATAATTACCTAAATGAGTAAGATGAAATGGTTATTGATATTTACGATTGTGATTTCATCACCTTAAGGTTTTATCACATTTAATTTTATTTAAAACATTTATATTTACATGTAATAACAACAAAATTCAACATATTAATTGAAAATTGTGAATACTGAAACTAGGTCAGATATTGTTTACTATCAGATCTAAGTAATATATAGCACAATATAACAAGGTCTTAAATACATAAACAAAAGTATCCTGGAGTTTTGAAGAAAGGTATAAAAACATCAATAATCTGCATACTTAATTGTCATCAGAACTCAAGCAATAACTTCCATAATTCCCATCCAAAAAGTTTTTTGGCAATACTGATCCAGAATTCATTTCGACCAGAAAGGCTGGGTTATAGAATTATTTTAAGACTTTACTTTAAATCGTGGATGCAGAATAATGTCCAACTCTAAAGAAATTTTTGACTAAAGGAGAATAAAAACAAATCAAGGATCAACCTCAATCATTTAAGGAAGATTAGGTCAAGCAAAATGATATTTAAGGAAACGCATCGTCAAAAGAAAAAATTCAACAGCAAAAATAAATTGAAAATGAAAGAATTAAGAAAGAATTAAAGGATAAGTTGGGATCAGCCACTTAATAAATCAAATCAAAGTTTGTTGATCTAGGCAATCTAGTCAATCCACCAGATGAACATGATATCAAAAAGAAAAGAGCACTCTATGATCAAATTCGTTTAGAACCAAAAGTAATTTAGAATTTTTATTATTTAGAGCACTCAAACTAATATAGATATTCCTAAACCAAGTGCATAATCAAAAATGATTATTGCTTAATCGACAATCGAGCAAACATAACCAAAATTAATATAGTTGATCTCATAATTGCAAGCTGGAGTAGAAAGCATCATAAGCATTTGAGTATTAAAAAATATCAATTATATTTAATTATTGGAACGGTCTTAATTTAATGTTATCCCTTTTAGAAAAAATTGACATTTTTGGAGTTCCTATTAAAATGAAGACTAGAAAACAATAAGAAGAATTTAAGACATCTCAGAGTGGATTCATAACCATAATCATAATGATTTTAAGCGTCGCATATTCCGTTTACGTGATATTTTTATGGATAGATGGAAAATTAATTCCCAAGGTTACGAGTTCTTAAAAAATGATCGATTTTGCTACTTATGAATGGGAGAATAGTGAGATTTCCTTCAGTCTCTATGATGTAAGATCAAAAATAAATCCGTTTACAAAAGAGAACAATATTATTATGCCTGTTTTATTAGAAATCGTTAGTTCCACCATTTCTGCTTCTCCTAAAATATTATTCAGCACATTGTAAATAGATGGAGACAAGAATGTTGTAGTACTTGAAAAAGGAAAATTGATTTTAAGTTAAATAGATGGACCAACAAAAGAAAATCAATAGAAACTTAGGTACTATTTTGTATTTTTCACAAAATGTCGTTAGGATTGGATGGTCGATGGAGGATACTGTGCCGAACAATAAGCAATTGATGAGTATTTCAGTACAAATCATGGATTATTATTTTTATCAATTAACCTTCAACAATATAATTATGAAACTTTGCAATTTGAGGAAATTAAGAAAACTGAATCTTTTGCCTTTGAAGAAGTCAGCCCATTCCATGCTTAAGTAATATTATAAAAATAAAATACAACTATTGATAACGGCATATTGTTTAGTAATTTTGAATCTTTTGAAGTAATAAAAGATTTTAGAGTAAATACTTAAACAATCTCTTCTAAATTTGCTGAGAAAACAGTATTAAGTGCAGATGGTTCAAAATTAGAATTTGATTCACTATGCTCATTTGGATTCAAAATTGATAATAAATTAGGTGTTGAAGTTATTATGATGCCAAAATTAGGAGAAGTCTTGGCTCAAATTGGGTCTATTGTAAATGTTATAATGTTATTGAAAATATTCTCGAATCTCATTAATACAACCATGTTGGAGAGTACATTACTTGATGAAATAATCGAAATTTATTATCCATAATTTAAGCAAGTCCAAATTACTAGAAATTTTTTAGGCAAAATTAAGAAAGTTCATTATAAAGGTGTCGAAATCAAGATGAAAACTTTTTAACCTAAATACAAACAATTATTGGATATTGCAAGAACTAAGTTCACTTACAATAATCTGATATAAGAATTATCTCGGATTTAATTGATTTTAATACATTAGATAGGAATGGAAAATATAAAAAATATATTTAAAATTGGAGAGGATCTGTAATTCCTTGATAGTGATAGATTGTCTAATTCCCCCAAAGAGAAAGAATTTGAAAAGTTTGCATTATTCGATTAAGAATTTCCATTTTCATAGTGACTATTATTGAAATACATAAATATTTAAAATCATACGTCATAAATAAAAGTGTAAATGTTAACATTTGACAAATATCCATTCTTGGCCTAACTTGGTTTAAAAGCTGAAAATTATGGAGCATCTTTGAGTGGAACATGGGTAGGAGATGGAGAGTGGACTACTAGTTACAATCCAAACACAGGAGAAGCCATAGCAAAAGTAAAATTAGGAACACTTCCATAATACGAATAAGGAATGTAAGAGCTGTTGAAGGTTAAGAATATGTGGGCTGAAGTATTCAATATTGTTTAAATTAGTTACCTATTCCAAGAAGAGGTGACATAGTCAGATAAATCGGAGATGAGTTTAGAAAATAGAAGGAAGCCTTAGGAATGTTGGTTGCCTTGGAGATGGGTAAAATAAAATCAGAGGGTTTGGGTGAAGTCTAAGAAATCATAGACATTTGTGATATGGCCTGTGGATTATCAAGATCATTATATGGATTAGTAATCCCATCAGAGAGACCATCCCATTTCATGATGGAATAATGGAATCCCTTGGGTGTGGTAGGCATTATCACAGCATTTAACTTCCCAGTCGCTGTGTTAGGTTGGAATTTAGCACTTGGATTAATTTGTGGTGATGTTTGTGTTTGGAAAGGAGCACCATCA